TGTGCTATGTGCACCTTGCAACCCCCTATAGCACCCATGGGTGCTACGTGTGCCTTGCAACTCCCCTATAGCACCCATGGGTGCTGTGTGCACCTTGCAACCCCCCTGTAGCAACCATGGGTGCTCCCAGCGGGGACCCCCTCTAGGGCACCTATAGGTGGTGGCATCCGAGCCCCAACCTCCCCCCTGTCACTTATTGATGGTGGTACCCAAGCACCGGTACCCCCATTGAACCCCATGGGTGCTACGTGCACCTGGGGACCATCTTATAGCACCCATGGGAGCTCCGGGGACCCCTCTAGGGCACCTATAGGTGGTGGCATCCAAGACACCCCCCCCCCCGTCACTTATTGATGGTGGTACCCAAGCATTGGTACCCCCATTGAACCCCATGGTTGCTACGTGCACCTGGGGACCCTCTTATAGCACCCATGGGTGCTCCGGGGGACCCCTCTAGGGCACCTATAGGTGGTGGCATCCGAGCCCCAAACCCCCCCCCCCCCCCCCCCCGTGTCACTTATTGATGGTGGTACCCAAGCATCGGTGACCCCATTGAACCCTGGGTGCTACATGCAGCTGGCATCCCCCCCATAGCACCCATGGGTGCTACATTCCCCTAGGGACCCCCCTATAGCCCCCATGGGTGCTACATTCCTCTACGGACCCCCCTATAGCACCCATGGGTGCTACATTCCCCTACAGACCCCCTATAGCACCCATGGGTGCTACGTGTGCCTTGCAACCCCCCTATAGCACCCATGGGTGCTCCAGGGGACCCCTCTAGGGCACCTATAGGTGGTGGCATCTGAGCCCTAAGACACCCCCCCCTGCCCCGTCACTTATAGGTGGTGGTACCCAAGCATCGGTAACCCCATTGAACCCATGGGTGCTACATGCAGCTGGGGACCCCCCTATAGCACCCATGGGTGCTCCCAGCGGGGACCCCTCTAGGGTACCTATAGGTGGTGGCATCCGAGCCCCAACCCCCCTTCCCCCATGTCACTTATAGGTGGTGGTACCCAAGCATCGGTAACCCCATTGAACCCATGGGTGCTACATGCAGCTGGGGACCCCCCTATAGCACCCATGGGTGCTCCCAGCAGGGACCCCTCTAGGGTACCTATAGGTGGTGGCATCCGAGCCCCAACCCCCCCCCCCCATGTCACTTATAGGTGGTGGTACCCAAGCATCGGTAACCCCATTGAACCCATGGGTGCTACATGCAGCTGGGGACCCCCCTATAGCACCCATGGGTGCTCCAGGGACCTCTCTATGGCACCTGTAGGTGGTGGGATCTGAGCCCCAAGACCCCCCCCATATCACGCATAGGTAGTGGTACCCAAGCATCAGTACCCCTATTGAACCCATGGGTGCTATGTGTGCCTGGGGACCCCCTATAGCACCCATGGGTGCTGCGTGCACCTCGGGACCCTCCCATAGTGCCTATAGATGGTGCTGCCTGAGCCCAGCAACCCCCCTAGAGCACCCCTGGGGTCGCCTAAGGACACCCCCAGCACCCATGGGTGCCCCCCCCAAGTATCCATCATTGGCACCCAGCACTGGTGTCCAGTGTCCCCAGTGGGTGCTACATGTCCCCAGTAGATGATTGATGTCACCCATGGGTGCCCAGTGTCCCCAGTGGCTGCCTATTGTTCCCCGTGGGTGCTTGATGTCACCCATGGGTGCCCAGTGTCCCCAACGGATGCTTAATGTCCCCAGTGTGTGCTTGATGGCCCCCATGGGTGCCCAGTATCCCCAATGGGTGCCTAGTGTCCCCAGTGGGTGCCTAGTGTCCCTCATGGGTGCTCGATGTCACCTGAGGGTGCCCAGGGTCCCCAGTGGGTGCTTGATGTCCCCAGTGGGTGCCCAGCGTTCCCCATTGTCCTCACTGCCCCTATGATGCCCATTACCCCCATTGTCCCATTATCCCCATTGACCCCATTACCCCCATTGTCCCCAAATACCCCTATTGTCTCCATTACCCCCATTGACCCCATTGTCCCCATTACCCCCATTGTTCCCATTGTTGCCATTGACCCCCTTGTCCCCATTACCCCATTGTCCCCATTGACCCCATTATCCCCATTGCCCCCATTGACCCCCTTATCCCCATTGCTCCCATTGTCCCTATTGCCCCCTTATCCCCATTACCCCCATTGTCCCCATTACCCCCATTGTCCCCATTATCCCCATTGCCCCCCTTATCCCCATTACCCCCATTGCCCCCATTACCCCAATTGTCCCCCATGATGCCCACTGTCCCCCTTGCCCCCATGGCCCCGGTGCAGCGTGGACCGCAAGGGGCAGTACCATTACCTGGTCAAGTGGCGGGACCTGCCCTACGACCAGGCCACGTGGGAGGAGGACGAGATGCCCATCCCTGACTACGACCTCCACAAGCTGGCCTATTGGAAGCACCGGTGAGGAGCGTGGGGTGTGGGGTATGGGGTGTGGGATATGAGGTGTGGGGTATAGGGTGTGGGGTATAGGATATGGGATATGGGGTATGGGGCATGGGATATAGGGTATGGGGTATGGGATATGGGGTCTGGGGTGTGGGATATGGGGTGTGGGGTATAGGGTGTGGGGTATAGGGTATAGGATATAGGATACGGGGTATGGGGCATGGGATATAGGGTATGGGGTATGGGATAAGGGGTATGGGGTATGGGATATGGGATAGGGGGTTTTTGGTATAGGGTATGGGGAATGGGGTATGGGATATGGGGTGGGCGGTATGGGGTATGGGGTGGGGGGTATGGGAGTATGGGATATGGGGTATGGGGTATGGGATATGGGATATGGGGTGGGCGGTATGGGGTATGGAATATGAGGTATGGGGTGGGGGGTATGGGGGTATGGGATATGCGGTACGGGATATGGGGTGTGGGGTATGGGGTATGGGATATGGGGTATGGAATATGGGATATGGGGTATGGGATAAACCGTATGGGGTGTGGGATATGGGATATGGGATATGGGGATATGGAGGACATGGATCAGAAGCCACCCTGTCCCCATGTGTCCCCCAATGTCCTCATGCTGCTGCCTGTCCCTGTGTGCCCCACTTGTCTCCTGTTCCCCCCCCACGTCCCCAGGGAGGTTTTCATGGGGGAGGACCCAGCCCAGCCCCGGCGCTACAAGAAGAAGAAGAAGGAGACGCCGGGAGAGGGACCCCCCGACTCGCCCACCAATGACGTGAGTGCACTGGGAACCCCCCATTGACACCCATTGTTGACGCCCATTGTTGACACCCATCATCGACACCCATCACTGGCACCAGTCATCGACACCCATCATCGACACCCATCATCCACATCCATCATTCACACCAGTCATTGACACCCATGACTGGCACCAGTCATTGACACCCGTCATTGACACCCATCATCAACACCCATCACTGACACCAGTCATTGACACCCATCATCAACATCCATCGACAACCATCGACACTCATCACTGACACCCGTCATTGACACCCCTTGATACCCATCATCGACACCTGTCATTGACACCCGTCGTTAACACCCGACATTGACACCCATTGTTGACACCCATTGACACCCATCACTGGCACCCATTGTTGACACCCATCGTTGACACCCATCATTGACCCCCATCATTGACACCAATTGACACCCATCATTGACAAGACAACATTGACACCCATCGTTGAAACCTGTCCTTGACAACCCATCATTGACACCTGTCATTGACGCCCAACGTTGACACCCAACATTGACACCCATTGTTGACACCCGTCATTGACAACCCATCATTGACACCCGTCATTGACGCCCATCATTGACACCCAGTATTGACACCCATCACTGGCACCCGTTGTTGACAACCGACCTTGACACCCAACATTAACAGCCATTGTTGACACCTGACTTTGACACCCATCGTTGACACCTCCCCATTGCCCCCCCCCCCCCCCCCTTGACACCCATTGACACCCATTATTGACACCCACTGACACCCATTGTTGACATCCATCATTGACAACCATCATTGATACCCAACATTGACACCCATCATTGACACCCATTGTTGACACCTCCCCATTGACACCCCACATTGACACCCTCAGCACTGACTCCCAACATTGCCAGCCTCAACACTGACACCCTACCTGTTGACACCCTACTATTGACAGCCCTCCATCGACACCCAGCATTGACACCCGACATTGCCATCTCCCCTTTGGCACCCAACTTTGGCACCCCTTGACACCCAGTGTTGCCACCCAACATGGACACCTCCCCATCACCACCTCCCTATTGACCCCCCACCATTGACCCCCCAACACTGACATCCTTCTGTTGACCCTCTCCCATTGGCATCCCACCCATTGCCACCTCCCCATTGCCCCCAGTGTTGACACCCTCCTCATTGCCCCCCATGTTGACACCTTCCCCATTGCCCCCCATGTTGACACCCTCCCCATTGCCCCCACTGTTGACACCCTCCCCATTGCCCCCCATGTTGACACCCTCCCCATTGCCCCCCATGTTGACACCCTCCCGATTGCCCCCCACTGTTGACGCCCTCCCCATTGCCCCCAGTGTTGACGCCCTCCCTATTGCCCCCAGTGTTGATGCCCTCCCCATTGCCCCCACTGTTGACGCCCTCCCCATTGCCCTCAATATTGACATCCTCCCCATTGCCCCCCAGTTTTGACACCCTCCCTATTGCCCCCAGTGTTGACGCCCTCCCCATTGCCCCCCATGTTGACGCCCTCCCCATTGCCCCCCATGTTGACGCCCTCCCCATTGCCCCCCATGTTGACGCCCTCCCCATTGCCCCCCATGTTGACGCCCTCCCCATTGCCCCCCATGTTGACACCCTCCCCATTGCCCCCACTGTTGACACCCTCCCCATTGCCCCCAATGTTGGCACCCTCCCCATTGCCCCCTATGTTGATACCCTCCCCATTGCCCCCAGTGTTGGCACCCTCCCCATTGCCCCCTATGTTGACGCCCTCCCCATAGCCCCCACGGTTGACACCCTCCCCATTGCCCCCTGTGTTGACACCCTCCCCGTTGCCCCCACTGTTGACACCCTCCCCATTGCCCCCAATATTGACACCCTCCCCATTGCCCCCACTGTTGACACCCTCCCCATTGCCCCCCATGTTGGCACGCTCCCCATTGCCCCCATGTTGACACCCTCCCCATTGCCCCCCATGTTGTCACCCTCCCCATTGCCCCCCAACGTTAACCCCCTGTTGCCCCCCCCTAGCCCACAGTGAAGTACGAGTCGCAGCCCCGGTTCATCACAGCCACGGGGGGGACCCTGCACCTCTACCAGCTCGAAGGCCTCAACTGGCTCCGCTTCTCCTGGGCCCAGAGCACCGACACCATCCTGGCCGATGAGATGGGGCTGGGCAAGACCATCCAGACCATCGTCTTCCTCTACTCGCTCTACAAGGAGGTGAGCCTGTGCCTGGGGTCGCCCGAGTGGGCCTAGGTTTAGGCCCTGTGCCCCCCGACTGGTCCTGGGGACATCCAAATGGTCCTTGATGTCATCTGAGGGCTCATTGGGGATCTCCCAAGAGGTCCTAGGATCACCCAACTGGTCTTGAGGTCATCCAGTTGATGCTTGGTGTCATCTGTCTGGTCCTTGGTGTCACCCAGTTGGGGCTTGGTGTCATCCAGTTGGTCCTTGGTGTCACCCAGTAGGGGCTTGGTGTCATCCAAGGGATCCTGGTGTCATCCAATTGGTCCTTGGTGTCATCCAAGTGGTCCTGGTGTCATCCAGTTGGTCCTTGGTGTCATCCAGTTGGTCCTTGGTGTCATCCAAGTGGTCCTGGTGTCATCCAGTTGGTCCTTGGTGTCATCCAGTTGGTCCTTGGTGTTATCCAAGTGGTCCTGGTGTCATCCAAGGGATCCTGGTGTCATCCAATTGGTCCTTGGTGTCATCCAAGTGGTCCTGTTGTCATTCAATTGGTCCTTGGTGTCACCCAGTTAGGGCTTGGTGTCATCCAAGGGATCCTGGTGTCATCCAGCTGGTCCTTGGTGTCATCCAAGTGATCCTGGTGTCATCCATCTGGTCCTTGGTGTCATCCAAGTGGTCCTGGTGTCATCCAGTTGGTCTTGGTGTCATCGAAGTGGTCTTGGTGTCATCCAATTGGTCTTGGTGTCATCCAGCGGGTCCTTGGTGTCATCCAGCGGGTCCTTGGTGTCATCCAGCTGGTCCTTGGTGTCATCCAAGTGGTCGTGGTGTCATCCAAGTGGTCTTGGTGTCACCCAATGGGTCCTTGGTGTCATCCAGTTGGTCCTTGGTGTCATCCAGCTGATGCTTGATGTCATCCGGTTGGTGCTTGTTGTCATCCAGGTGGTCACTGGGGTCACCCGTGTGGTCTTGGTGTCATCCAAGTGGTCCTGGTGTCATCCAGTTGGTCCTTGGTGTCATCCAAGTGGCCCTGGTGTCATGCAGTTGGTTCTTGGTGTCATCCAGTTGGTCCTTGGTGTCATCCAATTGGTCCTTGGTGTCATCCAAGTGGCCCTGGTGTCATGCAGTTGGTCCTTGGTGTCATCCAGTTGGTCCTTGGTGTCATCCAATTGGTCCTTGGTGTCATCCAGTTGGGGCTTGGTGTCATCCAAGTGGTCCTGGTGTCATCCAGTTGGTCTTGGTGTCACCCAGTTGGGGCTTGGTGTCATCCAAGTGGTCCTGTTGTCATCCAATTGGTCCTTGGTGTCATCCAGTTGGTCCTTGGTGTCATCCAGTTGGTCTTGGTGTCATCCAAGTGGTCCTTAGTGTCATCCTGTTGGTCCTTGGTGTCATCCAGTTGGTCCTTGGTGTCATCCAGTTGGTCCTTGGTGTCATCCAAGTGGTCCTTAGTGTCATCCAGTTGGTCCTTGGTGTCATCCAGTTGGTCCTTGGTGTCACCCAATTGGTCCTTGGTGTCATCCAGTTGGTCCTTGGTGTCACCCAATTGGTCCTTAGTGTCATCCAGTTGGTCCTTGGTGTCATCCAGTTGGTCCTGGGTTAGTCCCTGTGGCACCCAAGTGGTCCTGGTGTCATCCAGGTGGTCCCTGGTGTCACCCAGTGGCTCCTGGTTTTGTCCCCGTGTCACCCCGCTGCTCCTTGGTGTCACCCACACGGTTCTTGGTGTCATCCCTTTCCTCCCCATTGTCACCCGCTTGCTCCTTGGTGTCACCCCCTTCATCCCTGTTGTCACCCCCCTACCCCCACCCCCTTTGCAGCCCCCCAGGACCATGCCCGTCCCCCGTCCCCCAGGGCCACCCCATGTCCCCGTGTCCCCATGTGTCCCCCCTGTCCCCCAGGGCCACACCAAGGGCCCGTTCCTCGTCAGCGCCCCGCTCTCCACCATCATCAACTGGGAGCGGGAGTTCCAGATGTGGGCGCCCGCCTTCTACGTGGTCACCTACACCGGGGACAAGGACAGCCGGGCCATCATCCGCGAGAACGAGTTCTCCTTCGACGACAACGCCATGAAGGGGGGCAAGAAGGCCTTCAAGATGAAGGTGGGGGTCACCATGGGGCTCGCTTTGGGGGGGGCTGGAGTGAGTAATGTGGGTGCCGGCTGTTGCAGGGCTGTTGGTGGGTGTTGTTGGGGGGGTGGGCTGTTGCTGGGTGTTGGGCTGTTGTGCGGCTGGTGGCTGTTGGTGGGTGTCATGGTGTTGTGGGGCTGTTGTGAGGCTGTTGGCTGTTGCTGGGTGTTGGGCTGTTGTGCGGCTGTTGCTGAGTGTCAGGGTGTTGTATGGCTGTTGTGCGGCTGTTGGCTGTTGCTGGGTGCTGTGTGGCTGTTGCTGGGTGTCAGGATGTTGGGCTGTTGTGAGCCTGGTGGCTGTTGCTGGGTGTTAGGGTGTTGTGTGGCTGTTGCTGGGTGTAGGTGTTGTGTGGCTGTTGGCTGTTGCTGGGTGTCATTGGGCTGGTGTTGGGTGTCTAGCTGTGTTTGCTCTGTCGGGGTGTCATTGGGCTGGTGTTGGGTGTTGGGCTGTCGTGTGGCTATTGGCTGTTGCTGGGTGTCAGGGTGTTGTGTGGCTGTAGTTGGGCTGTCATTGGGCTGCTGTTGGGTGGTGGTGTGGGTCTCTTTGGTGTCAGTGTTGCCAGGTATCATACTGTTGTTGGGCTGTTGCTGGGTGGTGTTGGGGTGTCACTGGGCTGTTGTTGGGTTTCATGGGACTGTCACTGGGCTGTGTTTGGGCTGTTGCTGGGTGTTGCCGGGTGTCAAGGTGGTGTGGGGCTGTTGTGGGGCTGTTGTTGGTTGTTGCTAGGCTGTTGCTAGGCTGTTGGCTTTTGCTGAGCGTTGTTGGGTGTTGGGGTGGTGTTGGGCTGTTTGTTGTTGGCTCTTGTTGGGCTGTTGCTGGGTGTCAGGGGCTGTGCTGGGTGTTGTGGGTTGTTTTGGGTCTGTTGCTGGGTGTCAGGCTGTTGTGGGGGCTGTTGCTGGGTGTTGCTGTGGGGCTGTAGGATGTTGTGGGGCTGTTGTTGGGTGTTGCTGTGGGGCTGTTGTGGGACTTGTTGGGTGGTGGTGTTGGCTGTTGTTTTTTTGGGGGGCTGTTGTGGAGCTGTGGCTGGGTTGTGCGGCTGTTGCTGAGTGTTGTGCAGCTGTTGCTGGGTTGCTGTGGGGCTGTTGCTGGGTGTTGTGCAGCTGTTGCTGGGTATTGCGGGGCTGTTGCTGGGTATTGCGGGGCTGTTGCTGGGTTGTGGTATGTGGGTGTTGCTGGGTGGTGTTGTGCGGGTGTTGCTGGGTTGTTGTGGGGCTGTTGCTGGGTGTTGTCGCGGGGTTGTTGTGGGGCTGTTGCTGGGTGTTGTTGCGGGGTTGTTGCGGGGCTGTTGCGGGGTTGTTGCGGGGCTGTTGCAGGGCTGTTTGGCTGTTGCGGGGCTGTTGCTGGGTGTTGTTGCGGGGCTGTTGCTGGGTGTTGTTGCGGGGCTGTTGCTGGGTGTTGTTGTGGGGTTGTTGCTGGGTGTTGTTGCGGGGCTGTTGCTGGGTGTTGTTGCGGGGCTGTTGCTGGGTGTTGTTGCGGGGCTGTTGCTGGGTGTTGTTGCGGGGTTGTTGCTGGGTGTTGTTGCGGGGCTGTTGCTGGGTGTTGTTGCGGGGCTGTTGCTGGGTGTTGTTGCGGGGTTGTTGCTGGGTGTTGTTGCGGGGCTGCCCCCTGGCCGTGCTGACGCGTGGGGCGCAGCGGGAGGCGCAGGTGAAGTTCCACGTGCTGCTCACCTCCTACGAGCTCATCACCATCGACCAGGCGGCGCTGGGCTCCATCCGCTGGGCCTGCCTCGTCGTGGACGAGGCCCATCGGCTCAAGAACAACCAGTCCAAGGTGGGCACCCATAGGCATGGGTCCCTGTGGGGGGGGCACCCATAGGTATGGGTCATTGTAGGGGGGGCACCCATAGATAGGGGTCATTGTAGGGAGGGCACTCATAGATAGGGGTCCTTATGGGGGTCACCCATAGATATGGGTCATTGTAGGGAGGGCACTCATAGATAGGGGTCCTTATGGCGGGGGCACCCATAGATATGGGTCATTGTAGGGGGGGCACCCATAGGCATGGGTCCCTGTGGGGGGGCACCCATAGGTATGGGTTCTTATGGGGGGGCACCCATAGATAGGGGTCCTTATGGGGGGGGGGGCACCCATAGGTATGGGTCCCTATAGGGGGGGCACCCATAGATATGGGTCCCTATAGGGGGGGCACCCATAGATAGGGGTCCTTATGGCGGGGGCACCCATAGATATGGGTCATTGTAGGGGGGGCACCCATAGGCATGGGTCCCTGTGGGGGGGCACCCATAGGTATGGGTTCTTATGGGGGGGCACCCATAGATAGGGGTCCTTATGGGGGGGGGCACCCATAGGTATGGGTCCCTATAGGGGGGGCACCCATAGATATGGGTCCCTATAGGGGGGGCACCCATAGATAGGGGTCCTTATGGTGGGGGCACCCATAGATATGGGTCATTGTAGGGGGGGCACCCATAGGCATGGGTCCCTGTGGGGGGGCACCCATAGGTATGGGTTCTTATGGGGGGGCACCCATAGATGGGGGTCCTTATGGGGGGGGGCACCCATAGGTATGGGTCCCTATAGGGGGGGCACCCATAGATATGGGTCATTGTAGGGGGGGCACCCATAGATAGGGGTCCTTATGGCGGGGGCACCCATAGATATGGGTCATTGTAGGGGGGGCACCCATAGGCATGGGTCCCTGTGGGGGGGCACCCATAGATAGGGGTCCCTATGAGGGCCATCCATAGGTATGGGTTCTTATGGGGGGGCACCCATAGATAGGGGTCATTGTAGGGGGGGCACCCATAGGCATGGGTCCCTGTGGGGGGGCATCCATAGGTATGGGTTCTTATGGGGGGGCACCCATAGATAGGGGTCCTTATAGGGGGACACCCATAGATAGGGGTCCTTATGGGAGGGGCACCCATAGGCATGGGTCCTTATAGGGGGGCACCCATAGATAGGGGTCATTGTAGGGGGGACACCCATAGGTATGGGTCCTTATAGGGGGGACACTCATAGATATGGGTCCTTATGGGAGGGCACCCATAGGCATGGGTCATTGTAGGGGGGACACCCGTAGGCATGGGTCCTTACAGGGGGGGCACCCATAGATAGGGGTCCTTGTAGTGGGACACCCATAGATAGGAGTCCTTATGGGGGGGCACCCAGAGGTATGGGTCCTTATAGGGGGCACCTATAGATATAGGTCCTTATAGGGGGGCACCCATACGTATGGGTCCTTATGGGGGCACCCATAGATAGGGGTCCTTATAGTGGGACACCCATAGATAGGAGTCCTTATGGGGTGGCACCCATAGGTATGGGTCCCTATAGGGGGGGCACCCATAGGCATGGGTCCTTATAGGGGGCACCCATAGATATAGGTCCTTGTAGCGGGGCACCCATACATATGGGTCCTTATGGGAGGGCACCCATAGATAGGGGTCCTTATAGGGGGGCACCCATAGGTATGGGTCCTCATAGGGGGGGCACCCATAGACATGGGTCCTTATAGGGGGGCACCCATAGATAGGGGTCCTTATGGGGGGGCAGCCATAGACATGGGTCCTTACGGGGGGGCACCCATAGATAATCGTCCTTATGGGGGGGCACCCATAGATAGGGGTCCTTATGGGGGGGGCAGCCATAGACATGGGTCCTTACGGGGGGGCACCCATAGATAATCATCCTTATGGGGGGGCACCCATAGATAGGGGTCCTTTGGAGGGGCCCCAATAGATATGGGTCCTTATGGGGGGGCACCCATAGATAGGGGACCTTATGGGGGGGGTACCCATCGACATGGGTCCTTATGGCGGGGCACCCATAGATAGGGGTCATTGTAGGGGGGGCACCCATAGATATGGGTTCTTACAGGGTGGCACCCATCGACATGGGTCCCCATGGGGGGGGCACCCATAGGCATGGGTCCCTGTATAGGGAGAGCAGCCATCAACCTGGGTCCTTATAGTAGGGGCACCCATAGACCTGGGTCCTTATAGGGCAGTCACGCATAGATAGGGGTCTTTATAGGGGGGGCACCCGTAGATATGGGTCCTTATGGGGGGGGCACCCATAGACCTGGGTCCCTATAGCTGGGGCACCCATAGACCTGGGTCATTATAGTGAGGGCACCCATAGACCTGGGTCCATATGAGGGGGGCACCCATAGGCCTGGATCCTTATAGTGAGGGCACCCATAGACCTGCGTCCCTATAACGGGGGCACCCATAGACTTGGATCCTTATAGGGAGGGCACCCATAGACCTGGGTCCCTATAGCAGGGGCACCCATAGACCTGGGTCATTATAGTGAGGGCACCCATAGACCTGGGTCCCTATGAGGGGGGCACCCATAGACCTGGATCCTTATGGGGGGGCAACCATAGATCTATGAGGGGGGCACCTATAGACTTGGGTCATTATAGGGGGGCCGCCCATAGACCTGGGTCCCTATCGTGGGGTGCACCCAAATCCTTGGATACCCCATGAGGGGTGTCCAGCCACTCAGCTCCTTGGGGAGAGGCTCTATGGGTCCCATGCAAGCGGCTCTATGGCCACCGCTCCTATGGGTGCTGAGGTGGGGGGGACAGGGACAGACGACACCTATGGGTGCTTCACCCATGGGTGCCCCCCCCCTTCCCAGTTCTTCCGGGTGCTGAACGGGTACAAGATTGAGCACAAACTGCTGCTGACGGGGACCCCGCTGCAGAACAACCTGGAGGAGCTCTTCCACCTCCTCAACTTCCTCACGCCCGAGCGCTTCAAGTATGGGTGCCCATGGGTGCCCATGGGTCCCTATGGGTGCCCATGGGTCCCTATGGGTCCTTTCTCCTCCTGCACCCATCCCTGTCCATCCCCATTTGCTGTCACTCGTGGCCCTGCTGCTCCTGGGTCCCTTTTTCCCTCTTCCATTGGCGTCCCCTCTTGGCCCTATGGGTGCCTATGGGTGCCTGTGGGTGCCTATGGGTCCCTTCTCCTCCTGCACCCATCCCTGTCCATCCTCATTCGCTGTCACTCGTGGCCCTGCTGCTCCTGGGTCCCCTTTTCCCTCTTCCATCACAGTCCCCTCTTGGCCCTGTGGGTGCCCATGGGTGCCTATGGGTGCCTATGGGTCCCTATGGGTCCCTATGGGTCCCTTCTCCTCCTGCACCCATCCCTATCCATCCCCAGCCGCTGTCACCCGTGGCCCTGCTGCCCCTGGGTCCCCTTTTCCCTCTTCCATTGGCGTCCCCTCTTGGCCCTATGGGTGCCCATGGGTGCCTATGGGTGCCTGTGGGTGCCTATGGGTCCCTTCTCCTCCTGCACCCATCCCTGTCCATCCTCATTCGCTGTCACTCGTGGCCCTGCTGCTCCTGGGTCCCCTTTTCCCTCTTCCATCACAGTCCCCTCTTGGCCCTGTGGGTGCCCATGGGTGCCTATGGGTGCCTATGGGTCCCTATGGGTCCCTATGGGTCCCTTCTCCTCCTGCACCCATCCCTATCCATCCCCAGCCGCTGTCACCCGTGGCCCTGCTGCCCCTGGGTCCCCTTTTCCCTCTTCCATTGGCGTCCCCTCTTGGCCCTATGGGTGCCCATGGGTGCCTATGGGTGCCTGTGGGTGCCTATGGGTCCCTTCTCCTCCTGCACCCATCCCTGTCCATCCTCATTCGCTGTCACTCGAGGCCCTGCTGCTCCTGGGTCCCCTTTTCCCTCTTCCATCAGAGTCCCCTCTTGGCCCTGTGGGTGCCCATGGGTGCCTATGGGTGCCTATGGGTGCCTATGGGTGCCCATGGGTGCCTATGGGTGCCTTTGGGTCTCTTCTCCTGCACCCATCCCTATCCATCCCCATCCGCCGTCACTCGTGGCCCTGCTGCTCCTGGGTCCCCTTTTCCCTCTTCCATCGGCGTCCCCTCTTGGCCCTATGGGTGCCCATGGGTGCCTATGGGTGCCCATGGGTGCCTATGGGTGCCTTTGGGTCCCTTCTCCTCCTGCACCCATCCCTATCCATCCCCATCCGCCGTCACCCATGGCCCTGCTGCCCCTGGGTCCCCTTTTCCCTCTTCCATTGGCGTCCCCTCTTGGCCCTATGGGTGCCCATGGGTGCCCATGGGTGCCTGTGGGTGCCTATGGGTCCCTTCTCCTCCTGCACCCATCCCTATCCATCCCCATTCGCTGTCACCCGTGGCCCTGCTGCTCCTGGGTCCCCTTTTCCCTCTTCCATCAGAGTCCCCTCTTGGCCCTGTGGGTGCCCATGGGTGCCTATGGGTGCCTATGGGTCCCTATGGGTCCCTTCTCCTCCTGCACCCATTCCTATCCATCCCCATTTGCCGTCACTCGTGGCCCTGCTGCCCCTGGGTCCCCTTTTCCCTCTTCCATTGGCGTCCCCTCTTGGCCCTATGGGTGCCCATGGGTGCCTGTGGGTGCCTGTGGGTGCCTATGGGTCCCTTCTCCTCCTGCACCCATCCCTGTCCATCCTCATTCGCTGTCACTCGTGGCCCTGCTGCTCCTGGGTCCCCTTTTCCCTCTTCCATCGGCGTCCCCTCTTGGCCCTATGGGTGCCCCTCTCCTTCTATGGGGTCCCTATGGGTCCTCTGGGGGCCCCTCTCCTTCTATGGGGTCCCCGTGGGTCCCTTCTCCTTCTATGGGGTCCCAATGTCCCCTGGGGTCCTCTCTCCTTCTATGGGGTGCCCATGGGTCCTTCCTCCTTCTATGGGGTCCCTATGGGTACCTTCACCTTCTATGGTGTGCCTGTGTCCCCATGGATCCCTTGTCCTTCTATGGGGTGCCCATGGGTCCCTTCTCCTTCTGTGGGGTCCTTATGGGTCCCTTCTCCTCCTATGGGGTTTCTGTATCCCCATGGGTCCTCTGAGGTCCCTTCTCCTTCTATGGGGTGCCTGTGTCCCCATGGGTCCCCTGTCCTTCTGTGGGGTCCCCATGGGTCCCTTCTCCTTCTATGGGGTCCCTATGGGTCCCTCCCCTTCTATGGAGTCCCTGTGGGTCCCTTCTCCTTCTATGGGGTCTCTGTGTCCCCATGGGTCCCCTGGGGTCCCCTCTCCTCCTATGGAGGCCCCATGTCCCAGTCACCCCCATCCCCATGTCCCCATCCCCACATCCCATCCATCTCCATCCCTATTGCCCCACACGCCATAGCACCCCGTTCTCACCCCGTAGCCCCCCATTCTCACCCCATAGCACCCTATTCTCACCCATAGCACCCCGTTCTCACCCAATAGCACCCCATAGCACCCTATTCTCACCCATAGCGCCCCGTTCTCACCCCATAGCACCCCATTCTCACCCCATAGCGCCCCATTCTCACCCCATAGCACCCTATTCTCACCCATAGTGCCCCGTTCTCACCCCCTAGCACCCCATTCTCACCCCATAGCACCCCGTTCTCACCCCATAGGCCCCTATTCTCACCCATAGCACCCCCTTCTCACCCCACAGCGCCCCATTCTCACCCCATGACCCCTTATTCTCACCGCATAGCACCCTATACTCACCCCACAGCACCCCATTCTCACCCCACAGCGCCCCATTCTCACCCCATAACCCCCTATTCTCACCCCATAACCCCTTATTCTCACCCCATAGCACCCCATACTCACCCCACAGCACCCCATTCTCACCCCACAGCGCCTCGTTCTCACCCCATAGCGCCCCATTCTCACCGCATAGCACCCTATACTCACCCCACAGCACCCCATTCTCACCCCACAGCGCCCCATTCTCACCCCATAACCCCCTATTCTCACCCCATAACCCCTTATTCTCACCCCATAGCACCCCATACTCACCCCACAGCACCCCATTCTCACCCCACAGCGCCCCGTTCTCACCCCATAGCTCCCCATTCTCACCCCATAGCGCCCCATTCTCACCCCATAGCATCCTATTCTCACCCATAGCGCCCCATTCTCACCCCATAGCACCCCATTCTCACCCCATAGCACCCCGTTCTCACCCCATAGGCCCCTATTCTCACCCATAGCACCCCTTTCTCACCCCACAGCGCCCCATTCTCACCCCATAACCCCTTATTCTCACCACATAGCACCCTATACTCACCCCACAGCGCCCCATTCTCACCCCACAGCGCCCCATTCTCACCCCATAACCCCCTATTCTCACCCCATAACCCCTTATTCTCACCCCATAACACCCCATACTCACCCCACAGCACCCCATTCTCACCCCACAGCGCCCCATTCTCACCCCCTAACCCCCTATTCTCACCCCATAACCCCCTATTCTCACCCCATAGCACCCCGTTCTCACCCCATAGGCCCCTATTCTCACCCATAGCACCCCTTTCTCACCCCATAGCACCCCATTCTCACCCCACAGCGCCCCATTCTCACCCCATAGCACCCCATTCTCACCCCATAGCACCCCATTCTCACCCCACAGCCCCCCATTCTCACCCATAGCCCCCCATTCTCACCCCATAGCGCCCTGTTCTCACCCCATAGCGCCCCCTTGTCCCCCCTGCAGCAACCTGGAGGGCTTCCTGGAGGAGTTTGCTGACATCTCCAAGGAGGACCAGATCAAGAAGCTCCACGACCTGCTGGGCCCCCACATGCTGCGGCGCCTCAAGGCTGATGTCTTCAAGAACATGCCTGCCAAGACCGAGCTCATCGTCAGGGTGGAGCTGAGCCCCATGCAGAAGTAGGTGGCACCCCATAGGCACCCATAAGTACCCATCAGAACACATAGATACCCATAGCACCCATAGGTACCCATCAGAACCCATAGCATCCATAGGTACCCATCAGAACCCATAGACACCCATAGCAGCCATAGGTACCCATCAGAACCCATAGACACCCATAGCACCCATAGGTACCCATCAGAGCCCATAGCACCCATAGGTACCCATCAGAGCCCATAGCATCCATAGGTACCCATCAGAACCCATAGACACCCATAGCAGCCATAGGTACCCATCAGAACCCATAGACACCCATAGCACCCATAGGTACCCATCAGAGCCCATAGCACCCATAGGTACCCATCAGAACCCATAGACACCCATAGCAGCCATAGGTACCCATCAGAACCCATAGCACCCATAGGTACCCATCAGAGCCCATAGCACCCATAGGTACCCATCAGAACCCATAGACACCCATAGCAGCCATAGGTACCCATCAGAGCCCATAGCACCCATAGGTACCCATCAGAACACATAGCACCCATAGGTACCCATCAGAGCCCATAGCACCCATAGGTACCCATCAGAACACATAGCACCCATAGGTACCTATCTGAACCCATAGACATCCATAGCACCCATAGGTACCCATCAGAACCCATAGATACCCATAGCAGCCATAGGTACCCATCAGAACACGTAGCACCCGTAGGTACCCATCAGAACACACAGATACCCGTAGCACCCATAGGTACCCATCAGAGCCCATAGCACCCATAGGTACCCATCAGAACACATAGCACCCATAGGTACCTATCTGAACCCATAGACATCCATAGCACCCATAGGTACCCATCAGAACCCATAGATACCCATAGCAGCCATAGGTACCCATCAGAACACGTAGCACCCGTAGGTACCCATCAGAACACACAGATACCCGTAGCACCCATAGGTACCCATCAGAGCCCATAGCACCCATAGGTACCCATCAGAGCCCATAGCACCCATAGGTACCCATCAGAACCCATAGACACCCATAGCAGCCATAGGTACCCATCAGAGCCCATAGCACCCATAGGTACCCATCAGAACACATAGCACCCATAGGTACCTATCTGAACCCATAGACATCCATAGCACCCATAGGTAGCCATCAGAACCCATAGATACCCATAGCAGCCATAGGTACCCATCAGAACACGTAGCACCCGTAGGTACCCATCAGAACACACAGATACCCGTAGCACCCATAGGTACCCATCAGAGCCCATAGCACCCATAGGTACCCATCAGAACACATAGCACCCATAGGTACCTATCTGAACCCATAGACATCCATAGCACCCATAGGTACCCATCAGAACCCATAGATACCCATAGCAGCCATAGGTACCCATCAGAACACGTAGCACCCGTAGGTACCCATCAGAACACACAGATACCCGTAGCACCCATAGGTACCCATCAGAACACATAGCACCCATAGGTACCGATCTGAACCCATAGACATCCATAGCACCCATAGGTATCCATCAGAACCCATAGACACCCATACCATCCATAGGTACCTATCAGAACCCATAGACACCCATAGCATCCATAGGTGCCCATCAGAACCCATACACACCCATAGGTGCCCATCATACCCATAGGTACCCCTCAGAACCCATAGACACCCATAGCACCCATAGGTACTAGTCAGAACCCATAGCACCCATAGGTACCAATCAGAACCCATAGACATAGCATCTATAGGTGCCCATCAGAACCCATACACACCCATAGGTACCCATCAGAACCCATAGCACCCATAGGTACCCATCAGAACCCATCAGAACCCATAGCACCCACAGGTACCCATCAGCACCCATAGGTACTCATCAGAACCTGTACACACCCATAGGTACCCATCAGAACCCATAGCACCCATAGGTACCCATCAGAACCCATAGCATCCATAGGTACCCATAAGAACCCATAGACATCCATAGCATCTATAGGTGCCCATCAGAACTCATACACACCCATGGGTACCCATCAGAACACATAGCACCCATAGGTACCCATCAGAACACATAGCACCCATAGGTACCCATCAGAACCCATAGCACCCATAGGTACTCATCAGAACCCATATACGCATGGGTACCCATCAGAACCCATTGACACCCATAGCACCCGTCGGTGCCCATCAGAACCCATAGCACCCATAGGTACCCATCAGAACCCATAGACACCCATAGCACCCATAGGTACCCCGCAGAACCCATAGACACCCGCAGCACCCATAGGTACCCATCAGAACCCATAGAAACCCATTAGAACCCATTGACACCCATAGAACCCATAGGCACCCATAGACACCTGTCAGCACCCATAGACACCAATCGGAACCCATAGAGCCTATAGACACCCCATAGCACCCATAGCTATGCTGACACCCATCAGAACCCATAGACACCTGTTAGAACCCATAGTCACCCATAGACACCCATCAGAACCCATAGCGCCTATAGACACCCCATAGCACCCCTAGCTATGGTGACACCCATCAGCACCCATAACACCCATTAGAACCCATAGGTACCCATAGACACCTGTCAGCACCCATAGACACCCATCAGAACCTATAGAGCCTATAGACACCCCATAGCACCCATAGCTATGGTGACACCCATCAGCACCCATAGACACCCATTAGAACCCATAGGCACCCATCAGCACCCATAGGCACCCATAGACACCTGTCAGCACCCATAGACACCCATCAGAACCTATAGAGCCTATAGACACCCCATAGCACCCATAGCTATGGTGACACCCATCAGCACCCATAGACACCCATCAGCACCCATAGGCACCCATAGACACCTGTCAGCACCCATAGACACCCATCAGAACCTATAGAGCCTATAGACACCCCATAGCACCCATAGCTATGGTGACACCCATCAGCACCCATAGACACCCATTAGAACCCATCAGCCCCCATCAGCACCCATAGACACCCCACAGCCCCACTGGGAGCTCTTGGGGTGCCCCCAGCCCCACATCCCATAGGAAGCACTCCGCATCCATCATTCCCATCCCCATGGGATTCTCCCATTGTACCCAGTGCCCATCCCAGTGTTCCCAGTTGGGACCCCCAGCCCCATTGGGATGCCCCCAGCCCCACTGGGATGCCCTCAGCCCCACTGGGATGCCCCCAGCCCCATTGGGTTGCCCCCAGCCCCATTGGGTTGCCCCCAGCCCCATTGGGATGCTCCCAGCCCCACTGGGATGCCCCCGGCCCCATTTCCATCCCCATTGGGATGCCCCTGGCCCCACTCCCAGCCCCACTGCGCTGCCCCCAGCCCCATTCCCATCCCCATTGGGATGCCCCCTGCCCCACCGCCCGCCCCACACCCCCCATAGGAAGTACTACAAGTACATCCTTCCCATCCCCATTGGGATGCCCCCAGCCCCATTGCCAGCCCCACACCCCCCATAGGAAGTACTACAAGTACATCCTTCCCATCCCCATTGGGATGCCCCCAGCCCCATTGCCAGCCCCACACCCCCCATAGGAAGTACTACAAGTACATCCTTCCCATCCCCATTGGGATGCCCCCAGCCCCACACCCCCCATAGGAAGTACTACAAGTACATCCTTCCCATCCCCATTGGGATGCCCCCAGCCCCATTGCCAGCCCCACACCCCCCATAGGAAGTACTACAAGTACATCCTTCCCATCCCCATTGGGATGCCCCCAGCCCCATTGCCAGCCCCACACCCCCCATAGGAAGTACTACAAGTACATCCTTCCCATCCCCATTGGGATGCCCCCAGCCCCATTGCCAGCCCCACACCCCCCATAGGAAGTACTACAAGTACATCCTTCCCATCCCCATTGGGATGCCCCCAGCCCCATTGCCAGCCCCACACCCCCCATAGGAAGTACTACAAGTACATCCTTCCCATCCCCATTGGGATGCCCCCAGCCCCATTGCCAGCCCCACACCCCCCATAGGAAGTACTACAAGTACATCCTTCCCATCCCCATTGGGATGCCCCCAGCCCCATTGCCAGCCCCACACCCCCCATAGGAAGTACTACAAGTACATCCTTCCCATCCCCATTGGGATGCCCCCAGCCCCATTGCCAGCCCCACACCCCCCATAGGAAGTACTACAAGTACATCCTTCCCATCCCCATTGGGATGCCCCCAGCCCCATTGCCAGCCCCACACCCCCCATAGGAAGTACTACAAGTACATCCTTCCCATCCCCATTGGGATGCCCCCAGCCCCATTGCCAGCCCCACACCCCCCATAGGAAGTACTACAAGTACATCCTTCCCATCCCCATTGGGATGCCCCCAGCCCCATTGCCAGCCCCACACCCCCCATAGGAAGTACTACAAGTACATCCTTCCCATCCCCATTGGGATGCCCCCAGCCCCATTGCCAGCCCCACACCCCCCATAGGAAGTACTACAAGTACATCCTTCCCATCCCCATTGGGATGCCCCCAGCCCCATTGCCAGCCCCACACCCCCCATAGGAAGTACTACAAGTACATCCTGACGCGGAACTTCGAGGCGCTGAACTCGCGGGGCGGCGGGAACCAGGTGTCGCTGCTCAACATCATGATGGACCTCAAGAAGTGCTGCAACCACCCCTACCTGTTCCCTGTGGCCGCCATGGTGAGGGGAGGATGTGGGGTGGGGGGTGGGGGGTGTGGGATATGGGGCATGGGGTATGGAATATGGGATATGGGGTATGGGATATGGGGCATGGAGTATGGGGTGTGGGGCATGGGGTATGGAATATAGGGTATGGGGTGTGGGGTATGGGGTATTGGGTGTGGGTTGTGGGGTATAGGGTGTGGGGTATGGGATGTGGGGTATGGGATGTGGGGTGTGGGGTATAGGGTGTGGGGTGTGGGATGTGGGGTGTGGGGTATGGAATATGGGATATGGGGTGTGGGGTATGGGATATGGGATATGGGGTGTGGGGTATGGGATATGGGGCATGGGGTATGGAATATGGGATATGGGGTGTGGGGTATGGGGTATGGGGTATGGGCTGTGGGGTATGGGATATGGGGCATGGGGTATGGGGTGTGGGGCATGGGGTATGGAATATAGGGTATGGGGTGTGGGGTATGGGGTATTGGGTGTGGGTTGTGGGGTATAGGGTGTGGGGTATGGGGTGTGGGGTATGGGATGTGGGGTGTGTGGTATAGGGTGTGGGGTGTGGGATGTGGGGTGTGGGGTATGGAATATGGGATATGGGGTGTGGGGTATGGGATATGGGGCATGGGGTATGGAATATGGGATATGGGGTGTGGGGTATGGGATATGGGGCATGGGGTATGGAAATTAGGGTATGGGATATGGGGTATGGGATATGGGGCATGGGGTATGGGGTATGGAATATAGGGTGTGGGGTATGGGGTGTAGGGTATGGGATATGGGGCATGGGGTATGGGATAATGGAGGCTTCACCCTGGAGACCAATGGGAGGGACATGGGGTGAAACAAGATGCTATGGGGTGCTATAGGGTGCTATGGGGAGCTATGGGGATCCATGGGGTGCTATGGGGATCCATGGGGTTTCTGTGGAGTGCTATAGGGATCTATGGGGTTTCTGTGGGGTTTCTATGGGGTGCTATGGGGATCCATGGGGTTTCCATGGGGATCCATGGGGGTGCCATGGGGTTTCTATGGGTTTCCATGCGGTTTCTGTGGGGTTTCTATGGGGGTGCTATGGGGTTTCTATGGGGTTTTCTGTGGGGTTTCTATGGGGATCCATTGGGTGCTATATGGTTTCTGTGGGGATCCATGGGGTGCTATGTGGTTTCTATGGGGTGCCATGGGGTCCTATGGGGGTGCCATGGGGTGCTATGTGGTTTCTGTGGGGTGCCATGGGGGTGCCATGAGGTGCCATGGGGTGCTATGGGGTGCCATGTGGTTTCTGTTCGGTGCCATGGGGTGCTATGGGAATCCATGGGGGTGCCATAGTGGTGCTATGGGGGTGCTATGGGGTGCCATGGGGTGCTATGGGGTGCCATGGGGTTTCTATGGGGTGCCATGGGGTGCTATGGGGTGCCATGTGGTTTCTATTCGGTGCCATGGGGTGCTGTGGGAATCCATGGGGGTGCCATAGTGGTGCTATGGGGGTGCTATGGGGTGCCATGGGGTGCTATGGGGTGCCATGGGGTTTCTATGGGGTGCCATGGGGTGCTATGTGAGTGCCATGGGGGTGCTAGGGGAGTGCCATGGGGTGCTATGGGGATCCATGGTGTTCTGTGGGGTGCCATGGGGGTGCTATGGGGTGCCATGGGGTGCTGTGGGGTGCTATGGGGTTTCTCTGGGGTGCTATGGGGTGCCATGGGGATCCATGGAGTGCCATGGGGTGCTATGTGGTTTCTATGGGGATCTCTGGGGATCCATGGGGTGCCATGGGGTGCTGTGTGGTTTCTATGAGGATCCATGGGGATCCATGGGGTGCCATGTGGTTTCTATGGGGTGCTGTGGGGGTGCTATGGGGATCCATAGGGTGCCATGGGGGTGCTATGTGGATCCATGGGGTTCCTATGGGGATCCATGGGGTGCTATGGGGTGCCATGGGTGCCATGGGGTGCCGTGTGGTTTCTGTGGGGTGCCATGTGGTGCTATGGGGATCCATTGGGTGCCATGGGGTGCTGTGGGGTTTCTGTGGGGTGCCATGGGGGTGCTATGGGGTTTGTATGGGGTTTCTATGGGGTGCCATTGGGTGCTGTGGGGGTGCCATGGGGGTGCTCTGTGGTTTCTATGGGGTGCTATGGGGATCCATGGGGTTTATATGGGGTGCTGTGGGGATCCATGGGGTGCCATGGGGTGCTGTGTGGTTTCTATGGGGTGCTATGGGGATCCATGTGGTTTCTATGGGGTGCTATGGGGATCCATGGGGTGCTATGGGGTGGTATGGGGGTCCATGGGGTGCTGTGTGGTTTCTGTGGGGTGCTCTGTGGTTTCTATGGGGTGCTATGGGGATCCATGGGGTTTCTATGGGGTGCTGTGGGGATCCATGGGGTGCTATGGGGTGGTATGGGGGTCCATGGGGTGCTGTGTGGTTTCTGTGGGGATCCATTGGGTGCTCTGTGGTTTCTATGGGGTGCCGTGGGTGCTATGGGGTTTCTATGGGGTGCAGTGGGTGCTATGGGGGTGCCGTGGGTGCTATGGGGTTTCTATGGGGTGCTGTGGGTGCTATGGGGTTTCTATGGGGGTGCCGTGGGTGCTATGGGGTGCTGTGGGTGCTATGGGGGTGCCATGGGTGCTATGGGGTTTCTATGGGGTGCTGTGGGTGCTATGGGGTTTCTATGGGGTGCTGTGGGTGCTATGGGGTTTCTATGGGGTGCCGTGGGTGCTATGGGGTTTCTATGGGGTGCAGTGGGTGCTATGGGGGTGCCGTGGGTGCTATGGGGTTTCTATGGGGTGCTGTGGGTGCTATGGGGTTTCTATGGGGGTGCCGTGGGTGCTATGGGGTGCTGTGGGTGCTATGGGGGTGCCATGGGTGCTATGGGGTTTCTATGGGGTGCCGTGGGTGCTATGGGGGTGCCGTGGGTGCTATGGGGTTTCTATGGGGTGCTGTGGGTGCTATGGGGTTTCTATGGGGTGCTGTGGGTGCTGTGGGGGTGCCGTGGGTGCTATGCGGTTTCTATGGGGGTGCCGTGGGTGCTATGGGGTTTCTATGGGGTGCCGTGGGTGCTATGCGGTTTCTATGGGGTGCCGTGGGTGCTATGGGGTTTCTATGGGGTGCTGTGGGTGCTATGGGGTTTCTATGGGGTGCTGTGGGTGCTATGGGGGTGCCGTGGGTGCTATGCGGTTTCTATGGGGGTGCCGTGGGTGCTATGGGGTTTCTATGGGGTGCAGTGGGTGCTATGGGGTTCCTGTGGGGTGCTGTGGGTGCTATGGGGGTGCCGTGGGTGCTATGCGGTTTCTATGGGGGTGCCGTGGGTGCTATGGGGTTTCTATGGGGTGCAGTGGGTGCTATGGGGTTCCTGTGGGGTGCCCGCAGGAGTCCCCGAAGCTGCCGAGCGGGGCGTACGAGGGGGGGGCGCTCATCAAGGCCTCGGGGAAGCTGCTCCTGCTCCAGAAGATGCTGCGCAAGCTCAAGGAGCAGAACCACCGCGTGCTCATCTTCTCCCAGGTGAGCCCCGCGCCTGCCCCATGGGGGCCTAGGGGGGCCTATGGGTGCTCTATGGGTGCCTATGGGTGCCTGTGGGTGCTCTATGGGTGCCTATGGGTGCCTATGGGTGCTCTATGGGTGCCTATGGGTGCCTATGGGTGCCCCATGGCATCTATGGGTGTCCTATGGGTGCTCTATGGGTGCCTATGCGTGCTCTATGGGTGCCCTGTGGGTGCCTATGGGTGCTCTATGGGTGCCTATGGGTGCTCTATGGGTGCCCTATGGGTGCCCTGTGGCATCTGTGGGTGCCCTATGGCATCTATGTGTGCCTATGGGTGCTCTATGGGTGCCCCGTGGCATCTATGGGTGCCTATGGGTGCCCTGTGTGTGCCCTATGGGTGCCTATGGGTGCTCTATGGGTGCCCTATGTGTGCCCTATGGGTGCTCTATGGGTGCCTATGGGTGCCCCATGGCATCTATGGGTGTCCTATGGGTGCTCTATGGGTGCCTATGGGTGCCCCATGGCATCTATGGGTGTCCTATGGGTGCTCTGTGGGTGCCTGTGGGTGCCCCATGGCATCTATGGGTGTCCTATGGGTGCTCTATGGGTGCCTATGGGTGCCCCATGGCATCTATGGGTGTCCTATGGGTGCTCTATGGGTGCCTATGGGTGCCTATGGGTGCTCTATGGGTGCCTGTGGGTGCCTATGGGTGCTCTGTGGGTGCCCTATGGGTGCCTGTGGGTGCCCTGTGGGTACCCTATGGGTGCACGATGGCATCTATGGGTGCCCTATAGGTGCACTATGGGGGTGCCTATGGGTGCACTGTGGGTGCCCTATGAGTGTCTACGGGTGCCCTGTGGATGCCTATGGGTGCCTATGGGTGCCCCATGGGTGCACATGGGTGCACTATGGGTGCCTGTGGGTGCCTATGGGTGCCCCATGGGTGCACTATGGGTGCCTGTGGGTGCCTATGGGTGCACTATGGGGGCCTATGGGGGTCTATGGGTGCCTGTGGGTGCCTGTGGGTGCCCTATGGGTGCACTATGGCATCTATGGGTGCACTGTGGGTGCCTATGGATGCCCTGTGGGTGCCTTTGGGTGCCTGTGGGTGCACTATGGGTGCCTATGGGTGCCTACGGGTACCTTATGGGTGCAGTATGGGTGCATTATGGGTGCCCTATGGGTGCACTATGGGGACCCTGTGGCATCTATGGGTGCCCTGTGGGTGCACTATGGGGACCCTATGGCATCTATGGGTGCCCTGTGGGTGCACTATGGGGACCCTATGGCATCTATGGGTGCCCTGTGGGTGCCTATGGGTACCCTATGTGTGCACTATGGCATCTTTGGGTGCCCTATGTATGCCCTATGGGTGCCTATGGGTGCACTATGGGTGCCTATGGGTGCCCTTTGGGTGCCCTATGGGTGCACTATGGGTGCCCTATGGGTGCACTATGGCATCTATGGATGCCCTATGGGTGCACTATGGGGACCCTATGGCATCTCTGGGGACCCTATGGGGACCCTATGGCATCTATGGGGACCCTATGGGTACCCTATAGCATAGATAGATACCATATAGGGGCCTGATAGCATCGATAGATATCCTATAGCATTGATAGATACCCTATAGGTGCCCTATAGCATCTATACATCCCTATAGGTACCCTATAGCATCGCTAGATACCCTATAGGGACCATATAGCATCTATAGTTACCGTTTGGATACCCTATACCTACCCTATGCTATCTATAGATACCCTATAGATACTCTAAAGCATCTATAGATACCTTTTAGATACCTTATAGCATGTATAGGTACCCTATAGCATCTGTAGATACCCTATAGGTACCCTACAGCATCTATAGATACCCTTTGCATACCCTATAGCTATCCTATAGTATCTATAGATACCCTATAGATACTCTACAGCATCTATAGATACCCTATAGATACCTTATGGCATCTATAGGTACCTTTTAGCATCTGTAGATATCCTATAGCATCTGTAGATACCCTATAGATACCCTGTAGCATCTATAGATACCCTGTAGGTACCTTATAGCATCTGTAGGTACCTATAGGTACCCTATAGATACCCTATAGACTTTATAGATACACTATAGGTACTCTGTGGAATCTATAGATACCCTATAGATACTATAGCATCTATAGATACTGTATAGGTACCCTATAGATACCCTATAACATCCATGTAGCACCTATAGGCACCCCTATAGCACCACTGTGTGCTCATCTTCTCCCAGGTGACACCCACAGGCCCTATAGGTACCTTATAAGTACCCTATAGCATTGATAGATATCCCGTAGCATGTATAGATACCCTATAGATACCCTGTAGCATCTATAGATATCCTGTGGCATCTATAGATACCCTACAGATGCCCTACAGCATCTATAGATGCCCTATTGATAACTTATAGCATCTATAGGTACTCTATAGCATCTCTAGATACCCTGTGGGTACTCTATAACATCTATAGTTATCCTATAGCATCTATATATGCCCTATAGATGCCCTAAAACATTTATAGACACCCTATAGGTACCGCATAGCATCTATAGATACTCTATAGATACCCTATAGTATCTATAGATACTCTATAACATCTATAGATACCCTACAGATACTCTATAGCATCTATAGATACTCTATAGGTACCCTATAACATCTATAGATACCCTACAGATACTCTATAGCATCTATAGATACTCTATAGGTACCCTATAACATCTATAGATACCCTATAGATACCCTGTAACATCCGTCTAGCACCTATAGACACCCCCATAGCACCACCCTGTGCTCATCTTCTGCCAGGTGACACCCACAGCACATATAGACCTTCATATAGCACCCTATAGATACACTGTAGCACCCATAGACATCCATAGTATCCAAAGACACCCCATAGACACCCTTAGGCATCCATAGACACCCATAGCACCCTATAGCATCCATAGACACACAGACATCCATAGACACCCATAGCACCCTATAGCATCCATAGCACCCATAGCCACCACTAGACATCCATAGATATCCATAGCACCCGTAGACACCCATAGCGATCTTTAGCACCCATAACACCCATAGACAGGCATAGACACCCATAGGAACCTATCGCATCCATAGCACCCATAGACACCCGTAGCAACCGTTAGCACCCATAGACATGCATAGACACCCATAGCAATCTTTAGCACCCATACCACCCATAGACAGGCATAGGCACCCATAGCAACCTATCACATCCATAGCACCCATAGACACCCATAGCAACCTTTAGCACCCATAGACAGCCATAGACACCCATAGCAACCTTTAGCACCCATAGACATCCATAGACACCCATAGCAACCTTTAGCACCCATACCACCCATAGACAGGCATAGACACCCATAGACACCCATAGCAACCTTTAGCACCCATAGACATCCATAGACACCCATAGCAACCTTTAGCACCTGTAGCACCCATAGACATCCATAGACACCCATAGCAACCTTTAGCACCTGTAGCACCCATAGACATCCATAGACACCCATAGCAACCTTTAGCACCCATACCACCCATAGACAGGCATAGACACCCATAGACACCCATAGCAACCTTTAGCACCCATAGACATCCATAGACACCCATAGCAACCTTTAGCACCTGTAGCACCCATAGACATCCATAGACACCCATAGCACCTGTAGCACCCATAGACATCCATAGACACCCATAGGAACCTATCGCATCCATAGCACCCATAGACACCCATAGCAACCTTTAGCACCCATAGACAGGCATAGACACCCATAGGAACCTATCGCATCCATAGCACCCATAGACACCCATAGCAACCTTTAGCACCCATAGACAGGCATAGACACCCATAGCAACCTTTAGCACCCATACCACCCATAGACAGGCATAGGCACCCATAGCAACCTATCGCATCCATAGCACCCATAGACACCCATAGCAACCTTTAGCACCCATAGACATCCATAGACACTCATAGCAACCTTTAGCACCCGTAGCACCCATAGACATCCATAGACACCCATAGAAACCTATCGCATCCATAGCACCCATAAACACCGATAGCAACCTTTAGCACCCATAGACATCCATAGACACCCATAGCAACCTTTAGCACCCATACCACCCATAGACAGGCATAGACACCCATAGACACCCATCGCAACCTTTAGCACCCATAGACATCCATAGACACCCATAGCAACCTTTAGCACCTGTAGCACCCATAGACATCCATAGACACCCATAGGAACCTATCGCATCCATAGCACCCATAGACGCCCATAGCAACCTTTAGCACCCATAGACAGGCATAGACACCCATAGCAACCTTTAGCACCCATACCACCCATAGACAGGCATAGGCACCCATAGCAACCTATCGCATCCATAGCACCCATAGACACCCATAGCAACCTTTAGCACCCATAGACATCCATAGACACCCATAGCAACCTTTAGCACCCATACCACCCATAGACAGGCATAGACACCCATAGCAACCTTTAGCACCCATAGACATCCATAGACACCCATAGGAACATTTAGCACCCGTAGCACCCATAGACATCCATAGACACCCATAGGAACCTATCGCATCCATAGCACCCATAGACACCCATAGCAACCTTTAGCACCCATGGACATCCATAGATACCCATAGCAACCTTTAGCACCCATACCACCCATAGACAGGCATAGACACCCATAGACACCCATAGCAACCTTTAGCACCCATAGACATCCATAGACACCCATAGCAACCTTTAGCACCCGTAGCACCCATAGACATCCATAGACACCCATAGGAACCTATCGCATCCATAGCACCCATAGACACCCATAGCAACCTTTAGCACCCATAGACATCCATAGACACCCATAGCAGCCTATCGCACCTGTAGACATCCATAGACACCCATAGCAACCTTTAGCACCCATACCACCCATAGACAGGCATAGACACCCATAGACACCCATAGCAACCTTTAGCACCCATACCACCCATAGACACCCATAGCAACCTTTAGCACCCATACCACCCATAGACAGGCATAGACACCCATAGCAACCTTTAGCACCCCTATCACCCACAGACACCCATAGGAACCTATCGCATCCATAGCACCCATAGATACCCATAGTAACCTTTAGCATCCATAGCACCCATAGACACTCCTAAGCATCAATAGCATCCATAGACACCCATAGCAACCTATAGCACCCATAGACACCCATATCAACCTGTAGCACCCATAGACGTCCATAGACACCCATAGCAGCCTATAACATCCATAGCACCCATAGAAACCCACAGCAACCTATAACATCCATAGCACCCATAGATACCCATAACAACCTTTAGCATCCATAGCACCCACAGATGTCCATAGCATCCTATAGCATCCATAGCACCCATAGACACCCACAGCAACCTATAACATCCATAGCACCCATAGATACCCATAACAAACTTTAGAATCCATAGCACCCATAGATGTCCATAGCAACCTATGGCATCCATAGCACCCGTAGACACCCACAGCAACCTATAACATCCATCGCACCCATAGCCACCCATAGCAACCTTTAGCACCCATAGCACCCATAACCACCCACAGCAACCTATAGCACCCATAGCCACCCATAGCTACCTATAGCACCCATAGCCACCCATAGCTACCTATAGCACCCATAGCCACCCATAGCAACCTTTAGCACCCATAGCCACCCACAGCAACCTTTAGCACCCATAGCCACCCATAGCAACCTATAGCACCCATAGCCACCCATAGCAACCTTTAGCACCCATAGCCACCCACAGCAACCTGTAGCACCCATAGCCACCCATAGCAACCTATAGCACCCATAGCCACCCACAGCAACCTTTAGCACCCATAGCCACCCATAGCAACCTTTAGCACCCATAGCCACCCATAGCAACTTTTAGCACGTTTAGCACCCATAGCCACCTATAGCAACCTTTAGCACCCATAGCAACCTATAGCACCCATAGCCACCCATAGCAACCTTTAGCACCCATAGCCCCCATAGCCTCCCCGTAGCACCCAGTGCGCGGCCCCAGTGCTCCCAGTATAACCAGTGCCCGCAGATGACGAAGATGCTGGACCTGCTCGAGGACTTCCTGGACTACGAGGGCTACAAGTACGAGCGCATCGACGGCGGCATCACCGGCGCCCTGCGGCAGGAGGCCATCGACCGCTTCAACGGTAGCACCCAATGGGGGGCACCCATGGGTGGGGGGGCACCCATGGGTAGGGGGGAGGTCAGTCAGTGGGTGTGGGTCACTATGGGGGTAGTTGATGGTAGGGGGTGATTGGCATCGGGAGGCTATTGAATGTGTCAGTGGTGGCACCCAGCACGGGGGCACCCACAGGTATGGGGGTAGTCAATGGGTGTGGGTCACTATGGGGGTAGTCAATGGGTGGGGGTCACTATGGGGTAGTCAATGGTAAGGGATGATTGGCATCAGGAGGCCATTGAATGTGTTAATGGGAGCACCCATGGGTGGAGGGCACCCATAGGTACAGGGATAGTCAAGGGGTGTGGGTCACTATGGGGTAGTCAATGGTAAGGGATGATTGGCATCAGGAGGCCATTGAATGTGTCAATGGGAGCACCCATGGGTGGGGGGCACCCATGGGTATGGGGGGAGTCAGTGGGTGTGGGTCACTATGGGGGTAGTTAATGGTATGGGGTGATTGGCATCAGGAGGCCATTGACTGTGTCAATGGTGGCACCCAGCATGGGGCACCCATAGGTAGAGGGGTAGTCAATGGGTGGGGGTCACTATGGGGTAGTCAATGGTAAGGGGTGATTGGTATCAGGAGGCCATTGACTGCATCAGTGGTGGCACCCATGGATGGGGGGCGCCCATAGGTAGGGATCATTATGGGGTAGGGGGTAGTCAATGGTAGGGGTTGATTGGGATCAGGAGGCCATTGACTGTGTCAGCGGTGCCACCCATGGGTGGGGGGCACCCATAGGTAGGGAGGTAGTCAATGGGTGTGGGTCACTATGGGGTAGTCAATGGTAGGGGGTGATTGGGATCAGGAGGCCATTGACTGTGTCAGCGGTGCCACCCATGGGTGGGGGGCACCCATAGGTAGGGAGGTAGTCAATGGGTGTGGGTCACTATGGGGTAGTCAATGGTAGGGGGTGATTGGTATCAGGAGGCCATTGACTGTGTCAATGGTGGCACCCAATGGGGGGCACCCATGAGTGGGGGGGTCAGTATGGGGTACGGGGTAGTCAATGATAGGGGGTGATTGGCATCAGGAGGCCAATGAAATGAATGTGTCAATGGTAGCACCCAGCATGGGGGCACCCATGGGTGGGGGCACCCATAGGTAGGGGTGTCAGTATGGGGTAGGGGGTGGTCAATGGTAGGGGGTGATTGGCGTCAGGAGGCCATTGTCAGTGGTGGCACCCAATGGGGGCACCCAATGGGGTGGGGGGCACCCATAGGTAGAGGGGTAGTCAATGGGTGTGGGTCACTGTGGGGTAGTCAATGGTAGGGGTTGATTGGCATCAGGAGGCCACTGAATGTGTCAGTGGTAGCACCCATGGGTGGGGGGCCCCCGTAGGTAAGGGGGCAGTCAGTGGGTGGGGGTCACTATGGGGTAGTCAATGGTAAGGGATGATTGGTAACAGGAGGCCATTGACTGTGTCAATGGTGGCACCCAGCATGGGGGCACCCCTAGGTGGGGGGCACCCATAGGTAGGGGGTCAGTATGGGGTAGGGGGGAGGCAATGGTAGGGGGTGATTGGCATCAGGAGGCCATTGACTACATCAGTGGTGTCACCCATGGGTGTGGAGCACCCATAGGTAGAGGGGTAGTCAGTGGGTATGGGTCACTATGGGGTAGTCAATGGTAGGGGGTGATTGGCGTCAGGAGGCCATTGACTGTGTCAGTGGTGGCACCCAATGGGGGGCACCCATGGGTGGGGGCACCCATAGGTAGAGGGGTAGTCAATGGGTGTGGGTCACTATGGGGTAGTCAGTGGTAGGGGTTGATTGGCATCAGGAGGACGTTGTGTCACTGTTGGGCACCCAGCATGGGGGCACCCATGGGTGGGGGGTACCCATAGGTAGGGGGTCACTATGGGGTAGTCAATGGTAGGGGGTGATTGGCATCAGAAGGCCATTGACGACATCAGTGGTGGCACCCATGGGTGTGGGGCACCCATAGGTAGAGGGGGAGTCAGTGGGTGGGGGTCACTATGGGGTAGTCAATGGTAGGGGGTGATTGGCATCAGGAGGACATTGTGTCATTGGTGGCACCCAATGGGGGGCACCCATGGGTGGGGGGCACCCATAGAGGGGTAGTCAATGGGTGTGGGTCACTATGGGGTAGTCAATGGTAAGGGGTGATTGACATCAGGAGGCCTTTGACTGTGTCAATGGTGGCACCCAATGGGGGGCACCCATGGGTGGGGGTCAGTATGGGGTAGGGGGTAGTCAATGGTAGGGGATGATTGGCATCAGGAGGCCATTGAATGTGTCAATGGTAGCACCCAGCATGGGGGCACCCATGGGTGGGGGTCAGTATGGGGTAGGGGGTAGTCAATGGTAGGGGATGATTGGCATCAGGAGGCCATTGAATGTGTCAATGGTAGCACCCAGCATGGGGGCACCCATGGGTGGGGGTCAGTATGCGGTAGGGGGCCTTCAATGTGTGGGGGGGAAAAGGGTTTTGGGGGGACATAGAGGTTGTTGCGGGGTACCCATAGGAGGGGGGGGGTCACTGGCTTGGGGGGCAACTGTGGGGTACTGTTGCCACTGACGCCAGGGGCTATGGGGTGCTATGGGGGGCTATAGGGAGTGCTGTGTGTGCTGATGCTGGAGGGGCAGTGCCAGGGGCTCTTGGCTGTCTGTGGGTGCTGTAGGGGTCTGTGGGTGCTATAGGGGTCTCTGGGGGTCTGTAGGGTTCTGTGGGGTGCTATAGGGGTCTTTGGGGTGCTGTAGGGGTCTATGTGTACTATAGGGGTCTATGGGTGCTATAGGGTTCTGTGGGGTGCTATAGGGGTCTTTGAGGTGCTGTAGGGGTCTATGTGTACTATAGGGGTCTATGGGGTGCTATAGGGGTCTATGGGTGCTATAGGGTTCTGTGTGGTGCTATAGGGGTCTTTGGGGTGCTGTAGGGGTCTATGTGTACTATAGGGGTCTGTGGGGTGCTATAGGGGTCTATGGGTGCTATAGGGGTTTGTGGGTGTTAATGGGGTCTGTGCGTGCTGTAGGGGTCTGTGGGGTGCTGTAGTGGTCTATGGGTGCTATAGGGGTCTGTGAGTGCTGTAGGGGTCTGTGGGGGTCTTTACTCGTCTGTGGGTGCTATAGGCATCTATGGGGTGCTATAGTGGTCTGTGGGGTACTCTAATGGTCTATGGGTGCTATAGTGGTCTGTGGGGTGCTGTAGGGGTCTGTCGGTACTATACGCGTCTATGGGGTGCTATAGGTGTCTGTGGGTGCTATAGGGGTTTATGGGTGCTGTAGGGGGTTATGGGTGCTGTAGGGATCTGTGGGTGCTGTAGAGGTCTGTGGGGGTCTTTAGTGGTCTCTGGGTGCTATAGGCATTTAAGGGGTGCTATAGTGGTCTATGGGGTGCTGTAATGATCTATGGGTGCTATAGGTGTCTGGGTGCTGTAGGGGTCTGTGGGGGTCTGTAATGGTCTATGGACACTATAGTGGTCTGTGGGCTGCTGTAGGGGTATGGATACTATAGGTGTCTGTGGGGTGCTATAGTGGTCTATGGGTGCTATAGGGGTCTATGGGTGCTGTAGGGGTCTATGGGTGCTATAGGGGTCTATGGGGTGCTGTAGGGGTCTATGGGGTGCTATAGGGGTCTGTGGGTGCTGTAGGGGTCTATGGGTGCTATAGGGGTCTGTGGGTGCTATAGGGGTCTATGTGGTGCTATAGGGGTCTGTGGGTGCTATAGGGGTCTATGTGGTGCTGTAGGGGTCTGTGGGTGCTATAGGGGCCTGTGGGTGCTATAGGGGTCTATGGGTGCTATAGGGGTCTGTGGGTGCTATAGGGGTCTATGTGGTGCTATAGGGGTCTGTGGGTGCTATAGGGGTCTATGTGGTGCTGTAGGGGTCTGTGGGTGCTATAGGGGCCTGTGGGTGCTGTAGGGGTCTATGGGTGCTATAGGGTCTATGGGTGCTATGGGGGTCTATGGGTGCTATAGGGGTCTGTGGGTGCTGTAGGGGTCTATGGGGTGCTATAGGGGTCTGTGGGTGCTGTAGGGGTCTATGGGTGCTATAGGGGTCTGTGGGTGCTATAGGGGTCTATGGGGTGCTATAGGGGTCTGTGGGTGCTATAGGGGTCTATGGGTGCTATAGGGGTCTGTGGGTGCTATAGGGGTCTATGGGTGCTATAGGGGTCTGTGGGTGCTATAGGGGTCTGTGGGTGCTATAGGGGTCTATGTGGTGCTATAGGGGTCTGTGGTTGCTATAGGGGTCTGTGGGTGCTGTAGGGGTCTATGGGTGCTATAGGGGTCTGTGGGTGCTATAGGGGTCTATGGGTGCTATAGGGGTCTGTGGGTGCTATAGGGGTCTATGGGGTGCTATAGGGGTCTGTGGGTGCTATAGGGGTCTATGGGTGCTATAGGGGTCTGTGGGTGCTATAGGGGTCTGTGGGTGCTATAGGGTCTGTGGGTGCTATAGGGGTCTGTGGGTGCTATAGGGGTCTATGGGTGCTATAGGGGTCTGTGGGTGCTATAGGGGTCTATGGGGTGCTATAGGGGTCTGTGGGTGCTATAGGGGTCTATGGGTGCTGTAGGGGTCTGTGGGGTGCTATAGGGGTCTGTGGGTGCTGTAGGGGTCTGTGGGTGCTTTAGGGGTCTATGGGTGCTGTAGGGGTCTATGGGGTGCTATAGGGGTCTGTGGGTGCTGTAGGGGTCTGTGGGTGCTATAGGGGTCTATGGGTGCTGTAGGGGTCTATGGGGTGCTATAGGGGTCTGTGGGTGCTTTAGGGGTCTATGGGGTGCTATAGGGGTCTGTGGGTGCTGTAGGGGTCTGTGGGGTGCTATAGGGGTCTATGGGTGCTGTAGGGGTCTATGGGGTGCTATAGGGGTCTGTGGTTGCTATAGGGGTCTGTGGGTGCTGTAGGGGTCTATGGGGTGCTATAGGGGTCTGTGGGTGCTGTAGGGGCCTGTGGGTGCTATAGGGGTCTATGGGTGCTGTAGGGGTCTGTGGGTGCTATAGGGGTCTATGGGTGCTGTAGGGGTCTGTGGGGTGCTATAGGGGTCTGTGGGTGCTGTAGGGGTCTATGGGGTGCTATAGGGGTCTGTGGGTGCTATAGGGGTCTATGGGGTGCTATAGGGGTCTGTGGGTGCTGTAGGGGTCTATGGGGTGCTATAGGGGTCTGTGGGTGCTGTAGGGGCCTGTAGGGGGTGCTGTGGGCGCTGACGCCGGGGGGGCAGCGCCGGGGGCGCAGCAGTTCTGTTTCCTGCTCTCGACACGGGCCGGGGGCCTCGGCATCAACCTGGCGACCGCCGACACCGTCGTCATCTTCGACTCCGACTGGAACCCACACAACGACATCCAGGTCCTGAGCACCCCCCGTGGCGCCCAGCACCCACCTCCTCCACATACCCCATTCCCCACACCCCATTCCCCATACCCCACATCCCATTCCCCACATCCCATATCCCATATACCCATGCCACATTCCCCATACCCCATATCCCATACCCCATATCCTATACCCCACACCCCATATCCCATTCCCCACATCCCATATCCCATACCCCATATCCCACACCCCATACCCCACACCCCATTCCCCATACCCCATATCTCACTCCCCATATCCCATACCCCATACCCCACGCCCCACACCCCACACCCCATACCCCATATCCCACACCCCATACCCCATTCCCCATACCCGACACCCCACTCCCCATACCCCACACCCCATACCCCACACCCCATTCCCCATACCCCATACCCCATATCCCATACCCCACATCCCACATCCCATTCCCCACATCCCATATCCCATACCCCATATCCCACACCCCATATCCCACACCCCATATCCCACACCCCATATCCCACACCCCATACCCCACACCCCATTCCCCATACCCCATATCTCACTCCCCATATCCCATACCCCATACCCCACGCCCCACACCCCACACCCCATACCCCATATCCCACACCCCATACCCCATTCCCCATACCCGACACCCCACTCCCCATACCCCACACCCCATACCCCACACCCCATTCCCCATACCCCATACCCCATATCCCATACCCCACATCCCACATCCCATTCCCCACATCCCATATCCCATACCCCATATCCCACACCCCATATCCCACACCCCATATCCCACACCCCATATCCCACACCCCATACCCCACACCCCATTCCCCATACCCCATATCTCACTCCCCATATCCCATACCCCATACCCCACGCCCCACACCCCACACCCCATACCCCATATCCCACACCCCATACCCCATTCCCCATACCCGACACCCCACTCCCCATACCCCACACCCCATACCCCACACCCCATTCCCCATACCCCATACCCCATATCCCATACCCCACATCCCATACCCCATTCCCCATACCCCATGCCCCACACCCCATTCCCCATAACCCATATCACATATACCCATACCCCACACCCCATTCCCCATACCCCATGCCATCCCTATGACATCCCCTGCTGTTCCGTGCTATCCCCTGTCCCATCAGAGGTGTTCACCTGCTCACACCCCATCACCATATCCCATCTCCCCACATCCCACCTGCCATATTCTGTATCCCAGGACATTCCATGTCCCGTATCCCATGACGTCCCATGTTACCCCACTCCATCCCATGTTATCCCACTCCATCCCATGTTACCCCATGTTACCCCATGTTACCCCATGTTACCCCATGCCATCCCATGTTACCCCATGTTACCCCATGCCATCCCATGTTATCCCATGTTATCCCATGTTACCCCATGTTACCCCATGACGTTCCATGTTATGCCATGTTACCCCACGTTATCCCACTTTACCCCCCGATGTGCCGTGTCCCCCCCCATTGCAGGTGTTCAGCCGCGCGCACCGCATCAGCCAGCCCAATGCCATGTCCCATGTCTCCATCTCCCCACATCCCACTCCATCCCATGTTACCCCACGTTATCCCACATTATCCCATGTTACGCCACATTACCCCATGTTACCCCATGACGTTCCATGTTATCCCATGACGTTCCATGTTATCCCACATTGCCCCCTGACGTGCCGTGTGCCCATTGCAGGCGTTCAGCCGCGCGCATCGCATCGGCCAGCCCAACGCCATGTCCCATGTCTCCATCCCACTCCATCCCATGTTACCCCATGACGTTCCATTTTATCCCATGTTACGCCATGTTATCCCATGTTATCCCATGTTACCCCATGTTATCCCATGTTGCCCCACTCCATCCCATGTTGTCCCATTACCCCATGACATTCCATGTCATCCCATGTTACCCCATGACGTCCCATGTTATCCCATGTTACCCCATGATGTCCCATATTATCCCGTTACCCCATGACGTCCCATGTTACCCCATGACGTTCCATGTTACCCCATGATGTCCCACGTTATCCCATGTTACCCCACGTTATCCCATGTTACCCCACGTTATCCCACGTCACCCCACGTTACCCCACGTTCCCCCCTGACGTGCCGTGCGCCCGTTGCAGGCCTTCAGCCGCGCGCACCGCATCGACCAGGCCAACGCCATGTCCCGTGTCTCCATCCCACTCCATCCCATGTTATCCCATGTTATCCCATGTTATCCCACGTCACCCCACGTTACCCCCTGACGTGCCGTGCGCCCGTTGCAGGCGTTCAGCCGCGCGCACCGCATCGGCCAGGCCAACGCCATGTCCCATGTCTCCATCCCACTCCATCCCACTCCATCCCACATTACCCCATGTTACCCCATGTTACCCCATGTTATCCCACGTTACCCCATGTCACCCCACGTCACCCCACGTTACCCCACGTTCCCCCCTGACGTGCCGTGCGCCCGTTGCAGGCGTTCAGCCGCGCGCACCGCATCGGCCAGGCCAACAAGGTGATGATCTACCGGTTCGTGACGCGCGCGTCGGTGGAGGAGCGCATCACGCAGGTGGCCAAGCGCAAGATGATGCTCACGCACCTGGTGGTGCGCCCGGGGCTGGGCTCCAAGGCCGGCTCCATGTCCAAGCAGGAGCTCGACGACATCCTCAAGTTCGGCACCGAGGAGCTCTTCAAGGATGAGAACGAGGGTGAGGGCGGGGGTCGGCGTGGGGGGCACGGTGGGGCGTGGGGGGCACAGTGGGACGGGGGGGTATGGTGGGGCATGGGGGGCACGGTGGGACGTGGGGGGCACGGTGGGACGGGGTCATGATAGCAAGTGGGGGTCACGGTGGGACGTGGGGGTCACGGTGGGGCATGGGGGTCACAGTGGGACGTGGGGGGTACGGTGGGGCGTGGGGGTCACGATGGGACGGGGTCATGATGGCACGTGGGGGTCACGGTGGGGTATGGGGGTCACGATGGGATGAGGTCATGATGGCACGTGGGGGTCACGATGGGACGTGGGGGTCACGGTGGGACGTGGGGGTCACGATGGGACAGGGTCATGATGGCACATGGGGGTCACGATGGGACGTGGGGGTCACGGTGGGGCATGGGGGTCACGATGGGATGAGGTCATGATGGCACATGGGGGTCACGATGGGATGTGGGGGTCACGGTGGCACGTGGGGGTCACAATGGGACGGGGTCATGATGGCACGTGGGGGTCACAGTGGGACGTGGGGGTCACGATGGGGCGTGGGGGTCACGGTGGGACGTGGGGGTCACGATGGGATGTGAAGGTCATGGTGGGGCGTGGGGATCATGATGGGACGGGGGGGTCACAATGGGGCATGGGGGTCACGGTGGGGCGTGGGGGGCACGATGTGGTGTGGGGGTCACAGTGGGGCATGGGGGTCATGGTGGGATGTGGGGGTCATGGTGGGGTGTGGGGGTCATGGTGGGACATGGTAGGGATTATGATGTTGCATGGGGGTCACAATGGGACATGCGGGTCATAATGGGGCATGGAAGTCATGGTGGGACATGGGGGTCATGATGGGAAATGGGGGTCACAATGGGACATGGGGGTCACGATGGGACATGGTAGGGGTTATGATGTTGCATGGGGGTCACAATGGGACATGGGGGTCACAATGGGACATGCGGGTCACAATGGGGCATGGAAGTCATGGTGGGACATGGGGGTCACAATGGGACGTGAAGGTCACGATGGGACATGGAGGTCATGGTGGGACATGGGGGTCACAATGGGACGTGAAGGTCACAATGGGACATGGAGGTCATGGTGGGACATGATAGGGGTTATGATGTTGCATGGGTGTCACAATGGGACATGGGGGTCACAATGGGACATGCGGGTCACAATGGGGCCTGGAAGTCATGGTGGGACATGGGGGTCACAATGGGGCATGGGCGTCGTGATGGGACATGTGGGTCGTGATGGGACATGGAGGTTATGGTGGGACATGGAGGTTATGGTGGGGCATGGCAGGGGTTATGATGTTGCATGGGGGTCACAATGGGACATGGGGGTCACAATGGGGCATGGGGGTCACAATGGGGCATGGAAGTCATGGTGGGACATGGGGGTCATGATGGGACATGGAGTTCACAATGGGACATGGGGGTCACAATGGGACGTGGGGATCACGATGGGGCATGGGGGTGACGATGGGGCATGGAGGTCACAATGGGACCTGGGGGTCACGATGGGACATGGGGGTCACAATGGGACATGGGGATCACAGTGGGACATGGGGGTCACAATGGGGCATGGAGGTCACAGTGGGACAAGGGGGTCACAATGGGACGCGGAGGTTATGGTGGGACATGGTAGGGGATATGATGTTGCATGGGGGTCACAATGGGACGTGGCGGTCACAATGGGACATGGAGGTCACAATGGGACATAGAGGTCACAATGGGGCATGGAGGTCATGATGGGACATGGGGGTCACAATGGGACATGGGGGTCATGGTGGGGAATGGAGGTCACAGTGGGACGTGAAGGTCATGGTGGGACATGAAAGCCTATGATGGGATGTGGAAAGTCATGGCGGGACATGGAAGGTCCTAATGGGACCATTTGGGGCCATATTTGGCTTCCTGAGGCTCTGTTGGACCATGTTCGGCCGTGTTGAAGCATGCTTTGGCCATGGTGGGGCACGTTGGATCATACCAAGGGCACGTTGGGCCATGCCAAGGCCATGGTGGGCCTTGTTTGGCTCCGTTAAGGTCATGTTGGCCAATGCCAAGGCCATGGTGGGCCTTGTTTGGCTCTGTTAAGGCCATGTTGGCCAATGTTGGCCATGCCAAAGCCATGTTGGCCCACATTGGCCCATGCTAAGGCCACATTGGCCCATGTTGGCCCATGCCAAGGCCATGTGGGCCCGCATCGGCCCACGCTGGCCCATGCCAAGGCCATGTTGGCCCACATTGGCCCATGCCAAGGTCACAGTGGCCCATGCTAAAGCCATGTTGGCCCATATTGGCCCAAGCTAAGGCCACATTGGCCCATGTTGGCCCATGCTAAAGCCATGTTGGCTCACATTGGCCCATGCTAAGGCCATATTGGCCCATGTTGGCCCATGCCAAGGCCATGTTGGCCCACATTGGCCCATGCCAAGGCCACATTGGCCCATGCTAAAGCCATGTTGGCCCACATTGGCCCATGCTAAGGCCACATTGGCCCATGTTGGCCCATGCCAAGGCCATGTGGGCCCGCACTGGCCCACGCTGGCCCATGCCAAGGCCATGTTGGCCCACATTGGCCCATGCCAAGGTCACAGTGGCCCATGCTAAAGCCATGTTGGCCCATATTGGCCCAAGTTAGGCCACATTGGCCCATGTTGGCCCATGCTAAAGCCATGTTGGCTCACATTGGCCCATGCTAAGGCCATATTGGCCCATGTTGGCCCATGCCAAGGCCATGTTGGCCCACATTGGCCCATGCCAAGGCCACATTGGCCCATGCTAAAGCCATGTTGGCCCACATTGGCCCATGCTAAGGCCACATTAACCCGTGTTGGCCCATGCTAAGGCCATGTTGGCCCACATTGGCCCATGCTAAAGCCACATTGGCCCATGTTGGCCCATGCCAAGGCCACAATGGCCCATGCTAAAGCCATGTTGGCCCATATTGGCCCATGCTAAGGCCACATTGGCCCTCATTGGCCCGTGCTAAGGCCATGTTGGCTCGCATTGGCCCATGCTAAGGCCGCATTGCCCCATGTTGGCCCTTGCTAAGGCCATGTTGGCTCACATTGGCCCATGCTAAGGCCATGTTGGCCCATGTCAAGGCCATGTTGGCCCACATTGGCCCATGCCAAGGCCACATTGGCCCATGCTAAGGCCACATTAACCCATGTTGGCCCATGCTAAGGCCGTGTTGGCCCACATTGGCCCATGCTAAGGCCACATTGGCCCATGTTGGCCCATGCCAAGGCCACAATGGCCCATGCTAAAGCCATGTTGGCTCACATTGGCCCATGCTAAGGCCAGTGTGGCCCATGTTGGCCCATGCCAAGACCATGTTGGCCCGCATTGGCCCACGCCAAGGCCAGGCTGGTCCATGCTACACGATGCGAGCCACGTGCCGCCGCGCAGGGGACAACAAGGAGGAGGACAGCAGCGTGATCCACTACGACAACGAGGCCATCGCGCGGCTCCTGGACCGCAACCAGGACGCCACCGACGACGCTGACGTGCAGAACATGAACGAGTACCTGAGCTCCTTCAAGGTGGCCCAGTACGTGGTGCGAGAGGAGGACAAGGTGAGCATGGCTAGGGTGATGGTGGAGGTGGTGGGGCAGTGGGGTGGATGGGGTTGATGGAGGTGGTGGGGTTGATGGAGGTGGTGGGGTTGATGGAGGTGATGGGATCAATGGGGTTGATGGAGATTATGGGACAATGGGGTTGATGGAGGTGATGGGGCTGATGGAAGTGATGGGACAATGGTGTTGATGGAGGTGATGGGATAATGGGGTTGATGGAGATGATGGGGCTGGTGGAAGTGATGGGACAATGGTGTTGATGGAGGTGATGGGGTTGATGGAAGTGATGGGACATGGGGTTGATGGAGATGATGGGACGATGGGGTTGATGGAGGTGATGGGACAATGGGGTTGATGGAGATGATGGGGCTGGTGGAAGTGATGGGACAATGGGATTGATGGAGGTGATGGGGCTGATGGAAGTGATGGGACAATGGGGTTGATGGAGGTGATGGGGTTGATGGAAGTGATGGGACAATGGTGTTGATGGAGGTGATGGAAGTGATGGGACAATGGGGTTGATGGAGGTGATGGGGTTGATGGAAGTGATGGGACAATGGTGTTGATGGAGGTGATGGAAGTGATGGGACAGTGGGGTTGATGGAGGTGATGGGGCTGATGGAAGTGATGGGACAATGGTGTTGATGGAGGTGAAGGAAGTGATGGGACAATGGCGTTGATGGAGGTGATGGAAGTGATGGGACAATGGGGTTGATGGAGGTGATGGGGTTGATGGAGGTGATGGGACAATGGGGTTGAAGGGGACGGGGAGATGGAGATGAGGATGATGGAGATGATGTCGGTGAAGGGGATGAGTAGATTGAGGTAGAGATGGGGATGATGGAGAGAATGGGGATGAATAGATGGAGGTTGAGATGGGGATGATGGAGAGGATGAGGATGAAGATTGGGATGAGTAGATTGAGGTAGAGATGGGGATGATGGAGAGAATGGGGATGAATAGATGGAGGTTGAGATGGGGATGATGGAGAGGATGAGGATGAAGATTGGGATGAGTAGATTGAGGTAGAGATGGGGATGATGGAGAGGTTGAGGATGAAGATGATGGAGATGAGTAGTTTGAGGTAGAGATGGTGATGATGGAGAGGATGAGGATGAAGATCGGGATGAGTAGATTGAGGTAAAGATGGGGATGATGGAGAGGATGAGGATGAAGATCGGGATGAGTAGATTGAGGTAGAGATGGGGATGATGGAGATGATGAGGATGAAGATGATGGAGATGAGTAGATTGAGGTAGAGATGGGGATGATGGAGAGAATGAGGATGAAGATGATGGAGATGAGTAGTTTGAGGTAGGGATGGGGATGATGGAGAGAATGAGGATGAAGATGATGGAGATGAGTAGATTGAGGTAGAGATGGGGATGATGGAGAGGATGAAGATGATGGAGATGAGTAGATTGTGGTAGGGATGGGGTTGATGGAGAGGATGAGGATGAAGATCAGGATGAGTAGATTGCGGTAGGGATGGGGATGATGGAGAGGATGAAGATGATGGAGATAAGTAGATTGAGGTAGAGATGGGGATGATGGAGAGGATGAGGATGAAGATCAGGATGAGTAGATTGAGGTAGGGATGGGGATGATGGAGAGGATGAAGATGATGGAGATAAGTAGATTGAGGTAGAGATGGGGATGATGGAGAGGATGAGGATGAAGATCAGGATGAGTAGATTGCGGTAGGGATGGGGATGATGGAGAGGATGAGGATGATGGGGATGAGTAGATTGAGGTAGAGATGGGGATGATGGAGAGGATGAGGATGACGATCAGGATGAGTGGATTGAGGTAGAGATGGGGATGATGGAGAGGTTGAGGATGAAGATGATGGAGATGAGTAGATTGAGGTAGAGAGGGGGATGATGGAGAGGATGAGGATGATGGAGATGAGTAGATTGAGGTTGAGGTGGGGACGATGGACAGGATGAAGATGAAGATCAGGATGAGTAGATTGAGGTAGAGATGGGGATGATGGAGAGGTTGAGGATGAAGATGATGGAGATGAGTAGATTGAGGTAGAGATGGGGATGATGGAGAGGATGAGGATGAAGATGATGGGGACGAGTAGATGGAGGTGCTGGAGGCAATGAGGCCGACGGAGGTGTTGGTGGGGCACAACGGAGAGGACGGAGCTGGTGCTGATGAGGATGGGAGATGCCATCGGAATGGGCGGATGTGGAGCTGGTGCTGCCCCCCCCCCCCCCCCAAATGGGTGCCCGTGGGTGCCTTTGGGTGCCCCTTGACCCCGTTGCGTGCCGGCAGATCGAGGAGATCGAGCGGGAGATCATCAAGCAGGAGGAGAACGTGGACCCCGACTACTGGGAGAAGCTGCTGCGGCACCACTACGAGCAGCAGCAGGAGGACCTGGCCCGCAACCTGGGCAAGGGCAAGCGCGTGCGCAAGCAGGTCAACTACAACGATGCGGCCCAGGAGGACCAAGGTGGGCACTGGGGTGGACTGGGAGGGACTGGGATGGACTGGGAGGGAGTGGGAGGCATTGGGAGGGCATTGCAAGGCATTGGAAGGGCCCTGGAAGGATCTAGGAGGCCCTGGCCCCCAATGTGGGCACAAGGAGGTCAACTGCAGCGATGCGGCCCAGGAGGACCAAGGTGGGCACTGGGATGGACTGGGATAGACTGGGATGGAGTGGGAGGCATTGGGAGGGCATTGCAAGGCATCGGAAGGGCATTGGAAGGATCTAGGAGGCCCTGGCCCCCAACATGGGCACAAGGAAGTCAACTACAACGATGCGGCCCAGGAGGACCAAGGTGGGCACTGGGATGGACTGGGATGCACTGGGGTGGACTGTGATAGACTGGGATGGAGTGGGAGGCATTGGGAGGGCATTGCAAGGGATTGGAAGGGCACTGGAAGGATCTAGGAGGCCCTGGCCCCCAACACGGGCACAAGGAGGTCAACTACAATGATGCGGCCCAGGAGGACCAAGGTGGGCGCTGGGGTGGACCGGGATGGAGTGGGTTAGACTGGGATGGAGTGCTAGAGACTGGGATGGACTGGGAGGCATTGGAAGGATCTTGGAGGCCCTGGCATCCAACGTGGGCAAGGGCACAAGCAGGTCAACTGCAACGATGCGGCCCAGGAGGACCAAGGTGGGAACTGGGAGGGACTGGGATAGACTGGGATGGACTGAGATGCACTGGGGTGGACTGGGATGGCCTGGGAGGCACTGGGAGGGCATTGCAAGGCATTGGAAGGGCACTGGAAGGATCTAGGAGTCCCTGGACCCCAACGTGGGCACAAGGAAGTCAACTACAATGATGTGGCCCAGGAGGACCAAGGTGGGCACTGGGGTGGACTGGGATGGACTGGGAGGGAGTGGGAGGCATTAGGAGGGCATTGCAAGGCATTGGAAGGGCACTGGAAGGATCTAGGAGGCCCTGGCCCCCAAAGTGGGCACAAGGAGGTCGACGACAACTATGTGGCCCAGCAGGACCAAGGTGGGCACTGGAATGCACTGGGATGGACTGGGATGGAGTGGTATAGACTGGGATGGAGTGGGAGGCATTGGAAGGATCTAGGAGGCCCTGTTCCCCAGCATGGGCAAGGGCACAAGGAGGTCTACTGCAACGATGCGGCCCAGGAGGACCAAGGTGAGCACTGGGATGCACTGGGATGGACTGGGAGGCATTGGAAGGATCTAGGAGGCCCTGGCCCCCAACGTGGGCACAGGGAGGTCAACTGCAACGATGCGGCCCAGGAGGACCAAGGTGGGCACTGGGATGCACTGGGATGCACTGGGAGGTGGTGTTGGGTGCCGTTGGGTGCTATTGGGTGCCGTTGGGTGCTGTCCATGGTGCTGACGGTGTCCCCCAGATAACCAGTCCGAGTACTCGGTGGGCTCCGAGGAGGAGGACGAGGACTTCGATGAGCGGCCTGAGGGTGAGAGCCCCCCCCCCCCCCCATGGCCCCCCATGGTCCCCCCATGTCCCCTTGTGTCCCCCCATGGCCCCCATCCTGTGTCCCTTTGTGTCCCCCCCTCCATGTCCTCCTGTGTTTCCCCATGTGTCTCCCTGTCTGGGGAGGGGGGGACCCACATGTGGGGGTCAGGGTGCTGCAAGAGGGTTGAGGTGCTATAGGAAATGTCAGGGTCCCTTAGGGGTGTCATGGTGCAATATGTGGGGTCAGGGTGCTATATGGGGGTGAGGGTGCCGTAGGGGTGTCATAGTGCTATAGTGGGTGTCAGTGTCCCATAGCAGTGTCATGGTGCTATAGAGGGGGTCAGGGTGCCATAGTGGGTGTCAGTGGCCCATAGCAGTGTCATGGTGCTATATAGGGGGTCAGGGTGCCATAGGGGTGTCAGCGTCCCATAGCAGTGTCATGGTGCTATATAGGGGGTTAGGGTGCCATAGGGGTGTCGTGGTGCTATGTAGGGGATCCAAGTTCTATAGTGGGTGTCAGTGGGTGTCCCATAGCAGTGTCATGGCGCTATAGAGGGGGTCAGGGTGCCATAGGGGTGCTCGCGATGCTCTGGGGTGCTCTCCAGGTGCCATAGGTGGGTGCTGACCCCCTTGTCCCCCCCCAGGCCGCCGTCAGTCCAAGCGGCAGCTCCGCAATGAGAAGGACAAGCCCCTGCCGCCGCTGCTGGCCCGGGTCGGGGGCAACATCGAGGTGAGGACATGGGGGCACCCCACAGCGGCCCCATAGAACCCCCTCTGCTGTCCCCTGTCCCCATAGACCCCATCCCCAATGTCCCCAATGTCCCAATCTCCATAGACCCCATAGACCCCATCCCCAGAGTCCCTGGTATCCCTATAGACCCCATCCCAATGTCCCCATCCCCATAGACCCCATCCCCAATGTCCGCAATGTCCCTATCCCCATAGACCCCATCCCCAATGTCCCCATCCCCATAGACCCCATCCCCAATGTCCCCAATGTCCCCATCCCCATAGACCCCATCCCAATGTCCCCATCCCCATAGACCCCATCCCCAATGTCCCCAATGTCCCTATCCCCATAGACCCCATCCCCAATGTCCCCATCCCCATAGACCCCATCCCCAATGTCCCCAATGTCCCCATCCCCATAGACCCCATCCCAATGTCCCCAATGTCCCCATCCCTGTAGACCCCATCCCCAATGTCCCCATCCCCATAGACCCCATCCAAATGTCCCCATCCCCGTAGACCCCATCCCCAATGTCCCCAATGTCCCCATCCCCATAGACCCCATCCCCAGGGTCCCCAATGTCCCCATGCCCAGAGGACCTTGTCCCCATGGTCCCCATCCTCAATGGCCCCAAATGTCCCATGGGTGGGGGGTCAGGGTGCCATGGGGAAGACCACAACACAAAGGGTGGATATGGGACATGCTGGGTGTCACCCATTGACACCCATTGACGTGTGTTATCACCCATTGATGCCCATTGATGCCCATTGCCCCCATTGTCCCCATTGCCCTCATTGCCTCCATTGTCCCATTACCCCCATTGTCCCCATTACCCCCATTGTTCTCATCACCCTCATTGTCCCCCTTACCCCCATTGTCCCCATTACCCCCATTGTCCCCATTGTCCCCATTGTCCCCATTACCCCCATTGTCCCCATTGCCCCATTACCCCCATTGTCCCCATTACCCCATTGCCCCCATTGTCCCATTGCCTCCAATGCCCCATTGCCCCCATTACCCCCATTGTCCCCATTACCCCCATTGTCCCCATTGCTCCCATTGCCCCCATTACCCCCGTTGCCCCCATTACCCCCATTGTCCCCATTACCCCCATTGCTCCCATTGTGTACCCATTGTCCCCATTGCTCCCATTGTCCCCATTACCCCCATTGCCCCCATTACCCCCATTGTGTCCCCATTGTCCCCATCGCTCCCATTGTCCCCCCATTGCTCCCATTGTCCCCCCATTGCTCCCATTGTCCCCATTGCCCCCACTGTCCCCATTTCCCCCATTACCCCCATTGCCCCCATTGCTCCCATTGTCCCCATTGCCCCCACTGTCCCCATTTCCCCCATTACCCCCATTGCCCCCATTGCTCCCATTGTCCCCATTGCCCCCGCAGGTGCTGGGGTTCAACACGCGGCAGCGCAAGGCCTTCTTGAACGCGGTGATGAGGTGGGGGATGCCCCCCCAGGACGCCTTCACCTCCCAATGGCTCGTGCGGGACCTGCGTGGCAAGAGCGAGAAGGAGTTCAAGTGGGTGCCAATGGGGGCAGTGGGGGGCAATGGGGACAATGGGGACAATGGGGACAATGGGGACAATGGGGACAGTGGGGGTAATGAGGCAATAGGGACAATGGGGACAATGGGGATGGGAGACACAGGGTGGTGGTATCAGGTATGTCCCCCATTGCCCCCCGTAGTCCTCATTGTCCCCATTGCCCCTATTGCCCCCTCTGCCCCCCATTGCCCCCAGCCACATGATGAGCCCTTACTCATCCCAGCGCCAACAAGAGTCGGGTTCCTGGGGGCCGGACGAGCCCGTGCCCCCCTCACCCCGACACAAAGTCACCCCCGGGGTCCCCCTGTGCCCCCCGGGGGGCCGGTGCTGGCCTTGGGGTCAACCAGAGCGGTGGCAGGACCCGGCCGGGGCCGGCACAGGCCATGGGGCGCTGTGAGGAGGGGACAGGCTGATGGCAAAGGGACAGTGGGGGCAATGGGGGTAATGGGGACACTGGGGACAATGGGGGTAATGGGGGCAATGGGGGCAATGGGGGTAATGGGAGCTTTGGGGACAGTGGGGGTAATGGGGGCAATGGAGACAATGGGGACAGGGAGTCTGGGGACAATGTCCCTAGTTATGGGGAGACTGGGTGCAGGCTCTATGGGTTCTGTGGACACAGGCTCTATGTGCTCTGTGGGTGTCAATGGGCTCTGTGGGTGTCAATAGATTCTATGGGCTCTATGGGTGTCAATAGATTCTGTGTGCTCTATGGGTGTCAATGGACTCTATGGGTGTCAGTGGGCTCTATGGGTATCAATGGACTCTATGGGTGTCAGGGGATGTCAGTGGGCTCTCTGGGTGTCAATGGGCTCTCTGGGTGTCAATAGATTCTGTGTGCCCTATGGGTGTCAGTGGGCACTGTGGGTGTCAATAGATTCTGTGTGTTCTATGGGTGTCAATGGATTCTATGGGTCTCTATGGGTGTCAATGGGTGTCAGTGTGCTCTATGGGTGCCAATGGGGTCTCTGGGTGTCAATGGACTCTATGAACTCTATGGGTGATCAATATGCTCTATGGGTGTCAATGTGCTCTGTGGGTGTCAATGGACTCTGTATGCTCTGTGGGTGTCAATGGACTCTATGGGTCCCAGTGGGCTCTATGAGCTCTATAGGTGCCAGTATGCTCTATGGGTGTCAACGTGCTCTATGGGTGTCAATGTGCTCTATGAGTGTCAACGTGCTCTATGGGTGTTAATGGACTCTATGAGCTTTATGGGTGTCAGTGTGCTCTATGAGTGTCAATGGGCTCTATGGGTGTGAACGTGCTCTATGAGTGTCAATGGTCTCTATGGGTGTTAACGTGCTCTATGGGTGTTAATGGACTCTATGAGCTTTATGGGTGTCAGTGTGCTCTATGGGTGTCAATGGGCTCTATGGGTGTCAATGGGTGTCAGTGTGCTCTATGGGTGTCAATGGACTCTATGAACTCTATGGGTGATCAGTATGCTCTATGGGTGTCAACGTGCTCTGTGGGTGTCAATAGACTCTGTGGGCTCTATGGGTCCCAATGGGCTCCATGAGCTCTATGGGTGATCAATATGCTCTATGGGTGTCAACGTGCTCTGTGGGTGTCAATAGACTCTGTGGGCTCTATGGATGTCAATGGACTCTATGAGCTCTATGAGTGATCAATATGCTCTGTGGGTGTCAACATGATCTGTGGGTGTCAATAGTCTCTGTGGGCTCTATGGGTGTCAATGGGCTCTATGGGTGCCAATGGGCTCCATGAGCTCTATGGGTGATCAATATGCTGTATGGGTGTCAACATGCTCTGTGGGTGTCAATAGACTCTGTAGGCTCTATGGTTGTCAATGGATGTCAGTAGACTCTGTGTGCTCTATGGGTGTCAATGGACTCTGTGGGTCCCAATGGGCTCTGTGAGCTCTATGAGTGTCAATATGTTCTATGGGTGTCAGTAGACTCTCTGTGCTCTGTGGGTGTCAATGGACTCTATGGGTCCCAGTGGGCTCTATGAGCTCTATGGGTGTCAGTGTGCTCTACGGGTGTCAATGTGCTCTATGGGTGTCAATGGACTCTGCGGGTCTCAGTGAGCAATATGAGCTCTATGGGTGTCAGTGTGCTCTATGGGTGTCAATGGGCTCTGTGGGCGTCGATGGGCTTTATGGGTGTCAGTGAGTGTCAGTGGGTGTCAGTGTGCTCTATGGGTGTCAGTGGGCTTTATGGGTGTCAGTGGGTGTTAATGGGTGTCAGTGTGCTCTGTGGTTTTCAGTAGTTGTCAGTGCGTGTCAATGAGTGTGAATGTGCTCTATGGTTATCAGTGGGCTCTATGGGTGTCAATGTGCTCTACGGATGTCAGTGGGTGTCAGTGGGTGTCAATAGGTGTCAGTGGGTGTCAGTGGGTGTCAATGGTGTCCTCTGCAGGGCCTGCAGAGGTGTCCCTGTTCATGCGGCACCTCTGTGAGCCTGGGGAGGGCTCTATGGTTCTCAATGTGCTCTAGGGGCTCTGTGGGTGTCAGTGGGCTCTATGGGTGTCACTGGGCTCTATGGGTGTCAATGGGCTCTGTGGGTGTCAATGGGTGTCAGTGTGCTCTATGGGTGCCAGTGGGTGTCAATGGGCTCTATAGGTGTCAATGGGCTCTATGGGTGTCAATGGGCTCTATGGGTGTTAGTGGGTGTCAATGGGTCTGTGGGTGTCAATGGGCTCTATGGGTGTTAGTGGGTGTCAGTGGGCTCTATGGGTGTCAATGGGCTCTATGGGTGTCAGGGGGTGTGAGTGTGCTCTATGGTTGTGTGTGGGCTCTATTGGTGTCAATGTGCTCTATGGGTGTCAGTGGGTGTCAGTGTGCTCTATGGGTGTCAGTGGGCTCTGTGGGTGTCAATGGGCTCTGGGTGTCAGTGGGCTTTATGGGTGTCAATGGGTGTCAGTGGGCTCTATGGCTGTCAGTGGGTGTCACTGTGCTCTATGGGTGTCAGTGGGCTCTGTGGGTGTCAATGGGCTCTGGGTGTCAGTGGGCTTTATGGGTGTCAATGGGTGTCAGTGGGCTCTATGGCTGTCAGTGGGTGTCACTGTGCTCTATGGGTGTCAGTGGACTCTGGGGGTGTCAAAGGGCTCAATGGGCTCAATGGATGTCAGTGTGCTCTGTGGGTGTCAGTGGGTGTCAGTGTGCTCTATGGGTGTCGGTGGGTGTCAGTGGGTATCAGTGGTCTCTATGGGTGTCAGTGGGTGTCGATGGGTGTTGATGGGTGTCAGTGGGCTCTATGATTGTCAGTGGGTGTCCATGGGTGTCAATGGGCTCTGTGGGTGTCAGTGGGTGTCCATTGGTGTCCCTGGGTGTCCATGGGTGTCCCTGGGTGTCCAAGGTGTCCCTGGGTGTCCCTGGGTGTCCCTGGTGTCCATGGGTGTCCCTGGGTGTCAGTGGGTGTCCATGGTGTCTCTGGTGTCCCTGGTGTCCATGGTGTCCATGGGTGTTAGTGGGTGTCCATGGTGTCCATGGTGTCCCTGGGTGTCCCTGCTGTCCCTGGGTTTCCCTGCTGTCCATGGTGTCCCTGCTGTCCCTGGTGTCCCTGATGTCCCTGGGTGTCCCTGGTGTCCCTGTGTCCATGCAGAGCCTACGTGTCCATGGGTGTCCATGGGTGTCCATGGGTGTCCCTGGTGTCCCTGCTGTCCCTGGGTGTCCCTGGGTGTCCATGGGTGTCCATGGGTGTCCATGGTGTTCCTGTGTCCATGGGTGTCCATGGGTGTCCCTGGGTGTCCCTGGGTGTCCATGGGTGTCCATGGGTGTCCCTGGGTGTCCATGGGTGTCCCTGTGTCCCCGCAGAGCCTACGTGTCCATGGTGTCCCTGGGTGTCCCTGGGTGCCCATGGGTGTCCATGGGTGTCCATGGGTGTCCATGGTGTCCATGGGTGTCCATGCGTGTCCATGGTGTCCCTGGGTGTCCATGGGTGTCCCTGTGTGTCCCTGTGTGTCCCTGGGTGCCCATGGGTGTCCATGGGTGCCCATGGGTGTCCCTGTGTCCCCGCAGAGCCTACGTGTCCATGGTGTCCCTGGGTGTCCATGGGTGTCCCTGTGTGTCCCTGTGTGTCCCTGGGTGCCCATGGGTGTCCCTGGGTGTCCCTGGGTGTCCCTGGGTGCCCATGGGTGTCCCTGTGTCCCCGCAGAGCCTACGTGTCCATGGGTGTCCCTGTGTGTCCCTGGGTGCCCATGGGTGTCCCTGTGTGTCCCTGGGTGCCCATGGGTGTCCCTGGGTGTCCCTGGGTGCCCATGGGTGTCCCTGTGTCCCCGCAGAGCCTACGTGTCCATGGGTGTCCCTGGGTGTCCCTGGGTGTCCCTGGGTGCCCATGGGTGTCCCTGTGTGTCCCTGGGTGCCCATGGGTGTCCCTGGGTGTCCCTGGGTGTCCCTGGGTGCCCATGGGTGTCCCTGTGTGTCCCTGGGTGCCCATGGGTGTCCCTGGGTGTCCCTGGGTGTCCCTGGGTGCCCATGGGTGTCCATGGGTGTCCCTGTGTGTCCCTGGGTGCCCATGGGTGTCCCTGTGTCCCCGCAGAGCCTACGTGTCCCTCTTCATGCGGCACCTGTGCGAGCCGGGCGCCGACGGCTCGGAGACCTTTGCGGACGGGGTCCCCCGGGAGGGGCTGTCCCGGCAGCAGGTCCTCACCCGCATCGGGGTCATGTCCCTCGTCAAGAAGAAGGTACCAGCACCCATGGGTGCTCCCGGGCCCACAGCCCCCAGCCCTGTGGGTGCCCCCCACCCATGGGTGCTCCTGGCCCCTGCTTCCCCCTATGGGAAGCCCCCAGCCCTATGGGTGCCACCCATCCATGGGTGCTCCTTGTTTCCCCCTATGGGTGCCGCCCATCCATGGGTGCTCTGTGTTCCCATCCACGGGTGGTCCTTGCTTCCCCCTATGGGTGCTCCCCACCCAAGGGTGCCTCTATGGGTGCCCCCCACCCATGGGTGCTCCTGGCCCCTGCTTCCCCCTATGGGCAGCCCCCAGCCCTATGGGTGCCGCCCATCCATGGGTGCTCCTGGCCCCTGCTTCCCCCTATGGGCAGCCCCCAGCCCTATGGGTGCCGCCCATCCATGGGTGCTCCTTGTTTCCCCCTATGGGTGCCACCCATCCGTGGGTGCTCTGTGGTCCCATCCATGGGTGCTCCTTGTTTCCCCCTATGGGTGCCACCCATCCGTGGGTGCTCTGTGTTCCCATCCACGGGTGCTCCTTGCTTCCCCCTATGGGTGCTGCCCATCCATGGGTGCTTTGTGTTCCCATCCATGGGTGCTCCTTGTTTCTCCCTATGGGTGCCCCCCATCCGTGGGTGCTCTGTGGTCCCATCCATGGGTGCTCCTTGCTTCCACCTATGGGTGCCGCCCATCCATGGGTGCTCTGTGTTCCCATCCACGGGTGGTCCTTGCTTCCCCCTATGGGTGCTCCCCACCCAAGGGTGCCTCTATGGGTGCCCCCCACCCATGGGTGCCTCCTGGCCTCCGCTTCCTCCTATGAGCAGCCCCCAGCCCTATGGGTGCCACCCATCCATGGGTGCTCCTTGTTCCCCCTATGGGTGCCCCCACCCATGGGTGCCCCCCAGCCTCCACTTACCCCCATGGGCACCCCCCAACCTTTTGGGTGCCTCCCATCCCTGGGTGCTCCTTGTTCCCTCCTTTGGGTGCCTCCCATCCATGGGTGCTCCTTGTTCCCCCTATGTGTGCCTCCCATACATGGGTGCTCTGTGTTCCCATCCATGGGTGCTCCTTGTTTCCCCCTATGGGTGCCCCCCACCTATGGGTGCCCCCCGGCCTCCGCTTACCCCCATGGGCACCCCCCAACATTTGGGTGCCTCCCATCCATGAGTGCTCCTTGTTTCCCCTATGGGTGCTTCCCATCCATGGGTGCTCCTTGTTTCCCCTATGGGTGCCTCCCATCCATGGGTGCTCCTTGTTTCCCCCTATGGGTGCCTCCCATCCATGGGTGCTCCTTGTTTCCCCCTATGGGTGCCACCCATCCATGGGTGCTCCTTGTTACCCCTGTGGGTGCTCCCCACCCATGGGTGCCTCTATGGGTCCCCCCACCCGTAGGTGCCTGTGGGTGCCTCCCGTCCATGGGTGCTCCTTGTTTCCCCCTATGCGTGCCCCCTACCCATGGGTGCCCCCCGGCCTCCGCTTACCCCCATGGGCACCCCCCAATGTTTGGGTGCCTCCCATGCATGCGTGCTCCTTCTTTACCCCTATGGGTGCCACCCATCCATGGGTGCTCCTTCTTTACCCCTATGGGTGCCACCCATCCATGGGTGCTCCTTGTTACCCCTGTGGGTGCTCCCCACCCGTGGGTGCCTCCCAGCCTCTGCTTACCCCCATGGGCACCCCCCAACATTTGGGTGCCTCCCATCCATGGGTGCTCCTTGTTTCCCCTATGGGTGCTTCCCATCCATGGGTGCTCCTTGTTTCCCCTATGGGTGCTTCCCATCCATGGGTGCCCCTTGTTTCCCCCTATGGGTGCCTCCCATCCATGGGTGCTCCTTGTTTCCCCCTATGGGTGCCACCCATCCATGGGTGCTCCTTGTTACCCCTGTGGGTGCTCCCCACCCATGGGTGCCTCTATGGGTCCCCCCACCCGTAGGTGCCTCTCAGCCTCTGCTTACCCCCATGGGCAGCCCCCAGCCCTGTGGGTGCCTCCCGTCCATGGGTGCTTCTTGTTTCCCCCTATGGGTGCCCCCCACCCATGGGTGCCCCCCGGCCTCCGCTTACCCCCATGGGCACCCCCCAGTGTTTGGGTGCCTCCCATGCATGTGTGCTCCTTCTTTACCCCTATGGGTGCCACCCATCCATGGGTGCTCCTTGTTACCCCTGTGGGTGCTCCCCACCCGTGGGTGCCTCCCAGCCTCTGCTTACCCCCATGGGCACCCCCCAGCCCTATGTGTGCCTCCCATCCATGGGTGCTCCTTGGTCCCCCTACGGGTGCCACCCATCCATGGGTGCTCCTTGTTTCCCCCTATGGGTGCCTCCCATCGATGGGTGCTCCTTGTTCCTCCTTATGGGTGCCCCCCAACCATGGGTGCCTCCCGGCCTCTGGTTCTCCCCGTGGGCACCCCCAGCCCTATGGGTGCTTCCCATCCATGGGTGCTCCTTGTTTCCCCCTGTGGGTTCCCCCCACCCATGAGTGCCCCTGTGGGTGCCCCCCCCATGGGTGTCCCCCCACATGGGTGTCCCTATCTATGGGTGCCCCTATCTATGGCTCCCCCTTCCCATGGGTGCCCCTATCTGTGGGTGCCCCTGTCTATGAGTGCCCCCACCCATGGGTGCCCCTATCTATGGGTCCCCCTACCCATGGGTGCCCCTATCTATGGTTGCCCCTATCCATGGGTCCCCCTTCCCATGGGTGCCCCTATCTGTGGGTGCCCCTATCTATGGGTGCCCCCACCCATGGGTACCCCCATGGGTGCCCTATCTATGGGTGCCCCTATCTATGGGTCCCCCTTCCCATGGGTGCCCCTATCTATGGGTGCCCCTATCTATGGGTCCTCCTTCCCATGGGTGCCCCTATCTATTGGTGTCCCTATCTATGGGTGCCCCCACCCATGGGTACCCCCATGGGTGCCCCTATCTATGGATGCCCCTATCTATGGGTCCCCCTTCCCATTGGTGCCCCTATCTATGGGTGCCCCTATCTGTGGGCCCCCTTCCCATGGGTGCCCCTATCTCTGGGTATCCCTATCTATGGGTGCCCCTATCTATGGGTCCCCCTTCCCATGGGTGCCCCTATCTATGGGTTTCCCTCTCTATGGGTGCCCCTATCTGTGGGTGCCCCTATCTATGGGAGCCCCCACTCATGGGTTTCCCTATCTATGGGTGTCCCTATCTATGGGTCCCCCTTCCCATGGGTGGTGCCCCTATCCATGGGTCCCCCCCCATGGGTGCCCCATATATGGTTGCCCCTATCTATGGGTGTCCCTATCTATGGGTGCCCCTATCTATGGGTCCCCCTTCCCATGGGTGGTGCCCCTATCCATGGGTCCCCCCACCATGGGTGCCCCTATCTATGGGTGTCCCTATCCATGGGTCCCCCCACCATGGGTGCCCCTATCTATGGGTGCCCCTATCTATGGGTCCCCCTTCCCATGGGTGGTGTCCCTATCTATGGGTCCCCACCCCATGGGTGCCCCTATCTATGGGTGCCCCGCACCCATGGGTGCCCCCCCTCAGGTGCAGGAGTTCGAGCACATCAACGGGCGCTGGAGCCTCCCGGAGCTGCCCCCGGAGCCCAGCGCCGCCGACTCCAAGCGCTCGTCCCGGGCCTCGTCCCCCGCCAGGACCGGGCCCCCCAGCCCCGAGCACAGCGGCCCCCCCAGCCCCGCCCCACACAGCCCCGGTAACGGCACTGGGGGGGGGGATTATGGGGTGGGGGGGGGTTGGGGATTGTGGGATGTGGGGGGTGGGGGGTGGGGTATGGGGTATGGGGTATGAGGTATGGGATGTATGGGATATGGGGTATGGGGTATGGGATATGGGGTGGGGGATATGGGGTATGAGGTATGGGGTATGGGATATGGGGTATGGGATATGGGGTATGGGGTATGGGGTATGGGATGTATGGGATATGGGGTATGGGGTATGGGATATGGGATATGGGGTATGGGGTATGGGATATGCGGTATGGGATATGCGGTATGGGGTATGGGATATGCGGTATGGGATATGGGGTATGGGGTATGTGATATGGGGTGGGGGGTATGGAGTATCGGATATGGGGTATGGGATATGGGGTATGAGGTATGGGATATGGGGTATGGGATATGGGGTGTGAGGTATGGGGTATGGGATATGGTGAATGGGATATGGGGTGGGGGGTATGGGGTATGGGATATGGGGTATGGAATATGGGATATGAGATATAGGGTATGGGATATGGGGTATGAGATATAGGGTATGGGATATGGGGTATGAGATATAGGGTATGGGATATGGGGTATGAGATATGGGGTATGGGATATGGGGTATAGGATATGGGGTGGGGGGTATGGGGTATGGATATGGGGTATGAGATATGGGGTATGGGATATGGTGAATGGGATATGGGGTATGGGATATGGGCTGGGGGGTATGGGGTGTCGGTATGGGGTATGGGGTATGGGATATGGGGCACAGGATATGGGGTATGGGATATGGGGTACGGGGTGTGGGGTACGAGGTATGGATACGGGAATGGGGATGCGGAATGGACAGGAATGAAGGGGCAGGCTGGGGATATAGGGGACATAATGATGGGAGCAGGATGGGGTACATCCCATCCACAGGGGTTAGGATGTGGGTACAGGGGATGTGGGGATACATGGGGATGGGGGTGGGATGGGATACAGGGGAGATGGGGCGATATAGGGGTGGGGAATACAGGGAATATGGGGATATGGAGACAGGATTGGGATGCAGGGTACATAGGGGTACATGGGTATGGGATGCGGGGGACATAGGGGTACATGGGGATGGGATGCAGGGACAGGATGGGGATGCAGGGTACATAGGAGTACATGGGTTTGGGATGCAGGGACAGTATGGGGATGCAGGGTACATAGGGGTACATGGAGATGGGATGCAGGGGACAGGATGGGGATGCAGGGTACATAGGAGTACATGGGTTTGGGATGCAGGGACAGGATGGGGATGCAGGGTACATAGGGGTACATGGGGATGGGATGCAGGGGACAGGATGGGGATGCAGGGCACATGGGGGTACATGGGGATGGGATGCAGGGGGCAGGATGGGGATGCCGGATACAGAGGCCACGAGGGACCAGGATGGTGACGTGGGACGGGTACGGGGTTTGGGGACGTCCCCCATCCCATAATACCCCTCTGTCCCCTCTCCCCAGCCACGCCAGCCCCCAGCGAGCGCGGGGACGGGCCGGGGCCCCCCCAGGACAGGGACCATGGGGACCCCAACAGGGACGAGAAGGAGCCCAAAGGTGCCGAGAAGATGGAGCCCGAGGTGGGTGACGGCGACGGCCGCCGTGGGGGCCCCAGTCCCCTATGGGTGTCCATAGGGGCTGACGCCAGCCCCCCACCCCCCGTGTCCCCTATGGCAGCCACCAGTCCCTGAGGTGCCCCCGTCGCCGGGTGATGGCAGCGAGGCCGAGGGGATGCGCAAGGGGGAGGAGGAGGAAGGACCCGGCCACAGGGAGCCCGAGGCCGAAGGGACCGCGGCCCGCGAGGAGCGAGCGGGTGAGGGACCCCCGCATCCCATAATACCCTGTGTGCCATAATAACACATCATATCCCATTATATCCCGTCGTATCCTGTAGTATCCCATAATATCCTACATCCCATAGTGCCCCATATCCCATCATATCCCATAATATCCGATATCCCATAATAACCCATCGTATCCTATATCCCATAATATCCCATCATATTCCATCATATCCCATCATACCTCATAACATCTCTATTCCATATACCCCATATCCCATAATATCCCGTCGTATTCCGTAATATCCCCATCCCATAATATCCCATAATACCCTATATCCCATAATATCCCATACCCCATAATATCCCGTAATACACCATGTCCCATAATATGCCATCATATTCCATAATATATCATATCCCATAATATCCCATCATATACCATATTCCATAATATCCCATCATATCCCATCATATTCCATTATATCCCATATCCCATAATATCCCATAACACACCATATTCCATAATATCCCATCATATCCCATAATATCCCATCATATCCCATATTCCATAATACCCCATATCCCATAATATCCTGTATCCCATAATATCCCATAATACCCCATACCACCCCGTGACACCCCATAATACCCCCTGACATCCCATAACACCCCATGTTACCCCTGACATCCCATAATACCCCTGACATCCCATAACACCCCATAATACCCCTGACACCCCGTGTTACCCCCTGACACCCCATAACACCCCATGTTACCCCTGACATCCCATAATACCCCTGACACCCCATAATACCCCTGACATCCCATAACACCCCATAATACCCCTGACACCCCATAATACCCATAACACCCCATAATACCCCTGACACCCCATAATACCCCTGACATCCCATAATACCCCTGACACCCCATAATACCCCTGACATCCCATAATACCCCATAATACCCCTGACACCCCATAATACCCCTGACATCCCATAATACCCCTGACACCCCATAATACCCCTGACATCCCATAATACCCCATAATACCCCTGACATCCCATAATACCCCTGACACCCCATAATACCCCTGACACCCCATGTTACCCCTGACACCCCATAATACCCCTGACACCCCATGTTACCCCTGACATCCCATAATACCCCTGACATCCCATAATACCCCATAATACCCCTGACATCCCATAATACCCCTGACACCCCATAATACCCCTGACACCCCATAATACCTCTGACATCCCATAATACCCCTGACACCCCATGTTACCCCTGACACCCCATAATACCCCTGACACCCCATGTTACCCCTGACATCCCATAATACCCCTGACATCCCATAATACCCCTGACACCCCATAATACCCCTGACATCCCATAATACCCCATAATACCCCTGACACCCCATGTTACCCCTGACATCCCATAATACCCCTGACATCCCATAATACCCCATAATACCCCTGACATCCCATAATACCCCTGACACCCCATAATACCCCTGACACCCCATAATACCTCTGACATCCCATAATACCCCTGACATCCCATGTTACCCCTGACACCCCATAATACCCCTGACACCCCATGTTACCCCTGACATCCCATAATACCCCTGACATCCCATAATACCCCTGACATCCCATAATACCCCGCAGGCCCGGAGCCCCCCCCTGCAGACAAAGCCGAGGAGAAGCCCCCGGACGAGGACCCCAAGGAGCCGGGGGGGGACCCCGACCACAAACGAGGTGCCGGGGGGCGGGGCTTGGCCAAAGGGGGTGGAGCTTAGCATTGGGGGCGTGGTTTAGCCTGTGGGGGGCGTGGGTTAGACTATGGGGTGGAGCTTAGCCTGTGCAGGTGGAGCTTAGCCCATGGGGGTGGAGCTTTGCCTATGGGGGTGGAGCTTAGACTAGGGGCCATGGCTTAGGAAATGGGGTGGAGCTTAGCCTATGGGGGTGGAGCTTAGTCGGGGGGGGGTGTGTAGTTTAGCCTGTAGGGGCGTGGCTTAGCCTGTGGGGTGGAGCTTAGCCTAGGGGGCGTGGTTTAGCCTGTGGGGTGGAGCTTAGCCCATGGGGGTGGAGCTTTGCCTATGGGGGTGGAGCTTAGCCTAGGGGGCATGGCTTAGCCAATGGGGGGTGGAGCTTAGCCAAGGGGGGCGTGGCTTCCCCCTGCCCTTCCTCGTGCCCTGTTTACTCTGGAGCCTACTGATGGCTCCCAATGCCTATGGGGGCGTGCCTTAGCCTGTGGGGGTGGAGCTTAGCCTAGGGGGCATGGCTTACCCTATGGAGGGTGTGGCTTAGCCTATGGGGTGGAGCTTAGCCTATAGGGGTGTGGCTTAGCCTGTGGTGGGTGTGGCTTAGCCTATGGGGGTGGAGCTTAGCCTGTGGGGGTGGAGCTTAGCCTATGGGGGTATGGCTTAGCCTATTGAGGGTGTGGCTTAGCCTATGGGGGTGGAGCTTAGCCTGTGGGGGTGTGTCTTAGCCTATGGAGGGTGTGGCTTAGCCTATGGGGGTGGAGCTTAGTCTAGGGGGCGTGGCTTACCCTAAGGGGGGCGTGGCTTCCCCCTGCCCTTCCTTGTGCCCTGTTCACTCTGGAGCCTACTGATGGCTCCCATTGGCTTCCTGCTGATAGGAGAGGGTCTGGGGTGGGGGGGCGCCCCCCAAGTGTGCCCCCCCCTTACGTCCTCCCCCCCCGCACCCCCTCTTCCCCCCCCATAGAGGAGCCCAAGGCCGAGAGGGACCCCAAAGCCGAGCCCCGCGCCAACGGGCGCCGCGACGACCGGGCCGAGAAGCCGCGGTTCATGTTCAACATCGCCGACGGGGGCTTCACGGGTGAGGGAAGGGGGGGGGGGGGGGCGACCCCAAAGTGTGGGGTGGGACCCTGAGGGGTGGTGCTGACGCCATGGTGTGGGTCACACCCCCCTCCCTTATCCCCCCGTGCCCCATAGAGCTGCACACGCTGTGGCAGAACGAGGAGCGCGCCGCCATCTCCTCCGGGAAGCTCAATGAGATCTGGCACCGGCGCCACGACTACTGGCTGCTGGCCGGGATCGTGCTGTATCCTTCCGGGCTGCCCGGCCCTTCCTCCTCCTCCTCTTCCTCTTCTGTTTGCTCCTTCTCTTCCTCTTCCATCTTCCTTTTCCTCCTCTTCCTCCTCCTCCTCTTTTCCTACTTCTTCTACCTGCTTCCTTAGCCTCTTCCTCCTCCTCTTCCTCTTTGGCTTCCCTCTTCCTCCTCCTTCCCCTTCCCTCTTCCTCTTCTTCCTTCCTTTTCTTTATCCTCTTCTCCTCTTCCTCTTTTCCTCTTCCTCCTGCTTCCTTTTCCTTATCCTCTTCCCCTTTCTCCTCTTCTTCCTCCTTCCTTTTCCTTATCCTCTTCCTCCTCCTCTTCCTCTTCGTCTTCCCTCTTCCTCCTCCTCTTCTTCCCTTTCCCTCTTCTTCTTCCTCTTCTTCCTGCTTCCTTTTCCTTATCCTCTTCCTTCTTCTTCCTCCTCTTCCCCTTCCCTCTTCCTCTTCTTCCTCCTTCCTTTTCCTCATCCTCTTCCTCCTGATCTTCATCTTCCCTCTTCTTCCTCCTCTTCTTCCTCTTCCTCCTGCTTCCTTTTCCTTATCCTCTTCCCTCTTCTTCCTCCTCTTCCCCTTCCCTCTTCCTCTTCTTCCTCCTTCCTTTTCCGTATCCTCTTCCTCTTCATCTTCCCTCTTCCTCCTCCTCTTCTTCCCATTCCCTCTTCCTCTTCCTCCTGCTTCCTTTCCCTTATCCTCTCCCTCCTCTTTGGCTTCCCTCTCCCTCCTCCTCTTCCTCCCTTGCCCTCTCCCTCCTCCTCTTCCTCCCTTGCCCTCTTCCTCTTCCTCCTTTTCCCCCTCCCTGGTGTCAGTGGCAGCACCAAGGAGGGTGCCACCAAGGTAGGGGTGATGGAGGGGTGATGGTGACATGGTGACGGTGACATGGTGACAGTGATGTGGTGGTGGTGACACAGTGATGGTGACACGGTGATGGTGATGTGGTGGTGGTGACACAGTGATGGTGACGTGGTGATGGTGATGTGGTGGTGATACAGTGATGGTGACACGGTGATGGTGATGTGGTGGTGGTGACACAGTGATGGTGATGTGGTGACACAGTGACAGTGATGTGGTGGTAGTGACGCAGTGATGGTGACACAGTGATGGTGACCTGGTGATGGTGACACGTTGACGGTGACACAGTGACGGTGACCTGGTGATGGTGACACGGTGACGGTGATGTGTTAACGGTGACACATTGACGGTGACATGGTGATGGTGACAGTGACGTGGTGACGGTGACGCGGTAACGGTGACACAGGGGACATGATGGTGGCCTTCAGCATGGGGGGGATGTTGGGGACAAGGTGATCCAATGACAGTGACTTGGTGTCACACATGATGACATGGTGACCACGTGATGACACACGTGCTGACATGTGACGGTCCTTAGCGCTCAGCCACGGCTCCATGCATTGGCTGGGGGTGAATGGAGGGTGTTGAGGGTGACGTTAGGGACAGGATGACATGATAACGCGGTGACCACTTGATGCCATACGTGATGCCACACGTGATGACACGCATATGGACATGTGACGGTCCTCAGTGCTCAGCCATGGCTCCATGCATTGGCTGGGGGTGAATGGAGGGCGTTGAGGGTGACATTAGCGACAGGATGACATGATGACGCGGTGACCATGTGATGACACACGTGATGACACAGGTGATGACGTGTGTGGACATGTGACAGTCCTCAGTGCTCAGCCACGGCCCCATGCATTGGCTGGGGGTGAATGGAGGGCATTGAGGGTGCGGTTAGGGACAGGATGACGCGGTGCCCACGTGTTGCCACACATGATGCCACACGTGATGACACACGTGCTGACACATGACGGTCCTTAGCGCTCAGCCACGGCCCCATGCATTGGCTGGGGGTGAATGGAGGGCATTGAGGGTGACGTTAGGGACAGGATGACGCGGTGACCACGTGATGCCACACGTGCTAACACGCGTGCTGACACGCGTGCTGACACGTGACAGTCCTTAGCGCTCAGCCACGGCCCCATGCATTGGCTGGGGGTGAATGGAGGGCGTTGAGGGTGACGTTAGGGACAGGATGACGCGGTGACCACGTGATGCCACACGTGATGCCACGCGTGCTGACACGCGTGCTGACATGTGACGGTCCTTAGCGCTCAGCCACGGCTACGCGCGCTGGACCGACATCCAGAACGACGGCGCCTTCGGGGTCATCAACGAACCCTTCAAGGGGGAGGCCTCCAAAGGGAACTTCCTGGAGATGAAGAACAAGTTCCTGGCCCGGCGCTTCAAGGTGAGGCCTCCTGGGGTGGGGGGGGCTTGCCATGGGGGTCACGTGTGCATGAGGGTCACGTGTTCATCGTGGTCACGTGTGCACCAGGGTCATGTGTGTGCGAGGGTCGTGTGTGCACCAGGGTCACGTGTTCGTCGTGGTCACGTGTGCACCAGGGTCATGTGTGTGTGAGGGTCGTGTGTGCATGAGGATCATGTGTTCATGGTGGTCACGTGTGCACCTGGGTCATGTGTTCATCATGGTCACGTGGGCATGAGGGTCACATGTTCATCGTGGTCACGTGTGCACCTCGGTCATGTGTTCGTCATGGTCACATGTGCACCAGGGTCATGTGTGTGCGAGGGTCGTGTGTGTACCAGGGTCACGTGTTCGTCGTGGTCACGTGTGCACCAGGGTCATGTGTGTGTGAGGGTTGTGTGTGCACCAGGGTCACGTGTTCGCCATGGTCACGTGTGCACCAGGGTCATGTGTGTGTGAGGGTCGTGTGTGCATGAGGATCATGTGTTCATCGTGGTCACGTGTGCACCTGGGTCATGTGTTCATCATGGTCACGTGGGCATGAGGGTCACGTGTTCATCGTGGTCACGTGTGCACCTCGGTCATGTGTTTGTCATGGTCACATGTGCACCAGGGTCATGTGTGTGCAAGGGTCGTGTGTTCATGAGGATCATGTGTTCATCGTGGTCATGTGTGCACCAGAGTCACGTGTGCTCAAGGGCCGCATGTTCAGGAAGGCCATGTGTGCATGAGGGTCACATGTTCATCATGGTCATGTGTGCAGCAGGGTCATATGTTCATCATGGTCACGTGTGCACCAGGGTCATGTGTGTACAAGGGTTGTGTGTGCATGAGGGTTACGTGTTCATCGTGGTCATGTGTGCATGAGGGTCCTGTGTTCATCATGGTCACATGTTCATCATGGTTAGGTGTGCACCAGGGTCACGTGTACATGAGGCTCACATGTTCATTGTGGTCACGTGTGCACCAGGGTCATGTGTGCATGAGGGTCATGTGTTCATCATGGTCACGTGTGCATGAGGGTCACATGCATCATGGTCATGTGTGCACCAGGGTCACGTGTGCACCACGTTTATGTGTGCATGAGGGTCAAATGTTCATCATGGTCATGTGTGCACCAGGGTCATGTGTGCACGAGGGTCACGTGTTCATCATGGTCATGTGTGCACCAGAGTTGTGTTCATCGTGGTCACATATGCACCAGGGTCATGTGTGTATGACGGTTATGTGTGCATGAGGGTCACGTCACGTGTTCATCATGGTCACGTGTGCATGAGGGTCACATGCATCATGGTCATGTGTGCACCAAGGTCATGTGTTCATCAGGGTCATGTGTGCATGAGGGTCATGTATGTACAAGGGTTGTGTGTGCATGAGGGTCACGTGTTCATCGTGGTCACGTGTGCGCCGCATATATGTGTGCATGAGGGTCGCGTGTTCATCAAGGTCATGTGTGCACAAGGGTTGTGTGTGCATGAGGGTCCCGTGTTCATCATGGTCACGTGTGCTCCAGGGTCATGTGTGCATGAGATCACGTGTTCATCGTGGTCACGTGGTCACTTGTGCACCAGGGTCATGTGTGCACAAGGGTTGTGTGTGCATGAGGGTCATGTGTTCATCATGGTCATGTGTGCGCCAGGGTTATGTGTGCACGAGGGTCACGTGTTCATCCTGGTCATGTGTGCACCAGGGTGATGTGTGGATGAGGGTCACATGTTCATCATGGTCATGTGTGCACCAGGGTTATGTGTGCATGAGGGTCACGTGTTCATCATGGTCACATTTGCACCAGGGTCATGTGTGCACAAGGGTTGTGTGTGCATGAGGGTCAAGTCTTCATCATGGTCACGTGTGTGCCAGGGTCATGTGTGCATGAAGGTCATGTGTTCATCAAGGTCATGTGTGCACCAGGGTCATGTGTGCACAAGGGTTGTGTGTGCATGAGGGTCACATGTTCATCAAGGTCATGTGTGCACCAGAGTCATGTGTGGATGAGGGTCACATGTTCATCATGGTCATGTGTGCACCAGGGTCATGTGTGGATGAGGTTCACATGTTCATCATGGTCATGTGTGCACCAGGGTTATGTGTGCATGAGGGTCACGTGTTCATCATGGTCACGTGTGCACCAGGGTCATGTATTCATGAGGGTCACATGTTACTCATGGTCATGTGTGCACCAGGGTCATGTGTAGATGAGGGTCACATGTTCCTCATGGTCACGTGTGCACCAGGGTCATGTATGTGCAAGGGTTGTGTGTGCATCATGGTCATGTCTTCATCATGGTCACGTGTGCTCCAGGGTCATGTGTGCATGAGATTGCATGTTCATCGTGGTCACGTGTGCACTAGGGTCATGTGTGCACAAGGGTTGTGTGTGCATGAAGGTCACGTGTTCATCAAGGTCATGTGTGCACCAGGGTCATGTGTGCATGAGGGTCACATGCTCATCACGGTCACGTGTGCACCAGGGTCATGTGTGCACGAGGGCAGCATGTTCAGGATTGTCATGTGTGCCCAAGCGCCACGGTCACGTGTGCATGGGGATGGTGCTTGCACCAGGGTCACGTGTGCAGCAGGGTCACGTGTGCATGGGACTAGTGCTTGCACCAGGGTCACGTGTGCATGCAGGTTGCATGTGCCCCAGGATTGGGTGTGCACAAGGGTGGGGCTTGCATGAGGGTTACGTGCTCCATGGTCACGTGTGCCTCAGGGTCACGTGTGCACAAGGGTCACGTGTTCATGAAGGTCATGTGTATACAGGGGTCATGTGTTCACAAGGACCATGTGTGCACGAGGCTTACATGTGCACAAGGATCACATGTGCATGAGGGTCACGTGCTCCATTGTCACATGTGCCTCAGGGTCACGTGTGCACAAGGGTCACGTGTGCACGAGGGTCATGTGTTCACCAGGGTCATGTGTGTATGAGGGTCACATGTGCACAAGGATCACATATGCAGGAGGGTTGCGTGTGCACAGGGGGCATGGGTGCTCCGGGTGATGGCAACGCCATGGTTGGGTGCTCAGATGCCCTTGGGGATGGGTGAAGTCAGAGCTGGGCCCCCAGGCAATGAGTGAGGTGCCAGTTGGGTGCTCTGGGTGATGGGTAACACCCAGCATGGGGTGCTGTGGGTGATGGGTAACACCAGAGTTGGGTGCTCTTGGTGATGGGTAGCACCCAGCATTGGGTGCTGTGGGTGATGGGTAACACCCAGCATTGGGTGCTGTAGGTGATGGGTAACACCAGCATTGGGTGCTGTGGGTGATGGGTAACACCAGCATTGGGTGCTGTGGGTGATGGGTAACACCAGCATTGGGTGCTGTGGGTGATGGGTAACACCAGAGTTGGGTGCTCTGGTGACAGGCAAGACCAGAGTTGGGTGCTCTTGGTGATGGGCAACACTAGAATTGGGTGCTCTTCGTGATGGGTAAGACCAGAGTTGGGTGCTCTTGGTGATGGGTAACACCAGAGTTGGGTGCTCTGGGTGATGGGTAAGACCAGAGTTGGGTGCTTTAGGTGATGGGCAACACCAGAGTTGGGTGCTCTGGCTGATGGGCAAGACCAGAGTTGGGTGCTCTTGGTGATGGCAACACCAGAGTTGGGTTCTCTTGGTGATGGTAACGTCATAGTTGGGTGCTTGGGAGCTGTTCATGATGGGTGAGCTCACAGTTGGGTGATCTTGGTGATGGGTAAGACCCGAGTTGGATGCTCTGGCTGATAGTGATGTCACAGTTGGGTGCTTTGGATGCTCTTGGTGATGGTTGAGGTCATAGTTGGGTGCTCTTGGTCATAGTTGAGGTGTCAGTTGTGTGCTCTTGGTGATGGGTAGCACCAGAGTTGGATGCTCTGGGTGACAGTAACGTCATAGTTGGGTGCTTGGATGCCTTTGGTGATGGTTGAGGTCATAGCTGGGTGCTCTTGGTGATGGTTAATGTCATGATTGGGTGCTCTTGGTGATGGTTAATGTCATAGTTGGGTGCTTTTGGTGATGGATACCACCGAGTTGGATGCGGCAGGTGATAGCAACGTCATAGTTGGGTGCTTGGTTGCTCTTAGTGATGGTTAATGTCGTAATTGGGTGCTCTTGGTGACGGTTGAGGTCGTAGTTGGGTGCTCTTCGTGATGGTTGTGGTCATAGTTGGGTGCACTTGGTGATGGTTGAGGTCATAGTTGGGTGCTCTTCATGGTGGTTAATGTCATATAGTTGAGTCCTCTTAGTGATGGTTATCACCAGAGTTGGGTGCTCTTGGTGATGGGTAAGACCAGATTTGGGTGCTTGGATGCTCTTGGTGATGGTTAAGGTCCTAGTTGGGTGGTCTTGGTCATTGTTGAGGTCATAGTTGGGTGCTCTCGGTGATGGGTACCACCAAGTTGGATGCTTTTGGTGACAGTAATGTATTAGTTGGGTGCTTGGATGCTCTTGGTGTTGGTTGAGGTCATAGTTGTGTGCTCTTGGTGATGGTTGAGGTCATAGTTGTGTGCTCTTGGTGATGGTTGAGGTCATAATTGGGTGCTCTTGGCGATGGTTAATGTCATATAGTTGGGTCCTCTTAGTGATGGGTATCACCAGAGTTGGATGCTCTGGGTGACAGTAACGTCATAGTTGGGTGCTTGGATGTTCTTGGTGATGGTTAAGGTCCTAGTTGGGTGGTCTTGGTCATTGTTGAGGTCATAGTTGGGTCCTCTTGGTGATGGGTGCCACCAAGTTGGGTGCTTTTGGTGATAGTAATATATTAGTTGGGTGCTTGGATGCTCTTAGTGATGCTTGAGGTCATAGTCGTCTGCCCTTGATGATGTTTAATGTCATAGTTGGGTGCTCTTGGTGATGGTTAACACCAAGTTGGATGCTCTGGGTGATAGCAACGTCATAGTTGGGTGCTTGGATGCTCTTGGTGATGGTTAATGTCGTAATTGGGTTCTCTTGGTGATGGTTGAGGTCATAGTTGGGTGCTCTTGGTGATGGGTACCACCAAGTTGGATGCTTTTGGTGACAGTAACATCATAGTTGGGTGCTTGGATGCCCTTGGTGATGGTTGCAGTCATAGTTGGGTGCTCTTGGTCATTGTTGACATCATAGTTGGGTGCTCTTGGTGATGGGTGCCACCAAGTTGGACGCTCTGGGTGACGGTAACGTCATAATTGGGTGCTTGGATGCCCTTGGTGATGGTTGAGGTCATAGTTGGGTGCTCTTAGTGATGGTTGAGGTCATAGTTGGGTGCTCTTGGTGATGGTTGAGGTCATAGTTGGGTGCTCTTGGTGATGGTTGAGGTCATAGTTGGGTGCTCTTGGTGATGGTTGAGGTCATAGTTGGGTGCTCTTGGTGATGGTTGAGGTCATAGTTGGGTGCTCTTGGTGATGGTTGAGGTCATAGTTGGGTGCTCTTGGTGATGGTTGAGGTCATAGTTGGGTGCTCTTGGTGATGGTTGAGGTCATAGTTGGGTGCTCTTGGTGATGGTTGAGGTCATAGTTGGGTGCTCTTGGTGATGGTTGAGGTCATAGTTGGGTGCTCTTGGTGATGGTTGAGGTCATAGTTGGGTGCTCTTGGTGATGGTTGAGGTCATAGTTGGGTGCTCTTGGTGATGGTTGAGGTCATAGTTGGGTGCTCTTGGTGATGGTTGAGGTCATAGTTGGGTGCTCTTGGTGATGGTTGAGGTCATAGTTGGGTGCTCTTGGTGATGGTTGAGGTCATAGTTGGGTGCTCTTGGTGATGGTTGAGGTCATAGTTGGGTGCTCTTGGTGATGGTTGAGGTCATAGTTGGGTGCTCTTGGTGATGGTTGAGGTCACAGTTGGGTGCTCTTGGTGACGGGTACCACCAAGTTGACCGCTCCAGCTGACCCCAAGCCCATCACCGCAACGCCCTTGTTGAAATCCAAATCCTCTTGACCCCAACCCCATTCCCCCCCCCCTTTTCCCCCTCATTTCTCCCTGTATCTCCCCCCCCCCCTTTTCCCTTCCATCTCCTCCCCACAGCTCCTGGAGCAGGCGCTGGTGATCGAGGAGCAGCTGCGGCGCGCCGCGTACCTCAACATGACGCAGGACCCCAGCCACCCGGCCATGGCCCTCAACACCCGCTTCGCCGAGGTCGAGTGCCTGGCCGAGAGCCACCAGCACTTGTCCAAGGAGTCGCTGGCGGGCAACAAGCCCGCGAACGCCGTCCTGCACAAGGGTAAGAGGCGGGGGGGCCGGCGCGCCCGGCGCGGACGCCCCGTGTAGCTCCCGGCACCTCTGTACCCGCGCTTCTCGATCATTAAAGTGGGGTTCTCCTTCCCAACCGGCTCCCGGTGTATCCTTGCTCTGCGTTTGTTGCTTTCTGGCGGCCGGATTGGGGGGGGTGGGGTGTGTGTGTGTGGGGAGGGGGGGGGTGGTGTTGTGGGGGGTGAAAGGGGTAAAATATTGGGGGGGAGGGGGGAGGTTGGGAAAAGTGCCCAAAGAGGGGTTTTTGGGGTGTGAGTAACCTGTGAGGAAGCTCGGAGTAAGTGGGGTGAGGCTTTGAGGTGGCCGCTATGGGGCAAGGAGCCGGCGGGTGCCTCTTGCTTTGCGCTAAGGTGGAGCTGGGGTGGGGGGGGTTAAGGCTGGAGGTGCCCCGTGTAACTGGGGGCATGGGGGGAGTATGTGCCCCAGTACCCCCCCCCCCCCCCCCCCCCCAGCCCCAGGTGCATGCCGTGATGAGGAAGGCTGGAGTAATGCTGGTGTGCGGCGGGGTGGCCCCTGCTTGCATGTGATGGCTTGGCCCCCCGGGGCGGGGGGGCATGGACTGTGTATCTCTGGTGTATGTGCGGAGTAGCTCTGGTGTGCTTAACGGAGGGCTCCAGGGGAAGGTGCTGAGTAAGCGATGAGTAGCATTGGAGTCAGGCCAGAGTAGCATTGGAGTAAGCGATGAATATCATTGGAGTAAGCGATGAGTATCACAGGAGTAAGCAATGAGTAGCATTGGAGTGAGCAATGAGTAGCACTGGAGTAAGTGATGAGTATCACGGGAGTAAGGGTAGAATAGCACTGGAGTAAGCAATGAGTATCATTGGAGTAAGCAATGAGTAGCACTGGAGTAGGGCAATGAGCATCGTTGGAGTAAGTGATGAGTATCACAGGAGTAAGGCCAGAGTATCATTGGAGCAAGCAATGAGTATCGCAGGTGTAATCAATGAGTATCACAGGAGTAAGGCGAGAGTATCACTGGAGTAAGCAATGAGGATCATTGGGATAATTGATGAATATCACGGGAGTAAGTGATGAGTATCACAGGAGTAAGCAGTGAGTATCACTGGAGTAGACAATGAGTATCACAGGAGTAAGAGATGAGCATTATTGGAGTAAATGGTGAGTAGCATTGGAGTAAGCGATGAGTATCATTGGAGTAAGTGATGAGTATCACAGGAGTAAGGCCAGAGTATCACTGGAGTAAGTGATGAGTATCCCAGGAGTAAGAGATTAGTATTATTGGAGTAAGGCCAGAGTTTCACAGGAGTAAGCAATGAGCATCATTGGGGTAAGTGATGAGTATCCCAGGAGTAAGCAATGTGCAGCATAGGGGTAAGCAATGAGTATCACTGGAGTAAGCGATGAGGATCACAGGCTGATGAGGCTGTGCAGTGGGTATCCTCAGTGCTGTGCCTGCATTCTCTTAGCCCCGAGCAGGAGTAGGTGCTGAGGATGCCCAGAGTAGCTCTGCTGTAGCCATGGGGCAGTAAGGGCCATACCCGGAGTATCTCCGGTGTTGCTGGCCATTGCCCTTGGGGTAGCTCTGGTGTGTCAGGAGTAGGCTGGAGTGATGAAGGAGTAAGTCTGGAGCATCGCCAGTGTAGCTGCAGCACAGACCCTCAAGCTTGGAGTAACTCTGGTGTTGTACCCAGGGCAGCTCCCTTGTGTCTATAGGCAGCAGACCTGGAGTAGGTCAGGAGTAGGCAAGGAGTAGGTAAGGAGTAGCTCTGGTGTGTCTGAAGAGCAGACCCGGAGTAAACCTGTAGTAGCTCCAGTGTGGTCAGAGCAAGTGCCTGCAAGGAGCATCCCTGGAGTACCCCCAGAGCCCTCAAGGCTCATACCCAGAGTACCTCTGAGTCCTCCCACCCTGGAGCATGCCCCCATTCCCCCCCCCCCCCCCCCCCCATAGGCGCATCCCCTGAGTATCCCTTGAGTATCTCTTCCCCTTCCCTTCCCTCTTCCCTACCCCATCCCCTTGCCCTCATGTGAGCACCTCCACTCCCCCCACCCTCCCCTTGCCCCCACCCCACCCCATGAGTAACCTATGAGTAACCTATGAGTAGGCTCGGGACGGCCCCCCGGCGCTGACGGGGCCCCCCCCACCCCTCTCTCTCTCTCTCTCTCTTTTTACCCCCCCACCCCACCCCCCCCCCCACCCCTCCCGCCACCCTTTGTTCCCGTGGGCCAGTGCTGAACCAGCTGGAGGAGCTGCTGAGCGACATGAAGGCGGACGTCACCCGCCTGCCCGCCACCCTCTCGCGCATCCCCCCCATCGCCGCCCGCCTCCAGATGTCCGAGCGCAGCATCCTCAGCCGCCTGGCCAGCAAGGGCACCGAGAGCCACCCCCCACCTGTAAGTCACACCCCCATCCCCTCCATCCACCCCCCCACCCCCCCCCATAATGCACTGGGGGCGTCCTTGGCCTTGGGGACATGGCCTTGTGTTGGGGACATGGACATGCATTGGGGGCGTCCTTCTCCTTGGGGACCATAGTTCACCTTGGGGACATGGCCATGCATTGGGGGCATCCTTGTCCTTGGGGACCATCCTTCACCTTGGGGACATGGCCATGCATTGGGGGCATCCTTCTCCTTGGGGACCATCGTTCACCTTGGGGACCATCCTTCACCTTGGGGACATGGCCATCCACTGGGGGCATCCTTGTCCTTGGGGACCATCGTTCACCTTGGGAACAATGGCCATGCATTGGGGGCATCCTTCTCCTTGGGGACCATCCTTCACCTTGGGGACCATCCTTCACCTTGGGGACATGGCCATCCACTGGGGGCATCCTTGTCCTTGGGGACCATCCTTCACCTTGGGGACCATCCTTCACCTTGGGGACATGGCCATCCACTGGGGGCATCCTTGTCCTTGGGGACCATCCTTCACCTTGGGGACCATCGTTCACCTTGGGGACATGACCCTGGGGACCATCCTTCACCTTGGGGACATGGCCATCCATTGGGGGCATCCTTCTCCTTGGGGACCATCGTTCACCTTGGGGACATGGCCATGCATTGGGGGCGTCCTTCTCCTTGGGGACCATCGTTCATCTTGGGGACATGGCCATCCATTGGGGGCATCCTTGTCCTTGGGGACCATCCTTCACCTTGGGGACCATCGTTCACCTTGGGCACCATTGTTCACCTTGGGGACATGGCCATCCATTGGGGACGTCCTTGGGGACCATCCTTCACCTTGGGGACATGGCCATGCATTGGGGACGTCCTTCTCTTGGGGACCATTGTTCACCTTGGGGACCATCCTTCACCTTGGGGACATGGCCATCCATTGGGGACTTCTTCGTCCTTGGGGACATCCTTGTCCTTGGGGACATCCTTGTCCTTGGGGACCATCCTTCACCCTGGGGACATGGCCATGTATTGGGGGCATCCTTGTCCTTGGGGACCATCGTTCACCTTGGGGACATGGCCATGCATTGGGGGCGTCCTTCTCTTGGGGACCATTGTTCACCTTGGGGACCATCGTTCACCTTGGGGACATGGCCATCCATTGGGGACATCCTTCACCTTGGGGACCATCATTCACCTTGGGGACATGGCCATCCATTGGGGGCGTCCTTCTCTTGGGAACCATCATTCACCTTGGGGACATGGCCATCCATTGGGGACATCCTTCACCTTGGGGACCATCCTTCACCTTGGGGACATGGCCATCCATTGGGAACATCCTTCACCTTGGGGACCTCTTTCCCATGGGGACATCCCCTATGCTGGGGGACAATGACCCCCTCCACTGGGGTCATTTTGCCTTGGGGACATCCCATCCTTGGTGCCACCCATAGGGCCCCATTGGCCTGCCCCATCCATGGTGCTCCCCGTGCTGGTACCATCAATGGGGAGGTGACACCCTTGTCCTGTCCTCCCCCCCCCATAGACCTTCCCACCAGGGCCCTACGCCACCCCCCAGACCTATGGGGGCACCTTTGGGACCCCCCCACCCGGAGCCCTCCCCCCTGGAGGGGCCAACTACAGCCAGATGCCACCCGGGTCCTTCATCACCGGTGAGGGGGAGCATGGGTGCTATGGGCATGGATGGGGGCCCATGGGTGCTGTGGGTGTGGATGGGGGCACATGGGTGCTGTGGGCATGGACGGGGCCCCATGGGTGCTATGGGCATGGATGGGGGCACATGGGTGCTGTGGGTGTGGATGGGGCTTGCGGGTACTATGGGCATGGATGGGATCCCATGGGTGCTCTGGGCATGGATGGGATCCTGTGGGTGGTATGGACATGGATGGGGGCCCATGGGTGCTATGGGGGTGGATACAGTCCCATGGGAGCTATGGGAGTGGAAGAGGTCCCATGGGTGCTATGGGTATGGATGGGGGCCCATGGGTGCTGTGGGTGTGGATGGGGTCCTATGGGTGCTATGGGCATGGATGGGGGCCCATGGGAGCTATGGGAGTGGATGGGATCCCATGGGTGCTATGGGTATGGATGGGGTCCCATGGGAGCTATGGGAGTGGATGGGGTCCCGTGGGAGCTATGGGAGTGGATGGGGTCCCATGGGAGCTATGGGAGTGGATGGGGTCCCATGGGAGCTATGGGAATGGATGGGGTCCCATGGGTGCTATGGGAGTGGATATGGTCCCATGGGTGCTATGGGAGTGGATGGGGTCCCATGGGTGCTATGGGTGTGGATGGGGTCCCATGGGTGCTATGGGAGTGGATAGGGTCCCATGGGTGCTATGGGCATGGGGGGATCCATGGGTGCCTGGTCTATGGATCTATGGGGGGGGTGTCTATGGGTGTATGGGTCTATGGGTGGGGGTACCATGGGTGCTATGGGCAGTGAGGAGCTCCCTTGGGTACTTGTGTCTTTGGGTGGGGGTCCTGGGTCTATGCCTGAACCCCATTGCCCCCTTTGCCCCCATTGCCCCCATTGTCCCCCTTGCCCCATTGCCCCCATTACCCCCATTGTCCCCCTTGCCCCCATTGCCCCCATTACCCCTATTGTCCCCAATGCCCCTATTACCCCCATTACCCCCATTGCCCCCATTACCCCCTTTGCCCCCATTACCCCCATTGCCCTCATTACCCCCATTGCCCCCATTGTCCCCATTGCCCCCATTACCCCCATTACCCCCTTTGCCCCCATTGTCCCCATTGCCCTCATTACCCCCATCGCCCCCATTACCATTACCCCATTGCCTCCATTGTCCCCATCACCCCTATTACCCCATTGCCCCCATTGTCCCCATTACCCCCATCGTCCCCATTACCCCATTGCCCCCATTGCCCCCATAACCCCCATTGTCCCCATTGTCCCCATTACCCCCATTGTCCCCATTACCCCCATTGTCCCCATTACCCCCTTTGCCCCCATTGTCCCCATTGCCCCCGTAACCCCCATTGTCCCCATTGTCCCCATTACCCCCTTTGCCCCCATTGTCCCCATTGCCCCCATTACCCCCATTACCCCCCTTGTCTCCCCCCACAGCCGCTGCCAATGGTCCCCCCGTGCTGGTGAAGCGGGAGCGCGAGGCCGAGGGCCAGGACAAGAAGGAGCCGCGGGGGGGGGAGGTCATTTGCATCGATGACTAAAGGAGGGGGGGGCCATGGGGGGGCCCCCCCCTTATGTCCCCTCCCCCCCCTTCCCCCCCCCCTTTGGCAGCGGTGGGGGAGGGGCACCACTGCCAAAATCGCCTCTTTTCACCCCAAATCCGCTCTTGGGGGGGGGGTGTGTTTGGGAGGTACCAATATGGGGGGGGGGGTGACAAGGACCACTGCAGCTATAAATATATATATATATATATCTCCCCCCCATAGCAGGGGGGACCAAGGGGTTGGGGTGGCCCCTGTGTCCCCCCCCACCCTCCTCTGGGGTGGGCCCCCCCCCGCCCCCCACCCAGGGGTGTCCCCAAGGGTCACCCCAAAACTTCCCCCTCCCCCCCTCCCTCCCCCATTGGGGCACTTGTTTAACCGCAGCAGAATAAAACCCGGTTCCTTGGCTATGGCACATGGGTCCGTGGGTGTCCATAGGGTCCATGGGTGTCCATAGGGGTCCATGGGTGTCCATAGGGTCCATGGGTGTCCATAGGGTCCATGAGTGTCCATAGGGGTCCATGGGTGTCCATAGGGTCCATGAGTGTCCATAGGGACCATGGGTGTCCATAGGGGTCCATGGGTGTCCATAGGGGTCCGTGGGTGTCCATAGGGTCCATGGGTGTCCATAGGTCCATGGGTGTCCATAGGGGTCCATGGGTGTCCATAGGGTCCATGAGTGTCCATAGGGACCATGGGTGTCCATAGGGGTCCATGGGTGTCCATAGGGGTCCGTGGGTGTCCATAGGGTCCATGGGTGTCCATAGGTCCATGGGTGTCCATAGGGGTCCATGGGTGTCCATAGGGTCCATGAGTGTCCATAGGGACCATGGGTGTCCATAGGGTCCATGGGTGTCCATAGGGTCCATGGGTGTCCATAGGGGTCCATGGGTGTCCATAGGGTCCATGGGTGTCCATAGGGGTCCATGGGTGTCCATAGGGGTCCGTGGGTGTCCATAGGGTCCATGAGTGTCCATAGGGGTCCATGGGTGTCCATCGGGTCCATGAGTGTCCATAGGGACCATGGGTGTCCATAGGGTCCATGGGTGTCCATAGGGGTCCATGGGTGTCCATAGCGACCATGGGTGTCCATAGCGACCATGGGTTTCCATAGGGTCTGTGGGTGTCCATAGGGACCATGGGTGCCCATAGGGGTCCATAGGGTCCATGGGTGTCCGTAGGGTCCATGGGTGTCCATAGCGAGCATGGGTGTCCATAGGGGTCCATGGGTGTCCATAGGGACCATGGGGCCACCATGGTGGGGGCAAGGGTATGGGTATCATGGGGGTGGTCAACTGATCTTTGGGGTGGTCAATGTCATGGTCACCATGGGGATGGTCAAGTGGTCATTGGGTGGTCAATGGGATGGGGATGGTCATGGTGACCATGGGGATGGTCAGATGGTCATTGGGTGGTGATTGGGTTGTCAATGGGATGGGGATAGGGATGGTCATGGTCATCATCGAGAGAGTCAACTGATCATTGGGGTGGTCATTGGGTCATCAGTGGGATGGGCATGGGCATGGGGATGGTCATGGTGACCATGGGGATGGTCAAGTGGTCATTGGGTGGTCAGTGGGATGGGGATGGTCATGGTGACCATGGGGATGGTCAAGTGGTCATTGGGTGGTCAATGGGGTGGGGATGGTCAAGTGGTCATTGGGTGGTCAATGGGATGGGGATGGTCATGGTGACCATGGGGATGGTCAAGTGGTCATTGGGTGGTCAATGGGGTGGGGATGGTCAAGTGGTCATTGGGTGGTCAATGGAATGGGGATGGTCATGGTGACCATTGGGATGGTTAAGTGGTCATTGGGTGGTCATTGGGTAGTCAGTGGGATGGGGATGGTCATGGTGACCATGAGGATGGTCAAGTGGTCATTGGGTGGTCATTGGGTGGTCAATGGTAAGGGCATGGGGATGGTCATGGTGACCATGGGGATGATCAAGTGGCCATTGGGGTGGTCATTGGGTGGTCAAAGTCATGGTCACCATAGTGATGGTCAGCTGGTCCTTGGGGTGGTGATTGGGTGGTCAATGGGATGGGCATGGGGATGGTCACTGGGATGGTTATGGGGATTGGGATGGTCATGGCCACTATGGGGACGGTCAACTGGTCATGGAGGGTGGCTGATGTCTTGGTCACCATGGGGATGGTCAAGTGACCATTGGGGTGGTCAGTGGTATGGGGATGGTGATGGTCAACCGGTCATTGGTGTAGCCATGAGGGGTTGGTCATGGGATGGGGATGGTCTTGGCCACCATGGGGATGGTCAAGTGGCCATTGGGGTGTGGTCACAGGGATGGCCAAGGGCATGGTTATGGGATGGGGATGGTCAAGTGGCCATGGGTGTGGTCATAAGGTTTGCCAATGGGATAGGGATGGTCATGGCCACCATGGGGATGGTCGATTGGCCATCATTTAATTCATCATTAATTGGTTTAATTCAACATTAATGCATTTCATTCATCATTAATGGATTTAATTCATCATTTAATTCATTTCAGTCAAGCTCATATCATCAAATCCTTGTCCAATCCCAGTTTAATCCCCTCATCCCATTCCATTCCCATTCCATGGTGTTCATTCCCAATCACGTTCATTCCCAGTTCCACTGTGCTCATCCCCAGTTCCATCACTCCCATGCCCAGTTCCATTGCGTTCATTCCCAAGCATGTTCATCTCCCGCTCCATCACGTTCAGTCCCATTCCGTCATTCCCATTCCTGTTCTGTTGCGTCCATCCCATTCCACACTCCCATTCTCATCCCATTGTCTCCATCCCATTCTATTGTCTCCATCCCATTCCATTGTCTCCATCCTATTCCATTGTCTCCATCCCATTCTGTTGTCTCCATCCCATTCCATTGTCTCCATCCCATTCTATTGTCTCCATTCCATTCCACACTCCCATTCCCATTCCGTTGTGTCCATCACATTCCATTGTGTTCATTCCCATTCCATTCCTCCCATTCCATTGTGTCCATCACATTCCATTGTGTTCATTCCCATTCCATCCCTCCCATTCCATTGTGTCCATCCCAGTACACCATTCCCATTCCTATTCTATTGCATCCATTCCATTCCACACTCCCATTCCCATTCCATTGTGTCCATCCCATTCCATTGTGTCCATCCCATTCCATCCCTCCCATTCCCATTCCATCGTTTCCATCCCATTCCATTGTGTCCATCCCAGTACACCATTCCCATTCATATTCTATTGCATCCATTCCATTCCACACTTCCATTCCCATTCCATTGTCTCCATCCCATTCCATCCCTCCCATTCCCATCACATTGTGTCCATCCCATTCCATTGTGTCCATCCCAGTCAATCGTTCCCATTCCTATTCTATTGCATCCATTCCATTCCACACTCCCATTCCATTGTGTCCATCATATTCCATTGTGTTCATTCCCATTCCATCATTCCCATTCCATTGTGTCCATCATATTCCATTATGTTTATTCCCATTCCATCGTTTCCACTCCATTGTGCCCATCCCATTCCATCCCTCCCATTCCCATTCCATTGTTTCCATCCCATTCCATTGTGTCCATCCCATTCCATTGTTCCCATTCCACTGTCCATCCCATTCCATTGTTTTCATTCCATCGTTCCCATTCCTATTCTATTGCGTCCATTCCACGCTTCCATTCCCATTCCATTGTCTCCATCCCATCCCATTGTGTCCATCCCATTCCATCCCTCCCATTGTCTCCATCCCATTCCATTGTGTCCATCCCATTCCATCCCTCCCATTCCCATCCCATTGTGTCCATTCCATCCCATTGTGTCCATCACATTCCATCCCTCCCATTCCCATCCCATTGTGTCCATCCCATTCCATTGTGTCCATCCCATTCCATTGTTCCCATTGCTATCCCATTGCATCCATCCCATTGTGTTCATTCTCATCCCATTCTCTATCCCATTCCATTGTCTCTATTCCCATTCCATTGTGTCCATCCCATCCCATTGTGTCCATTCCCATCCCATTGTGTTCATTCCCATTCCCATTCCATTGTGTCCATCACATCCCATTGTGTTTATTCCCATCCCACCATTCCCATTCCCATTCCATTGTGTCCATCCCATCCCATTGTGTTCATTCCCATTCCACCATTCCCATTCCCATTCCATTGTGTCCATCACATCCCATTGTGTCCATTCCCATTCCACCATTCCCATTCCCATTCCATTGTCTCCATCACATCCCATTGTGTTTATTCCCATCCCACCATTCCCATTCCCATCCCATTGTGTTCGTTCCCATTCCCCTCCTGGCTCTCCTCGGTGCTGGAGGCCTCCAGCACCGCCACCACCGGAGTCAGGATCAGGACCGGGACAGGATGGGACCGGGGTGGGGGGTGCTCGGCCTCGGCTCCTGCTTCCCCCCCCCATCCCAGTCCCATTCCAAGTCCTATTCCTGGTCCCGTTCCCAGTCCCATTCCAGGTCCTGGTCCTGGTCCTGGTCGTGGTCCCATTCCAGGTCCCATTCCCGATCCCATTCCCGATCCCATTCCAGGTCTCATTCCCGGTCCCATTCCTGGTCCCGTTCCTGGTCCTGTTCCTGCTCTTCCTCCTCTTCCTCTCAGACCTCTTCCTCCTCTTCCTGCTCCTTTTCCACCTCTTCCTCCTCCCATTCCATCTCCTCTTCCATCTCTTCCCTCTCTTCTTCCTTCTCCCTGTCTTCCTCTTCCTCTTTTTCCACCTCTTCCTCCTCCTTCTCCTCTTCCTCTTCCTCCTTTCCTTCCTCTTCCTCCTCCATCATTCCCAGCCTCTTCCACCTCCTTCTGGCTCCTCTTGGCCTTCGGGCACCTCTTGGAGCTCTTCCTGTCGGGAGATTCCTTTGGGATCTGCCCCTGAGGACACCATCACCCATAGGGCAGCCTCTCCCCGCCCCATCGAGTGTCCATAGGGATGAGCCTTCAGCCTCACCTGACCAGGGGCTTCGTCTTCATCCTTGTGGCCTCCTCTTCTCCACCACCACCCATTGGGCTGGGAACGCCGGGAATGGGAACACCGGGAGATCCCGCTGGAACCGGGGGGCGGAAGAGCATCCCATGGTGCCCAAGGAGGGTCTCCATGGCCCCTTCGTGCCCTCCCAAGCCCATTCCCATCACGTTCGTCATCCAAAGGGACGGCCCCCATGAGGTCCGTCATCCGTTGGGATGGAGGAGGCGTTGGAGCCTCATGGTGGTCCCCATATCCTTGGGTTATCCCTAGGAGATCTTTACCTTCCATGGCGTAATCCAGGGATGGAGACCTCCCCATTCCCATCTCCTCGTCCTCACCAAGGGCTGATCCCAAGCTCTTGAGGAGAACCTCTGGGATCTGTTGGGTCTCCGAAGTCATCCCAAAGCTGGGGATAAGGAAGAAGGCATCGATCCAAGGGCCCATCCATGGGAGTGCCCATGCAGGGACACGAGGTGGGGACGGAGGTTGGGGTTCTCCATGCATCCACCGACGTACGCTGGGAAGACGAGGACCCGGCCAATGGTGCTCAAGGAGGCCACAGGAGCCGAAGGCGACATTCCCATATCCAGGAGATGGGGGACCTGGAATGGATGAGCCCATAGGTGGTGGGGGGTCCATAATGGACATGGATGAGCCCATAGGTGATGGGATGTCCATAAGGGACATGGATGAGCCCATAGGTGATGGGATGTCCATAAGGGACATGGATGAGCCCATAGGTGATGGGATGTCCATAAGGGACATGGATGAGCCCATAGGTGGTGGGGGGTCCATAACGGACATGGATGAGCCCATAGGTGATGGGATGTCCATAAGGGACATAGATGAGCCCATAGGTGGTGGGATGTCCATAATGGACATGGATAAGCCCATAGGTGATGGGATGTCCATAAGGGACATGGATGAGCCCATAGGTGGTGGGGGGTCCATAACGGACATGGATGAGCCCATAGGTGATGGGATGTCCATAAGGGACATGGATGAGCCCATAGGTGATGGGATGTCCATAAGGGACATGGATGAGCCCATAGGTGGTGGGGGGTCCATAACGGACATGGATGAGCCCATAGGTGATGGGATGTCCATAAGGGACATGGATGAGCCCATAGGTGGTGGGATGTCCATAAGGGACATGGATGAGCCCATAGGTGATGGGATGTCCATAAGGGACATGGATGAGCCCATAGGTGGTGGGGGGTCCATAACGGACATGGATGAGCCCATAGGTGATGGGATGTCCATAAGGGACATGGATGAGCCCATAGGTGGTGGGATGTCCATAAGGGACATGGATGAGCCCATAGGTGATGGGATGTCCATAAGGGACATGGATGAGCCCATAGGTGGTGGGGGGTCCATAACGGACATGAATGAGCCCATAGGTGATGGGATGTCCATAAGGGACATGGATGAGCCCATAGGTGGTGGGGGGTCCATAACGGACATGGATGAGCCCATAGGTGGTGGGATGTCCATAATGGACATGGATGAGCCCATAGGTGGTGGGATGTCCCTAATGGACATGGATGAACCTATAGGTGATGGGATGTCCATAATGGACATGGATAAGCCCATAGGTGATGGGATGTCCATAATGGACATGGATGAACCCATAGGTGATGGGATGTCCATAAGGGACATGGATGAGCCCATAGGTGGTGGGGGGTCCATAATGGACATGGATGAGCCCATAGGTGATGGGATGTCCATAATGGACATGGATGAGCCCGTAGGTGGTGGGTGGTCCATAATGGACATGGATGAGCCCATAGGTGGTGGGAGGTCCCTAACAGACATGGATGAACCCATAGGTGATGGGATGTCCATAATGGACATGGATGAGCCCATAGGTGATGGGATGTCCATAACAGACATGGATGAACCCATAGGTGATGGGATGTCCATAATGGACATGGATAAGCCCATAGGTGATGGGATGTCCATAATGGACATGGATGAGCCCATAGGTGATGGGGGGTCCATAACGGACATGGATGAACCCATAGGTGATGGGATGTCCATAATGGACATGGATGAGCCCATAGGTGGTGGGGGGTCCATAATGGACATGGATGAGCCCATAGGTGATGGGATGTCCATAAGGGACATGGATGAGCCCATAGGTGATGGGATGTCCATAAGGGACATGGATGAGCCCATAGGTGGTGGGGGGTCCATAACGGACATGGATAAGCCCATAGGTGATGGGATGTCCATAAGGGACATGGATGAGCCCATAGGTGGTGGGATGTCCATAATGGACATGGATGAGCCCATAGGTGATGGGATGTCCATAAGGGACATGGATGAGCCCATAGGTGATGGGATGTCCATAATGGACATGGATGAGCCCATAGGTGATGGGATGTCCATAAGGGACATGGATGAGCCCATAGGTGATGGGATGTCCATAATGGACATGGATGAGCCCGTAGGTGGTGGGGGGTCCATAAGGGACATGGATGAGCCCATAGGTGATGGGATGTCCATAATGGACATGGATGAGCCCGTAGGTGGTGGGGGGTCCATAATGGACATGGATGAGCCCATAGGTGGTGGGATGTCCATAATGGACATGGATAAGCCCATAGGTGATGGGATGTCCATAATGGACATGGATGAGCCCGTAGGTGGTGGGATGTCCGTAATGGGCATGGATGAACCCATAGGTGATGGGGGGTCCATAATGGACATGGATGAACCCATAGGTGATGGGACGTCCATAATGGACATGGATGAGCCCATAGGTGGTGGGATGTCCATAACGGACATGGATGAGCCCATAGGTGATGGGATGTCCATAATGGACATGGATGAGCCCATAGGTGGTGGGATGTCCATAACGGACATGAATGAGCCCATAGGTGATGGGATGTCCATAAGGGACATGGATGAGCCCATAGGTGGTGGGATGTCCATAATGGACATGGATGAGCCCATAGGTGATGGGATGTCCATAATGGACATGGATGAGCCCATAGGTGGTGGGATGTCCGTAATGGGCATGGATGAACCCATAGGTGATGGGGGGTCCATAATGGACATGGATGAACCCACAGGTGATGGGATGTCCATAATGGACATGGATGAGCCCATAGGTGGTGGGATGTCCATAACGGACATGGATGAGCCCATAGGTGATGGGCTGTCCATACTGCCCCAACATTGGAGAACGGTTGGTGGACCCATATCCTTCCTCCTCCCCATCCATCTCCACATCCATTGCACCCCCCCAACCCCTCACCTTGGCTCCAGCTTTCTCCAGGCTCCTCTTCCCAACCAGCTCTTCCAGGAAGTGGGAATAGAACCTCACCTCCACCCTCTTGCCTTCAATGAGCAGCACCCCGATGTCCTTGAGGACCAAGGCCACTGTCTCCCCCTTGCCAAGGCAATAGGAGAGCTGGGACATGGTGCCTTGGACACAGCGTTCCACCTTCTGGCGTGACGTGGGGATGGATGAGGCCACCTTGGAGTACTTGAGGGGCTCCAGCTCCTTGTTGCCTTCAAGAACCATAGAACAATGATGGTCAGAGCCATTGGGGGCATCTCCAAGGGTCCATCGTTGTGTTGATGCTCAAAACCCATCTATGGACCTTCTATGGTGGAGGAAGCATCCCCAAAGGCCCCACTGGAGGCATCTCCAAGGTTCCATTGGAGGCATCTCCAATGGTCCATCTTTGTGTTGGTGCTCAAAACCCATCTATGGCCCTGCTATGGTAGAAGCAGCATCTCCAAAGCCCCATTTGGGCATCACCAAGGCCTCATTGGAGGCATCTCCAATGGTCCAATGGTCCATCGTTGTGTTGATGCTCAAATCCCATCTATGGACCTTCTATGGGAGAAGCAGCATCTCCAAAGCCCCATTGGGGCCATCACCAAGGCCCCATTGGAGGCATCTCCAATGGTCCATCGTTGTGTTGATGCTCAAACCCCATCTATAGACATTCTATGGTAGAAGCATCTCCATGGTCCATCGTTGTGTTGATGCTCAAATCCCATCTACGGACCTTCTATGGGAGAAGCAGCATCTCCAAAGCTCCATTGGGGGCATCACCAAGGCCCCATTGGAGGCATCTCCAAGGCCCCATTGGAGGCATCTCCAACGGTCCATCCTTGTGTTGATGCTCAAACCCCATCTATGGACCTTCTATGGTAGAAGCAGCATCTCCAAAGCCCCATTGGGGGCATCACCAAGGCCCCATTGGAGGCATCTCCAAGGCCCCATTGGGGGCATCTCCAACGGTCCATCATTGTGTTGATGCTCAAACCCCATCTATGGACCTTCTATGGGAGAAGCAGCATCTCCAAGGCCAGGATGGGGTGGGATGGTGCTGGACCGACCCAAGGGTCATCCATGGTCTCTTACCAGGTGCATAGAGCTTGTTGCCCATCAGGTTGTGGACCAAAGCCAGGTTCCTGGCCAAGGAGAACGTGGGCCTATAGATGGTGACCAACTCATCCCCAACCTGGATCTTCTCCTGGACAACATCCAAGGTGCCCAAGGAAGGAATCCGGACGCCCTGTGATTGGAGGAGAAGGGTGGAAGGGGTGAGGAGCAGCCAATGGGAGAGCTGGGGATAATAGGCATGAGCAAGGATGGGGCTTCCGGTCAATGGGGGGGACACCAATGGGGCGGAGATCTTGGGTCCTTCATCGCTAAAGGAGGCCAGGTAGAAGAAGCTTGAGGGCGACTAAAGGGAAGGCATGGACATGGGTGCTCTATGGGTGCTCTATGAGTGCTCTATGGGTGTTTTATAGGTCCTCCATGGGTGCTCCATGGATACTCTCTGGGTGCTCCATGGGTGCTCCACAGGCACTCTACGGGTGCTCCATGGGTACTCCACGGATGCTCTATGGGTGTTCTACGGGTGCTCCATGGGTACTCTATGGATGCTCTATGGGTGTTCTATGGGTGCTCCATGGGCGCTCTTGGGGTGCTCCATGGATGCTCTCTGGGTGCTCCATGGGTGCTCCATGGGTTCTCCATGAATGCTCTATTGGTGCTGTATGGATGCTCCATGGGTGCTCCACGGGTGCTCTCTGGGTGTTCTATGGGTGCTCTATGGGTGCTCCATGGGTGCTCCATGGATGCTCCATGGGTGCTCCATGGTTGCTCTGTGGATGCTCTCTGGGTGCTCCATGGGTGCTCTATGTGTGTTCCATGGGTGCTCTATGTATGTTCCATGGTTGCTCGGTGGGTGCTCCATGGGTTCTCTATGGGTGCTCTATGGGTGCTCCATGGGTGCTCCATGGATGGTCCATGGGTGCTCCATGGTTGCTCTGTGGATGCTCTCTGGGTGCTCCATGGGTGCTCTATGTGTGTTCCATGGTTACTTGGTGGGTGCTCCATGGGTGCTCTATGGGTGCTCTATGTGTGTTCCATGGTTACTTGGTGGGTGCTCCATGGGTGCTCTATGGGTGTTCTGTGCATGCTCCATGAGTGTTCTATGGGTGCTCTATAGGTGCCCTGTAAGGACCTTGTGCTGCAGCAGCTGCTCTCGGACGTAGCTGGACACGGCGTCCCAGATGGTGGCTCGCTCTGGAAAGAAATGGGAAAGGCGGTTGTGGTCCATGGCCAGCAGCACCCACCCAACATCCTCACCATCATCACCATCATCATCATCACCATCATTATCATCATCATCATCACCATCATTGTCACCATTATCATCATCATCATCATCACCATCATCGTCACCATTATCATCATCATCACCATTATCATCATCATCATCACCATCACCATCATCATCACCATTATCATCATCACCATTATCATCATAATCATCACCATTATCATCATCATCATCACCATCATCATTATCATCATCATCACCATTATCATCATCATCATTATCATCACCATTATCATCATCATCACCATTATCATCATCATCATCACCATCACCATCATCATCACCATTATCATCATCACCATTATCATCATAATCATCACCATTATCATCATCATCACCATCATCATTATCATCATCATCACCATTATCATCATCATTATCATCACCATTATCATCATAATCATCACCATTATCATCATCATCATCACCATCATCATCATCATCACCATTATCATCATCATCATTATCATCACCATTATCATCATCATCATCACCATCATCATCACCATCATCACCATCATCATCACCACCATTATCATCACCATCATCATCATCACCATTATCATCACCATTATCATCACCATCATCACCATCATCATCACCACCATTATCATCACCATCATCATCATCATCATCACCACCATTATCATCACCATCATCACCATTATCATCATCATCACCATTATCAAGATCACCATCATCCCACAATGACCATCACACCACCATCATCACATCATCATCATCCCATCACCATCGTCATCATCATCACTACCATTATATCATCACCACCATCCCATTACCACCATTGTCACCACATCACCATCATCAGACCATCACCACCAACAACTCATCACCACCATCACCATCATCATCATCATCATCATCATAATCACCATCACATCACCAGCACATCCATCATCATCCTATCATCACCATCACATCATCACCCCATGACCATCATCATCATCTCATCACCATCATCATCACCATCTTCCCATCATCACCATCATCATCATCACCACCATCATATCATCATCATTGTCCCATCACCACCATCACCATCATCATCACCATCCCATCATCCCCATCACCTCATCATCCCCATCACCACCGTCATCATCATTGCCATCATCACCATTTCCCATCATCGTCTCACCATCATCATCATCTCACCATCATTATATCATTCTCCCATCACCATCATCTCCATCATCATCCCATCATCACCATCACCTCATCCCCCCATCATCACCATCTTCACCTCATCACCCCCATCATCACCATTTCCCATCATCACCATTTCCCATCATCAGCATCCCATCACCATCATCTCACCATCATCATCGTCATCACCCACCATCATTATATCATCATTGTCCCATCACCACCATCACCATCACCACCATCATCATCCCATCATCACCATCCCATCATCATCATCACCATCATCATCGTCCCATCACCCCCATCACAATCATCACCCCCATCTTCCCATCATCCCCATCACTTCATCATCCCCATCACCACCATCATCATCTCATCACTGCCATCATCACCTTCCCATCATCATCACCATCACCATCATCATCATCATTGTATCATCACCATCATCTCCATCACCATCCCATCATCACCATCACCTCATCACCCCCATCACCCCCACCATCATCACCACCCCATCATCCCCATCCCATGATCATCACCACCATCATCATCATCACCATCATCATCCCATCATCATCATCATTGTATCATCACCATCCTCTCCATCACCATCCCATCATCACCATCACCTCATCACCCCCATCACCCCCACCATCATCACCACCCCATCATCATCACCACCCCATCATCACCACCATCCCATCATCATCACCACCATCATCATCATCACCATCATCATCCCATCATCATCATCATTGTATCATCACCATCCTCTCCATCACCATCCCATCATCACCATCACCTCATCACCCCCATCACCCCCACCATCATCACCACCCCATCATCATCACCACCCCATCATCACCACCATCCCATCATCATCACCACCATCATCATCATCACCATCATCATCCCATCATCATCATCATTGTATCATCACCATCATCTCCATCACCATCCCATCATCACCATCCTCTCCATCACCATCACCTCATCACCACCATCATCATCCCATCATCATCATTGTATCATCACCATCCTCTCCATCACCATCCCATCATCACCATCACCTCATCACCTCATCACCCCCATCACCCCCACCATCATCACCATCCCATCATCATCACCATCATAATCATCACCACCATCATCATCATCACCATCATCCCATCATCATCATCATCATTGTATCACCATACTCTCCATCATCATCCCATCATCATCATCATTGTATCATCACCATCCTCTCCATCACCATCCCATCATCACCACCATCTCCATCACCATCCTGTCATCACCATCACCTCATCACCCCCATCATCACCATCACCATCATCATCACCATCATCCCGGTACCTCCATCACCACAACCACCCATGCCCCCCCCCCCCCATGCCTGTGGGTACCTTCATGGGTGATGGGGGTCCCCAGGAAGATCTGCTTCCCATCCCAGAACTCCATGATCCCGCTCCAAGACCCTTCCATGGGGGACCTTCACCCCCAGCTCCTCCAACGGGCTCCTCTGCTCTCCCCCACCCCCACCCCACCCCCCACTGTGACGTCACGGTGACGTGGCCACTGCTGGTTGGCTGACGAGGGGCGGCTTTCGCCATGGAACCATGGAATAATGGGATCGTGGAATCGTGCTCCTTGACCCTGATCCTCACCCCCCATCACATTCCCCCCCCCCCACCCTAGATCCCTAGGGATTCCCCCCCACATCCCATCCCCATCCCCCCAGTCCCATTCCCCACCATGTATCCCTATGGATTCCCCCTCCCATGGACCTCCCCCCCCCCCATGGCTTCCTATGGATCCCCCCCATTGCTTCCCCCCATGTATCCTTATGGATCCCCCCCCCCCCCACGGCTCCCTATGGATCCCCCCCAATCCACAACACCGCAGCCCCTCCCCCACGTGGGAAAAGCCACTTTATTGCCCCCCCCCCATTGAGGAGAGGGAAGAGGGAAAAGGGGCGGAGCAAGGTGAGGCCCCACCCCCTCCCACTGGAAGCGCTGCGATTGGTCGGGACAAAAAGGGGGCGGGGTTTGTGCTTCGAAGGCCCCGCCCCCTTGAAGTGGGGGGCGGGGTTATTGCTCTTGAGAGACGTGGCCATGCCCCCCTCGGAAGGGGCGGGGCTACAGGAGGAGGAGGGGAGGCCACGCCCCCGCTACGCTAGCCCATTGGCTGTAGGGGTGGGGATTGGATGAGGGACCGGGCTCATGCAGGAGGCAGCCAATGGGAGGTGAGGGGCGGGGCCTACGGAGGCGCCGCTCCCCCCAGCAGGGTGTCGAGCTCCTGTAGGGTCGCGGGGCTGAGGTGGGGCAGGACCTGGGGACATCAATGGGGACATCAATGGGGACATCAGTGGGGCCGTCAAAGGGGGCATCAATGGGGGCGTCAATGGGGACATCAATGGGGACGTCAATGGGGATGTCAATGGGAACATCAATGGGGATGTCAATGAGGACATCAATGGGGACATCAGTGGGGCCGTCAAAGGGGGCATCAATGGGGGCGTCAATGGGGACATCAATGGGGACGTCAATGGGGACATCAATGGGGATGTCAATGGGAACATCAATGGGGATGTCAATGGGGACATCAAAGGGGGCATCAATGGGGATGTCAATGAGGACATCAATGGGGATGTCAATGGGGACATCAATGGGGGCATCAATGGGGATGTAAATGCGATCCTCAATGGGGACATCAATGAGGACTTAAGGGACCCCATGGGGACCCCAATGACCCAGTGGGGACCCCAATGACCCAATGAGGACCCCAATGAGCCAATTGGAGACCAATGACTCAGTGAGGACCCCAATGACCCAATGAGGACCCCAATGAGGACCCCAATGACCAAATGAGGACCCCACTGACCAAATGGGAACCCAATGACACAATGAAAACCCCTATGACCCAATGGGACCCCAATGACCCAATGGGGACCCCAATGACCTAATGGTACCCCAATGTCCCAATGGGACCCCAACGTCCCAATGGTACCCAAATGTCCCAATGGAGACCCGAATGACACAATGAGGACCCCTACGACCCAATGGGACCCCAATGACCCAATGGGGACCCCAATGACCCAATGGGGACCCCAATGTCCCAATGGAACCCCAATGACTTAATGGGGACTGCAATGACCCAATGAGGACCCCAATGTCCCAATGCGACCCCAATGACCCAATGGGAGCCCAATGACCCAATGAGGACCCCAATGTCCCAATGGGATCCCAATGACCCAGTGAGGTCCCCAATGACCCAATGAGGACCCCAATGTCCCAATGGGACACCAATGACCCAATGAGGACCCCAATGTCCCAATGGGACACCAATGACCCAATGAAGACCCCAATGACCCAATGGGGACCCCAATGACCCAATGAGGACCCCAGTGTCCCAATGGGACCCCAATGACCCAGTGAGGACCCCAATGACCCAATGAGGACCCCAATGACCCAATGGGACCCCAATGACCTAATGAGGACCCCAATGACCCAATGGGACCCCAATGTCCCCCCTCACCTGCAGGGCCTGGAGCTGCTCCTGCAGCACTTCGGGGGTCTCAGCGCCCACCAGCACTGAGCTGACGCCCTCGGCCCGCAGAGACCAGGCTGGGGACACCCCCACGTCACACGTGTCACCCCATAGACCCCATAGAGTCAATGGCCCACACCCCATACCCCATATCCCACCCCCCATATCCCATACCCTATACCCCACATCCCATATCCCATACCCTGTACCCTACATCCCATACCCTACATCCCATGCCCCATATCCCATATCCCATAATACTCACCAATGCCCAACTGGGACACCGAACAGCCCAAGCGTTGGGCCAATGGCTGCAGGTCCTCAACCTTCAATGGCTGCCGGCGCCCCATAGCCTGGGAACATGGGGTATGGGATATGGGGTATGGGATATGGGATGTGGGATACGGGTATGGGGTATGGGATATGGGTATGTTGTATAGGATGTGGGATATAGGTATGGGGTATGGGATATGGGATGTGGGATACAGGTATGGGGTATGGGATATGGGATGTGGGGTATGGGATATGGGGTATGGGATATGGGATGTGGGATATGGGTATGGGGTATGGGGTATGGGATATGGGGTATGGGGTATGGGATGTGGGGTATGGGATATGGGGTATGGGATATGGGGTATGGGATATGAGATGTGGGGTATGGGATATGGGGTATAGGATATGGGGTATGTGATAGGGGGTATGGGATATGGGGTATGGGATATGGGATATGGGGTACAGGATATGGGGTATGGGATACAGACACACACAGACCCACCTTGCCTATGGGGCGCCCATGGGGCAGCGGCTCCTCCTCTAGGCCAGGGCCTGGGGCCAATGGGGACCAAGTGACAGCACCCAGGCCTGGTGGACACCAGAATGACTCCTGCCCCATAGCACCCACCCCATGGGCCCCCCATTGAACACCTATAGCTGCCCCCACCCCATTGACCCCCATAGAACAGCATTGACCCCATAGACCCCCATTGACACTCATAGACTCCCGTTGATCCTATAAAACTCCACTGAACCCCACTGATGCTCATTGACCCCCATTGGTCCCCATTGACTCCCATTGGCCCCCATTGGGCCCCACTGACCCCCATTGACCCCCATTGGCACCCTTTGGGCCCCACTGACCCTCACTGACCCCCATTGACCCTCATTGGCCCCCATTGACCACCATTGACCCTCACTGGCCCCCATTGACCACCACTGGCCCCCACTGACCCTCATTGACCCCCATTGACTCCCATTGGCCCCCATTGACCCTCATTGGCCCCCATTGACCACCATTGGCCCCCATTGACCCTCATTGACCCCCACTGACCCCCATTGACTCTCATTGACCCCCATTTACCCTCATTGACCCCCACTGGCCCCCATTGGCCCCCACTGACCCTCATTGACCCCCATTGGCCCTCATTGACCCCCATGGGTGCGCCCCCCCCCCCCCCCCCCCCGCACCGAGCTGCCGGAAGAGGCGGGGCTCCGGCGGAAGCTCCGCCCACTGGCACACGGGGGCCACCAGGTTGAACTGACGGGCAACAGCGAAGGTGTCCTGGGGGGGAGACCGTGCCCACATCCCATAATAGCCCATACCCCATATCCCATAACCCACACCCCACACCCCATATCCCAAACCCCATACCCCATCCCACACCCCATACTCCACACCCCATATCCCACACCCCACATCCCACACCCCATCCCCCCAACCCCATATCCCACACCCCACACCCCATATTCCTTACCCCACATCCCATACCCCACACCCCATACCCCATATCCCATCCCCCATATCCCATATCCCATACCCCACATCCCACACCCCACACCCCATCCCCCATATCCCATACCCCATATCCCATACCCCACACCCCATCCCCCATATCCCATGCCCCACACCCCACACCCCATATCCCATACCCCGTATCCCATGACCCATATCCCACACCCCATACCCCATATCCCATACCCCACACCCCATATCCCATGCCCCACACCCCACACCCCACACCCCATATCCCATGACCCATATCCCATACCCCACACCCCCCACCCCATAATACCCCATACCCCCCCCCCATGATGTCCCCACCATGACGTCACCAGGCGCGCCCCCCGCTGTGCCCCAATACAGCGCCAGTCCCCGGTTGATGACGTCACTCATGACGCGCACCAGCTCTGTGGGGGAGGGGTGGGGCAGTCACTACGGGCCCCACTGAGGGCAATGGGGGTCTATGGGGGTCTGTGGGTGTCTATGGGGTCTATGGGGGTCGATGGGGGTCTATGGGGTCTATGGGGGTCTATGGGTGTCTATGGGGTCTATGGGGGTATATGGGGGTCTATGGGGTCTATGGGGTGCTATGGCGGGCTTTGGGGTCTATGGGGGTCTATGGGTTCTATGGGGGTCTATGGGGGTCGATGGGGGTCTATGAGTGTCTATGGGGGTCTATAGAGTCTATGGGGGGCTATGGGGGTCTATGGATGTCTATGGGGGGCTATGAGGGTCTATGGGGGTCTGTGGCGTGCTATGGGGGGCTACGGGGTCTATGGTGTCTATGGGGGTCTACAGACTCTGTAGGGGGCTATGGATGTCTATGGGGGTCTATGGGTGTCTATGGGGGTTTATGGGGGTCTATGGGGTCTACGTGGGTCTATGGGGGTCTATAGAGTCTATGGGGGGCTATAGGGGTCTATGGGGGTTTATGGGGGTCTATGGGGTCTACGTGGGTCTATGTGGATCTATGGGGGTCTATAGAGTCTATGGGGGGCTATGGGGGTCTATGGGGGGCTATGGGATGCTATGGGGGGCTATGAGGGTCTATGGGGTCTATGGGGGTCTATGGCAGGCTATGGGGGGCTATGGGATGCTATGGGGGGCTATGAGGGTCTATGGGGTCTATGGGGGTCTATGGTAGGCTATGGGGGGTTATGGGATGCTATGGGGGGCTATGAGGGTCTATGGGGTCTATGGGGGTCTATGGCAGGCTATGGGGGGTTATGGGATGCTATGGGGGGCTATGAGGGTCTATGGGGTCTATGGGGGTCTATGGCAGGCTATGGGGGGTACGGGGGGCTATGGGGTCTATGGTGTCTATGGGGGTCTATGGGGTTCTCTGGGGTCTATGGAGATCTATGGGCGTCTATGGGGGTCATGGGTGCCTATAGGGGTCTACAGGGTCAATGGGGTCTACGGGGGTCTATGGGGTTCTATGGGGTCTACGGGGGTCTATGGGTGTCTATGGGGTCTATGGGGGTCTATGGGAGGTATGGAGGTCTATGGGAGTCTACGGGGTCTATGGGGGGCTATGGGGGTCTATGGGGTCTATGGGGGTCTATGGGGGTCTATGGGGTCTATGGGTCTTTATGGGTCTCTATGGGGGTCTATGGGGGTCTATGGGGTCTATGGGTCTCTATGGGTCTCTATGGGGTCTCTAGGGCTCTCTATGGGTCTCTATAGGCTCTGTATGGTCTCTATGGGTCTCTGGGGCTCTATGGGGTCTCTATGGGTCTCTATAGGCTCTCTATGGTCTCTATGGAGGTCTATGGGGGTCTATGAGGGTCTATGGGTTTCTATGGGTGTCTGGGGGGGGCTTTGGGGATCTGTGGGGCTTATGGGGTCTATGGGGGCCTATGGATATCTGTGAGCAGCTATGGGGTCTGTGGGGGTGTATGGGGTCTATGGGAGTCTATGGGGTCTATGGGGGGCTTTCGGGATCTATGGGGCTTATGGGGGTCTATGCGGGTCTATGGATATCTGTGGGCGGCTATGGGGTCTATGGGGCTGTATGGGGTCTATGGGAGTCTATGGGGTCTATGGGGGGCTATGGGGATCTATGGGGGTCTATCTGGACTACGGTCTCTATGGGTCTCTATAGGCTCTCTATGGTTTCTATGGGTCTCTATGGGTCTCTATGGTCTCTATGGGTCTCTATGGTCTCTATGGGTCTCTATGGGTCTCTATGGTCTCTATGGGTCTCTATGGGTCTCTATGGTCTCTATGGGGCTCTTGGTACCTTCCAGCCGCAGGAGGCGCAGGGTCGGGTCGGGCCCTGTGGGGTGAAGCAGAGACACGTGAGGGGGCGGGGCCTAAGAGCAGGGGGCGGGGCCTTGGAGAGGGAGTGTGACCTATGTAAAGGGGCGGGGCCTCTGGGGGAGGGGGCGTGGCCTCACCTTCGGTCTGGGCGGGGCCTGGGCGGGGCCCCGCGAAGATGACGTCAACGTAGTCGAGCTGCAGCCGCTGGAGCGACCCCTGGAGGCCTGGGGATGTGACCCATAGCGTGCCCCATAGCATCCCCTGCCCCATAGAGTGCCCCATAGCATCCCCTGCCCCATAGAGTGCCCCATAGCATCCCCTGCCCCCATAGAGTGCCCCATAGCATCCCCTGCCCCATAGAGTGCCCCATAGCATCCCCTGCCCCCATAGAGTGCCCCATAGCATCCCCTGCCCCATAGAGTGCCCCATAGCATCCCCTGCCCCCATAGAGTGCCCCATAGCATCCCCTCCCCCATAGCGTGACCCATAGCATTCCCTGCCCCATAGTGTGGCCCATAGCATTCCCTGCCCCATAGTGTGGCCCATAGCATCCCCTGCCCCATAGCATGCCCTCCCCCATCGAGTGCCCCATAGCGTCCTCTGCCCCATAGCGTGCCCCATAGTATCCCCTGCCCCATAGTGTGCCCCATAGGATCCCCTGCCCCATAGAGTGCCCCATAGCATCCCCTGCCCCATAGCGTGCCCCATAGTATCCCCTGCCCCATAGACCTTCCCTATAGCACCCCAATGCCCCATAGCACTGCCCCATAACTCACCCTCCAGGACTTGCTTCCGTGAGAGGCTCCGGTCAGCCCTTGGGGGACAGAGATGGCATCACCCCACTGCTGCCCCATAGCGACCGCCTCCTGCCCCACTGCCCCCTCCAGCCCCATAAACCCCCTTGTGCCCCACAGCCCCCGTCCTGCCCCATAGCCCCCTCCTAACCCACATCCCCTTCTCCTGTCCCATAACCCCGCCTTGTGCCCCATAGCCCCCCTCCTGCCCCATAACCCCCCTTGTGCCCCATAGGCCCCCGCAGTGCATTGTGGGTACTCACTGCCCCCCCCAGAAGACCCTCGTGGTGATGACGTAACTGGAGCGTCTGGGGTGGGGGAAGAGGAGTCAGCACCCCATAGCGCCCCATAAAACCCACAGAACCCCATAGCACCCCACAGAACCCCATAGCACCCCATAGAACCCCATAGCGCCCCATAGAACCTGTAACACCCCATAGTGCCTACAGCACCCCATAGACACCCCACAGAACTCCACAGCGCCCCATAGCATCCTCGACACGCCAAAGCACCCCATATTGCCCCATAATGACACACAGCACCCCATGCCTGCCACATAGACACCCCATCACCCCATACACAGCTCCCATCACCCTAAGCTGCCCCATAGCACCCCATAGGGACCCCTCATAGACTCGCCATCACCCCATAGACACCCCCATTGCCCCATAGCACCCCATAGGAATCCCATTGACCCCCTTATAGCCCCCCATGGGGACCCCATAGCACCCCATAGAACCCATAGGGACCCCTTACACCCCCCTATAGCCCCTGTAGGGATCCCATAGCACCCCAAAGAACCCATAGGGACCCCACAGACCCCCCTATAGCCCCACAGGAACCCCATAGCACCCATAGGGACCCCACAGACCCCCCGATAGCCCCCCATAGGGACCCCAAAGACCCCCCTACAGCCCCCCATAGGGACCCAATAGACCCCTCTACAGCCCCCCTTAGGGACCCCATAGCACCCCATAGGGACCCAACAGACCCCTCTACAGCCCCCATTAGGGACCCCATAGCACCCCATAGGCACCCCAAAGACACCCCTACAGCCCCGCATAGGGACCCCACAGTACCTCATGGAACCCATAGGGACTGCATAGACCCCCCTATAGCCCCCCATAGGGACCCCATAGACCCCCTATAGCCCCCCATAGACCCCTTATAGCACCCCATAGAACCCCATAGACACCACTATAGCCCCGCATAGGGGCCCCATAGCACCCCATAGAACCCATAGGGACCCTATAGACGCCCCTGCAGCCCCCCATAGGGACCCCCATAGCACCCCCATAGACCCCCCTATAGCCCCCATAGGGACCCCATAGCACCCATAGGAACCCCATAGACCCCCCTATAGCCCCATAGGGACCCCAGAGCACCCCATAGGGGCCCCACAGACGCCCCTATAGCACCCCATAGGGACCCCACAGCACCCATAGGGACCCACAGAGACCCAATACACCCCTCTATAGCCCCCCACAGGGACTGCATAGACCCCCTATACCCCCTATAGGGACCCCATAGCATCCCATAGTGACCCCATAGCACCCCATAGAACACATAGGAACCCCATAGACCCCCCCTACCCCCCCATAGGGACCCCTTAGGAACCCCATAGACCCCCTATAGCCCCCCAGAGGGACCCCATAGCACCCACAGGGACCCAATAGACCCCCTACAGCCCCCCATAGGGACCCCACAGAACCCATAGGGACACCATAGCACCCCATAGCACCCATAGGAACCCCATGAACCCCCTAGAGCCCCCCACAGGAACCCCATAGCACCCATTAGGAACCCCATAAAACCCCCTATAGCCCCACATAGCGACCCCAAATAGCACCCACAGGGACCCCCCCACCTCCATCCTTTGCTCCTTAGGACCTCGCCCAGCAGCATCTCAGCCCTATGGGGGGGGGGAATGGGACGATACCATTGGGGCTCATGTGGGGGTCCATAGTGGGGGTGTCCCCCCCCCCTTCCCATTGGTACCTTCCGGAGGCCTCGGTGACGTCGAAGAGGGTGACCCCGCTGTCATAGGCTGCGGTCAGCACCTTGGACAGGGGCAGGAGGGGCTGTACCATTGGGGGCTATGGGGGGGGCTATGGGGGGTTGGTACCATTGGGGGGTATGGGGGGGGCTATGGGGGGGTGGTACCATTGGGGGCTATGGGGGGGGCTATGGGGGGGTACTACCATTGGGGCTATGGGGGGCGGCTATGGGGGGGGAGCTATGGGGAGGTGGTACCA